ATACTGTTTGTTTTATGTTTTGATTTAAAGAAAAATTTTGTAATGTGAAATATGAAAAATTCTATATGTAATATAAAAATAATAAATATGAATAATATATTATTTATTTATTTTTTTGAAAAAATGTGTTTAAAATTTTTTCAAAAGAAACAACCTTTGTCGGTTTATGCATATTAATGTTTCAATTCCATAAATTATAGTAATAATTTGAGCTTTTAATTAATAAAATAAAATTTACAAATATTGTTACTTACAAAATGGCTATATGGTTACAAAAAATTAATAGCACTTGTTCTATCCCATTTATTTGTTAGTTTTAGCATTGATACAGGTTGTTAGTCAGTAATCTCTATGTTTCAATTCCAAGTATATATATATATATATTTTTTAATTATCATTTTTATTTGTTTCACCTAAAATTATCATTTTTTTTAATTTTAGTAAAAATAATTATACATTAATACCAAATATCCTTAATTTCTATTTAAATTATAAATATACAATTACACATATAATTATTTTATACATAAAATCAAAATGAAAAAATATGAAAAAAAAATTTACACACTTCCATCTAATATAAAATATTATTATTTTGTTAATATGTTACAAAACCTAAAAAAAAAATATAGGTTCGCAAGGGATCGTTCAGTGGTGTGTAATGGACTCGTAACTTTGAGGTCATGATTCAAATTCCGACACTTCCAGATTTTGTTGGTCAAAAAAAAAATTTAAAGCCTGTATTAAAATTTAGAGGTTTGGAAAATGTATGTAATATAGAAAAATAGGTAGTTTATTTTATTTTATTTTAACAAAAAAAAAGAAGCATAATTTTGATAAAATTAAAATTTATTTAACTAATCCCTTTGACATATTGAAAGGTAGTCATTTTTTATTTTCATCTGTCCAAAACAAGGTTATCATTTCATAATTTAGTAATTATACTCTAAGATAATAAATACCATTATAACTTACGCTATATTACATAAATGTCATTACTTTTATATTATACAATACTAATAGAAATATTTTTGTCTTTTTCATTACAACCTATTATAATATTAATATTCAAAAATTTACGTGCAAAAAATAAATGATAACTTTGCACCGGATTGGAGGGAGTATTATATTTTAAAAAAAAAATTATTTAATTATTAATTTTCTATATAATGCTTATTTTCTTATAATAGATATAACATTTATTATATAATATATATATTTTTATCATAACTAATTATTAATTAAATTTTAAAAATATTTAACTATAATTTTATTTTATTTTTTTTATCACATTCTCAATAAAAAATTTATTGTTTTTAATCTACCGATAAGAAAGAGTAATACTTTTCCCCAGCTTTTCAATGCGACCACGTAAACACTAAACATAAAATAAAATAAAATAAAATAATAAAATAAATGAATGGAGTGGAAAATGGAAAGTAGTGAAGGTCTTACAGTTGACAATTTCCAGATCTGATCCCAATGATTTACTTTAATTTAATTTAATTATGGGATTTCGTGCTGGGCTCATATTCCATCATGTCACTTCATTCTTTATTTTTATTTTTATTTACATTTCATATAAGTATATTTCTATTTTTATTTTAATAATTGAGTTAGGGTTTGAGCTGCATGCATGATGCTTTCTGTAATTACGATTATACCCCTAACTAGGGTTGTTGATTGATAATAACTGTAAAATTCTTCCCCACGCTTTTGGGCAACTAGGAATTAAGCCCTCAATTAATAATTAATTAAATTAATAAGTCATTATAGATAGGCTAGTGGTAATTTTATATAAAAATACTTATATTTTATAATTCTTTCACAATTTATAAATTATTACAATTTGTATAGTAAATTATGTTTGCTTAAAGTTAATAGTTTTTTTATTTCCTTCGTCATAATTCAAAGTATATTTTTTTACTATTTTCGTCTATTCTATTCAAAAATATTTATGGGTGTGTTTACCTGTCAGATTTTACACCCGATTTTACTATTTCAATTTTTTTTTTCCTAAAAAACATCAAATCAAACACTCAATTTTTATTTATTTTATTACACTAAAATCTAATTTTACATTCAAAACATCACATCAACACATATTTATATCACATAAAACAACTATTTCAATTCAAAATTTTACTATTCAAAATCAAAACCCAAAACTAAAACCTCACAAGTAAACATACCCTATTTTTTTTAGTAAAATTAATTATATATTAATACCAAAATACCATTTAACTTTTATTTAAATTATAAGCACACAACTACATATACAATTATTTTATAAAAAAATATTTAAAAGCACGAGAATGTCAAAATCTCTTACATATTTTCACTGACCAATAAAGTACTACTCCCTCTGTCCTAAACACCATGCTACATTTTTTTTTTCTTTCAAACTCACTGCAACATTTCCAAATTTAGAAATAATTAATAATATTTATATACATATATTAATATACACTTCACTTTTTCTCATCACATCACTCAAATAAAAAAAATATAATAATTATTTTTCTCTCAAATCACATCACTTAGTATCCAAATTATTTTCAATTACCATACTTAATACTTCCCAACTAAATTCTCGTGTCAAACACAAATATTGTACGATATTTGAGACAGAAAAAATATTATTTTTTAATCTATTATAAAACCACAAAATACCATGGAGGTAGTAGTACTTAGAGAATTTTATATATTAAGATTTTTCAAAGGTTTTTTTTTTTTTTCACTTAAAATGCTACAAATACATTAATTAAATGACTTTTCATATACATGCATACACTGAAATACATAAAACTATTATTTAAAAGATTACAAAAAAATAATAATTATGAGGGTATTATAGTCATTTCAGCTAGCAGAAAGTGTGGAATCAATCTTAATTAGTACATCACTATTTAATAAATCCACAAGAAGTAATAAATTAATCAGTTAATTAAGAGGGTCCAATGCCTAATTAAAGTCAAAACTTAGATGCACCTCTCAATTTAATAAATTTAATCAACCAATTAATATAATAATTATATATAATTTATTTTTAAAAATTGTATTGTTCAACCATATGAAATAATATGCTAGATCATATAAAAAATTAAGATATTATTGTATTGAAAATATATTAAACGAGCATAAAATTATGAAATTATGATATAAATATATTGAGTGACATAAATTAAAAAATAATAAAAAAAAACTAATTCAATAATGTAAAATCATTATTATTAGTTCTTTAAGAAAGACATAGATTCAACATATTGAATTAGTATAAAATTTGTTAAACACCATTCTTATTTCAACGATAGCATGGTGTGTGCTTTCAGGGTGTGTTTGTTTGGGGATTTGGATTTTGAGTTGGGATTTGAATAGTAAAAATTTTGAATTTGAATTCTTGTATGATGCAATATAAATAGGTGTTGATGCGATGTTAAAATTAATTTTTAGTATAATATAAAAATAAAAAATAGGTGTTTGATTTGATATTTTTTGGGAAAAAAAATTGGATGAATAGTGTAAATCCAATCCAATCCCCCAAACAAACACACCCGAGTTTGATTTTAGATTCTGATTTGAATAGTAATCCAAGTTTGATATTTTAGAAAAATAAATAACATGATTTATGGATAATACTCCCTCCGTCCCATCGGAATTGAATCATATGATTAGGGACATGATATTTAAGGTAAAGATGTTTAATTAGTTAATAATAATAAGTTATGATATTATTATATTTTTTGATGTAATTAATAGTATTTATAATTTTAAAGTAAATTTAATATATATGATTAAAAAAATAAAAATATATGTTTAAATATTTACAAATTATATAACAATTAAAAAATATATGCAATATGAATATCATTTTTCAGATAATAAAATTTTCTATAATACAAGTAAATAAAAAAATATTTTTGTTTATTTATAATTAACATAAATCAATTTTACAAAAGATGTGTAGTTTTAAATATAGATAAAAATATTTATTTTTTTTAGGAGATATATAAATAAAAGAGTTTTTGAGTGGGTCTTATGTCATTTATGATGTTGTATATTATGTAGTTAATTAAATTAATTTATATTTGTTAAATATGTTTTGATTTAATAATTTTTATCAAAAATAGAAATATATCAATTATTACGGGACAAATAAAAATAAAAATAATGTCAATTATGGTACGAAAGAGGGAGTACATAATAATAGTAATAATAATAAAATTGCAAACAGCTTAATAGAATAGAGCCGTTACTTTTGTATTTTGAATTTAAATTTTGATTTAATTAATAATTTGATTATAATATTTTATGAAATAAAATAATACTATATCTGTCATTGAAATATACTTTATTTGTCATAAAAAAAAAAATACGTCCATTTCTTTTATTTGTTTGTCATTTAAAAAAAGTCTGCTTTATATCATTTTTTATTAGAAGTATTTTTTTAATTATTATTATAAAAGATAAAAAAAAAAATCTTATTAAAACTTGTGCCCAAATGAGTTTACGTTTTCCATGATTGAGGGAGTGCATATTTTCTTATTGTTCTTTTTTTTAAAAAAAATATTCTTATTTTTCTTTTCAATAAAAAAATATAATCTTGTGTTTTTTTCCACTAGATAAAAAAAATAAATTATTACACATTTACATTAAATTTTTTGCAAAAAAAATAAGCTTTTTTTTTAATTATAAAATAAAAAAGCTAAAAAAAAAAAAAAAACTCAATAAAACAGTGAAAATATATATACTAATGTGTGTAATTATGCATCTTCTCCACAATTAATGTACTAAATTAAAATTCCACTGCTATGGCTGTTCCTATTAATATATTATTAATTATTTCAGACGAGGGAATTGACTTCTGTGCCTCTATGTTAACATATATTTATCCAATGTACATATACAATACACACATATACATACATACATATATCTCTATATGTATCTATATCTACGTGTGTATGTATATGATCCCAATAAAGACAGCCTTGCAAGAATTGAAGAAAATTTTGTTTTTTGTTTTTTGTTTTTTATTTTTATATTTTAAAAAAAAGCTTAATTAGTTAGGCCGCCATGGAAGGAGGAGCTTCAGCAGCAGACGAACCCCAACCCCAACCCCAAGCCATGACATCAATTGATCTCTCCCTAAAGCTCGATCCACAGCAGCACCCCAACACGCCCGTGTCGGCACAAGAATTACGCCACCAGAAGAACAACATCCTCGACGAAGAAGAAGAAGAAAAAACAGACGACGATAACAACAAAAAGAACAATGATTTTAACAGTAAAGCCTACCAGGTAAATTTCGATCAAAGATTCATCTGTAATTAATTTAATTTCATTATTAGGGTTTGTAAATTAATTAATTTAAATTATCCAAATAGCTGTTGAGCTTGCAGAAGCAGATGGATCAGATGAAGGAGGAGAACAAAATTCTCCGGTGCGCCGTCGGCCGGACGATGAAAGATTACGCTGATCTCCAGGCAAAGTTCTCATTTTTTCAACGGAATAATACCAATCATAACCACAGCTATGATCATCAATCCAAGGTAATTTAATTAATTGAATTTTCATAGAAAATTTCAAGCATATATGTTAATTATTGTGATCTAATTTATCGACATCTCCTTGTTATTAAAAATAAAAATAAAAATTAAGGATGATGATGGTGATCCTGGAGTCTGCAACAGTAATCAGACACTTCCATTACAGCAGCAGCAAAAAGAGCTTAACGAGAAAGAAAACGACGACGAATTAGGTCTGTCGCTGCGGCTCGACGGCGGCCGGAGAATCGACGACGAGCCGAGGAAGGGACAAGATCAGACAAGTGGAAAAAATTTGGGGAATAATATGAGTTCATCATCTGCAGCATCAGTAGTACCAAATAAGAGGGCTAGGGTTTGTGTGAGGGCAAGATGTGAATCTGCAACTGTGAGTTTTTTAATTTTTATTTCTAATTTAATCATTTTTGGATGAATTAATGAGATTTGATTGAATTAGGGAATGATTGATTGTAATTTAATGTAAATTTTAATTGTAATGAAATGATTTATTTTTATGTTTTTGAATTTATTAGATGAACGACGGATGCCAATGGAGAAAGTACGGACAAAAAATTGCCAAGGGAAACCCTTGCCCACGAGCTTATTATCGTTGCACTGTTGCTCCGGGATGCCCGGTGCGAAAACAGGTAAAAATATATGTTTTTACGGTGTTTATTTCCTCAATAATTATAGATTAAAAAAATGATTAAAATTATGCATTGACGGTTCATAGTAATATAATGTGATGTATGAATATATTTTACATACCAACGTTAATAATAACATATGTTAGGTAAACCGTAAACAATTGTCATACGAGTTTTGTTCATATATCGTATTTGTATTATATTCATATAGATTGTGTGTTGTTTATCATAGCATTGTGTGCTATTTGTTATAGTATTGAGATTATGTAAATTTCGTCACAGGAATATATTTCTATGCTTAAATCAATGATACAGTATGTAATATGATATAAGTTCACTTGCAGTATAAAAATACGCTATATTTTCTTACAAAAACATAACATCAAATTATTCTTACATACACTCATTTCAGTCAAACTATTGTTACACAAAATGAACAATTCCATTTAAATGTTTTAATTCTATTGTTTGCTATCATTTTCTTTTTATTCAAATGCTTTAAACATTTGCAATTTTTTCCTTATTTACATTATGCTAATACAAATTATTATGATTTATATAGGTGCAAAGATGTTTAGAGGACATGTCGATATTGATCACAACATATGAAGGGACCCACAACCACCCGCTCCCGGTCGGAGCCACCGCAATGGCCTCAACAGCGTCGGCCGCCGCTGCCTCCTTTGTCCTTCTAGATTCCGGCAACAACCCATTTTCCGACGGGCTGACGTCATCGTCGTCATCATCACCCTACATGTCAAATCCCCAATTCCCAAACTACCCCTTCAACCCTAATTTCACAAACCCTAATAATATCCCCTCATTCATCCCAACCCTATTTCGGCCAAATTACCATCATGACCCTGCCAAGGGCATCGTCCTCGACCTCACCAACGGTGCAGATTCATCGACGAACACAGCCTCAAGCTCGATTCCCAATTTGGGATTCAATTCCAGTTCTATCCCCAAACCTGCTGTTTCCAATTTGGGTCTGAATCTGATCAATCATTTTAGCAATTATTCGAATCACAGCAGAGGAGAGCAGACTGGCCACGGCGAGAAGAACAGCTCCTTGATTTTGGCTGAGAATGTAAGCTCTGCCATAGCCTCTGATCCCAAGTTTAAGGTTGCTGTTGCAGCAGCCATTTCTTCTCTGCTCAGCAAGGAAGCTCAACCAGGCGCCTCTTCCGCGCCTGACAGGGAGTTGAAGCCCTAGTGAATCGCAGCCGTTCGTTGTGTGGGGTCCGCGGAATCGACGGTGGGACTTTGTCCCGGAGTTCTGGTCCAGGGAGCTTCTTATTTTCCAGCCGGATCAACTGCCTTCCACGCTCTTTTTAGGTTTGTTTCGTTATTGTTTTTACAGAAAATTGTGTAGTTTCTAATTTTTATTTTTATTTTATTTGAAGGGATTTAATTTTGGATTATTAAATACTAGTAATATTAATTAATTTTGGAGAGTGAGGATTTGAAATTTAATATTAATTAATGAGTGAAATGCATGTGAAGGCTTGACTGTTGTAAAGCTCTAGGAGTTGAACTTGTAAGAGTTTTATTTAAATTTTTTTGTAGCATTCCAATAATTAAGATAATATATATATATATATATATACACAGAGACACATGGATCTGATGATGAGATCACATTTGGTTCTGTAAATTAATTAGTTTTGCTTCATCATCCTCATTATATTTAATTAATTAATTTGTTTATTTTTGCTATTGATTAGTGGATCTTTTTAAATTATTGTATGAATGCAGCATTATATTGCATACACCAAAATTCAAATGCATAAATAATTAAGCATATCTATGTGTATGTTTATATGTATATATGTTAGTAGTATAAAATGTATTTTGAGAAATAAAAAAAATAAAAAATTATGGTTGTTTTCTTCTTAGTCTAGGATTCATGATATTTTTTATTTATTAGTTATTGAAAATTATGATATTGTTTGGGTGAAACTAATTTTTTTTATTATTTTTGAAATATTTTGTGAAATAAAAGAATATATTTTTATTGAAATATGTGTAAAATTATTTTTATTAATGAGAATTGTATGATGTATAATGTGGTAATTATGTAGTAGAATTTCATTTCTTTCTTCTTCTTCTTCTTTTTTTTTTTTTCTTTTTTTTCTTTTTTTTTAAAAGATTCAATTTGAGTTAATTAACCAAAAAGATTAAAGTAGATGTAAGTGGTTGCTACTAGTATTCAAGAGTAAATTGATTAAATAAAAAAGTTACGAGTTTATTTGATTGTGGTTTGAAATTAAGTATTGATTTGAAATTTTGTTTAAATAATATTTTGAGTTGATATTTTTAATGGAAAAAAAAAAGATAGTAATATTCTTATTTGTATTTCTAATCATTCCATGCAAACAACTATTTTAACCTAAAAGATCTTAAAAATACAAATATAAAAGAATATGCCTACATTATGAGTTATGACAGTATTTATCATCTTTTTTACTCCTTCCAAATTAATATATCAAGTATTTTAAAATTAAAATAAACTATCATACTCTTTTTGTCTAAAAATAAACTTTTTATTTTGCCATTTTAGTTTGTTAATTTTTTTCATTTTTTCAAAAAAAAAAAAAAAACTACCAACTAAGTATTAAAATATTCTTAATTTTTACAGTACCTTTTAGATTACTTTTACTTTAATATAAAAAATAAAATAAATATAACACTATTTTGTTACGTTACGAATATGTAAAAATACTAATTTAACTTAAAAATCAAATGGAGGGAGTATTATTAAATATTCCAAAATCACACATCGTTCCCAAATCTCAGTCTAACTTATTTTCCATATATTCCTTCTGTCATGGACAAAAAATTTTTATTTATTTTTTACACAGAAATTAAAAGATTATATTAGGGTTAGATGAAATAACAAAAAATACCCTTATCTTTTATATATAATATATTTTAAATTTTATTAAGTAATATAGTTGTAAATATGTAAATTGTAGGAAAATTATTTATTAGAGATGGATAAAAATTAGAATAATTATATTTGTGGCAGATAATCAAATAAGATCAAAAATATATATTTTTTCAAGAAAAAAGAAAATATAGAAATAAAATGAATTACTAGGAGCATATTGGACTTATGTTAAATGGGCTTAATCCAGTTCATGAGCGAGATATGTTGGGCTGGTCCGGGCCGGGCTTTTTACAAATATAACTCATGTAGAATATATCTATAATATATTATTTTTACGTTGAAGTCTGAAATACTTAATTTTTTATTAATAAATTTGGAAAATTAATCCCTGAATACAAAATTTTAACCAAATAAATAATATACCACGATAATTTAATAACAGTAAATTAATTGATTTTTTAAAAATAATATATAATTTTTAATAAAATATATTAATTTTTTATATGAAATATTAAAAATTCCTAATAAAAATATATAATTAAAAGTAAAATTCAAATAAATAATTAATTTCAAATCTAAATAAAAACACATTGGATCATTTACAAAAAAATTAATAAATAAAAAATCACCATTTTAAAAAAAATAAATAAAATTTGTCTACCTTTAATTTTTTATAGATTGATTGCATATATGTATGGTAGTTCTTTGGCTTATTTTACATTTATCACATTATTATCATTATTGTTTTTTTCTATAGTATTCCATGATTTTATTCTTATTAATATATTTTTAATTATTATTTAAATAATAATAATAATAATAACAATAAAAGTACTTCACTAATTACTAACCAAAATAGGACATAGGACAGGAGTGGAGGTGTCGAGGGTTTTGTTGCGCACGCGGCTCTCTCCGTCATACGCATCGCAACCGAAGCGATGGGCAGTACAGTGGTAGCAGAGAAGACGGAGGAAGAGCTCCGTAAAGAGATCGACGAGCTCCACCGCCAGCAGCGCGAGGTGCTTTTTTGTGTGTATATATATATATATATATATTTCTTCTTTTATTCGAAAATCCTTCGATTGCTTGTTCGATTTTAGGTTGTATGTTGCGAATTATTTGGTTTTTTTGGTTGTGTATGTGTGTCTGGTAGATTACGCAGCGGCTTCGCGATCCCCGGGGGATTCGCCGCGGAGGCTTGGCAGGTGCTGGACCGAGGAATTTTGCCGTCAATGGCGGACGCCAGCGTGGCTTTGTTCGACCTGTAGGGTTTTTCTTTTTTTTTTTTAAAAAAAAAATTTTCTGGCTCTATGTCGTCATAGAGAACATCGATTCATGTTGTGGATTCAGAAACTACATGCTCTAGATTCTCTTGTCAATTTCGTCAGTTGATTTTTATTACTTTATGCGTAGGCTGAAAGGAATGACGCGGAGGACCAGCCTCCGGCTAAAAGGCGACTCTCTTCAGCTGTGGTGAAGGTACTGAGAGCACGTTCTAGGCTGTTTGGAATCAAGGAATTGAATTTGAAGCCTTAGAATTGAAATTGGGATATTTCCATTAAATTTGAACGTATTTGAAAGCCTTAGGGTTTAGGATATGGAATCAAGGAATTGTATATGAAGCATTGGAATTGAAATTAGGATATTTCCATTAAATTTGAACATATTTTTACTATAACAATATAAACCCCAACCTAAGATTGTGTTTTTCTAATATGAAGATTGAGGATGGGGAAATAGCTGAAGGTTCAGAAGTTGTGAATGATGTGGAAAAGAAAGATTCAGCTGCTGCTGCAGGTGAGACGGCAGAGGAGAATGCGAACCATGGTGAGAGAAGGCCATCAAATTGGTCCAGGAGGGATGGTAACCAGAGGCCATCCAGAATGGTAAAGGATATCCTTCTTTAAACTTGAAGTTATCAAATCATTCAGTTTATGTTGATCCTTCTCTTGAGAATCTTTGTCCTGCTTTATACTCAATTAATTAGGACTTTGATATCCCTCCGGAGCAACATGTACCAAGGGTGTTGCCAAAGGATGAAGATCCTAGTTTGCTCAACAGGAATAAGAGGATGTTGGGTCAGCTTCTTGGGACATTGGAGGTACGTCTGCAAATCCTTTGGTTTCGAGCGTTCCTAAATATTTGCCCTTTTCTTGTGCTCCATACTATCACAGTTGATCCTAGGTCAGTGTAATGGTGTTAGTGATTTTGTTTAGTTTGTTAGCTACGTCATGCTGAATGAAACAGATCATTTAGGATTTGTTTTATTGGATGTGCAAAGAGTATAGTTAGATCCTCGGAGAGCTTTTGTTGATGCAATAGAGTGGGCAGTGGAGCTGTTACTACATTGTTACTAATTCTGAAAGTATCTTTTGTCATCGTATCTGATGTTTTGGAACATTCCTCTAGTCTGATTTCTTACACAGATATTTATTATTTTATTTTCTTCTGATGCTAATATTCAATTCTTTCATTTGTAATCATCCAGAGGTTCAGGAAAGACGACATGAAGCTAGCGGGCACGGAGGCATATATGAGAAGATCTGATTCGTTGAAAAGGGTGATTTTCTATATTTTCTTTTGACACGTGCAAGCTATTCTGAATGGATCATGGTGAAAGAATTAGAGTCCAAGTCACTCTTAACATTTTCTTCAATCTGGATGTAGAATAGATAATGGCAATTAGCATGTAAAAAATATTTGACACTTTTGATTGGGTATTGCACAAGTTTGCGCAACTTCTCTGTTGAGGAATGATGCCCAAAGGTTCCATGTTAAAAATCTCAGCTTTCTGAAATAGGGATAAATTTCAACGGATCAAGTTATATCTCTCTTTTACGTCTGTTAATTCTTTTATGCACGGATGAACTCACTTGCATGTTAGTGTAACTTCAACTGAGAAATTTGTGGTCCTTGGGAAGTTTAATAGTTTCCCACCTTCATTTTGTACTTATATATCTTTTACCATTTGTGTAGGCGGAGCAACGAGCGCGTGAAGAAAGTGAAAAGCTGAGACAACAAGAGCGCGAGCAGATAGCTGAGAAGAGGAAGAGAGACGTGGTTAGTTTCACTAATTGCTTCCTTACTTTTCTCTCTTCTGAAGTTTATATTGTATGTTTCTGTATTCCACAAGTAAGTTAGTGTGTGTATTCCCTAATTTGTAGCTGTGCTTTCTCAATGGCAGACTCTCAGAGCTCGTCTCGCAGCAAAAGCAGAGGAAAAGAAGCTGGAATTGCTGTTTCTTCGGTGGAGTGAGCATCACCAGAAACTTGGAAATTTTATAAGGCATGCCATTTGATTTGACCTGCAATGTACATGATAAGAAAAAAACAAAAAAATGTGTTGACGATTCTAGTCATTCTTGTGCAGGTTATTTCTAATTTTGGTCCAAAGTCTGCATATTCACAATTTTATTGACATCAAGATAAGTGGCCGTTCACGAGCAGAGTGTTGGAGCAGCTAATAACTCAGTTTCCTGCTTCTAGTTTTGGTTCTTGTCGTTAACTTTTGGGTTGTGTATTTTTCTTCCAGGACCAAGGCAGAGCCTCCGATCTATTACATGTTTTCTAAACCTCTGGATCAAGACACAACTTTGATCGAGCAACAGAAAGAACAGGTATGCTACATCTTTGGCTGTCGTTACTTGGCCTCTACAGCATCTCGGTTGTATTGTGTTTTACTAGCTAATTGTTCCAGAACAAGATTTACTGTATTTGTTGTATTTTCTTTTCATCGATCATGTCACTCATTAAAGATTTCTTCGCCCCATATGTCAGATGTTTCAAGAATGGAAGGCTGCAAGGAGGGAGGAATTATCGCAATATCAGAAGCAGATCGCCGAGCAGTACGTTGCTAATGTCGACAAGGAGCTTGAAAGGTGGCAAAACGTACGGAAAGGTAGGAGAGCAAACAACGAAATGGCCAACTTACAGGAGACTATGGACAAAGAACTCGAAACCCACCAGCTCGAGCATGGCCCAAAGACTCGAAAAATACCCGGCCAAGGTAACAACGAAGATGAAGATGACGTTGAAGACATAAACGCTGCTGAGGATGACATGATGGAGGATGACGTTCTTGGCGAGGACGAAAACGTTCCAAGGGTCGACGAGGCTGTGAAAACCGAAGCAGCTAATGGCATCTCCCCACATGACAACAAGAAGGACGAGTAGGTTTACGGAATGTGCGCGCACCCTTCCAATGTGTCTCATTAGCTTAAAAGAGTTTTAGGGTCTATAGATTTTTCGCCTTGACTATCCCAGGTTTGCTTTAGTTCATGAATCTATTTGATTATTTGCTTTGTGAATCTATTTGCGGAAAATTGAAGAACATTTGTCCTTAGTATTTAGATATAAAGTTACTGTTTTTATCTGCAGAGACTGAATTGTTTTGTTTGCTGAAATAAATGCTTTATATGAATCCCCTTGGTGTTCTTCCTTCTTGACTCAACTGTGGAAACATTAACCGCCATTGCAGTTGGAGTGTAGCATTCAGTTGAGTAACTGACTAGGCGATGTTGTATATATGGAGCCGAATCTATAGTTCGTATCCTTTTAGTGTTCGTTGCCTACGTACCGTCAATTGATTCAAGCTCTGTTAATGGAGGCACTGGAGATAGTTTAGCTTTATTGTGGCCGCGGGATTAGTCCTTTATGCGCTGGTGCTTGCGAGGAAAGAAATCCCTAGAACACGTCGCGCTAGGATTAAGGAAGAGAAACTGAAGTTCATCGCGCAAGCGTTGGAAGGTGCGGAAGAGAGATTGTCCTGGTTGGAATTAAGGCAGGCCATGCTGCTCAAACTATACCCTTCCTATGATAATGACGGTAATGAGATTATCGACGACGCAGTTACTGGAGCTGGCGATGCCTGCCATGAAGCTGTTCGCCTTGTTCTTAAGCTCAGGAATATGCAATCGGAAACTCTCGACACGTACTGGCCGTAATTCTTCGTCGCCATCTTTTTGTGCTTTTTTTGTTATGTGATTTGGATGATCTGATCGGATCGGATCTTCACTTGAATTGAGGAATTCAATTCGTTTGTAGATGATTAGGATTGTGATCTTCATGAAGTTGCGTGATCGATCTGGAAGTAGTTAGGGTTCATCTGCGCTGGGGTTTAAGCTTCGTAGTTAAGATTGAATTGATTGATTAAATTAATCCTTTTATATATATATATATATATTATATTCACGTTTTTTGTGACTGACTGACTGCCTGCCTGTGTAAGCAAGCTTCTACACAATTTCAAAGATTCTCTCTCCCCTCCTCCCCTGTCACTGTCTCTGGAAAAGGAAACGGAAGAAGGCAGGCAGAGTAAAAGGAAAAGCAGCAGCGGTGGCGACCGCCGTGAGTGGTGGTGGTGGTGCTAATTCTTCGCCTATATCCTTAATTATCCGCTAATTTTCAGTCGCCGCCATAGAATGACCTCCAGAACCACCACTGCCGGCGCCACCGCTAATGGCACTCACCGCCACAGCTCTCAGTCTTCCTCCTCCGCCTCCGCTTCCTTCCGCGGCTGCTGCTGCTGCCTCTTCCTCCTCTTCTCCTTCCTTGCTCTTCTAATCCTCGCCGTAATCCTCGTCGTCGTTCTCGCAGTGAAGCCAAAAAAGCCGGAGTTCGATCTCCAGCAAGTCAGTGTACAGTCCATGGGAATCAACCCTACCACGGCCTCCTCCGCCACCGTGTCCTTGGGAATCCGCATGGTCTTCACCACCGCCAACGACAATAAGGTCGGGATCAAGTACGGCGAGTCCAGGTTCACCGTCATGTACCGCGGCATACCTCTCGGCCGCGCCACCGTCCCCGGATTCTACCAGCCCGCCCACAGCGTCCGCCGCTTCGACGCCACCGTGGCCGTCGATCGCGTCAACTTGCTTCAAGCCGACGCTTCCGATTTGGTTCGAGACGCCGCTTTCAATGACCGGGTCGAACTCCGGGTCGTCGGTGATGTCGGAGCCAAGATCCGGGTCCTCGGATTAACTTCGCCCGGCGTGCAGGTTGGCACCTCTGACCTCAGCCTTATTAGTTCATTATATGTTAATGCACGTCTAAATTCAAATTATCGATTTATTTATTACTGTCCGATTTCTACCTGCTCTAGCATTTCCATTGTTTTTGTCCATTTCTTGAATTTTTGTTTCTTGCTTATTATAGTGTTTGAGGGGAATTGTTGGGGGATTAATGAAGTGAACTGATTTAATCTAGCAAATTGTTTTAAAGCCTAATGCATAATTGAGTAGGAAGGGATATCTTTTTATCAAAATGTAGTATATACTTAGTTATGTTTTGTTTATCATGTGATTAATTGAATAAAATTAGGCATTTTGTATTATTATTATTATTATTATTATTATTATTATTATTATTATTAATGACACAAATGGTTATATATTTGGGGTGTGCTTATTGTGTGCATATCTATCTATATGTCTATATATACTCGCCTGTCCCGGTTCAAGGAGGTTATTTGGGGTTTTATAGTAGATTAAGAAATAATAGTATTTTATTAGTTATTGGACGTGTAAGAGGTTTTGATATTTTTGATATTAGTGTATGATTAATTTTAATAAAATAGGAAAGAGATACATTGGAGTGAGACAAACGGAAATTGTAAAAATGGTACTTTGGGTTGGGACGGAGAGAGTGTATATATATCTTAAAATGTATAATTATTGAATATAAATTTTTTTGTTGAGTAAAAATAGTAGATTAAATTATGAAATATAACTACAAATAAAGAACCCTTTGTACAAATAATATAATGGCAAAATCTGGTAGTATTTATTAAGCATAGCATCTTTGTGTGCACTTGAAGGCAAAAAAGCATGTAACAATGTAACTAAAAGTAGCCTATAATCTTAAGGCACAAATTGACAGTATCTTGTAAAGTACTGGTCTGGTCCAATCTTCAGTTACGTTCATTGTGAATGGTATTTGGTAGTTGTTACCTCTTCTGTCATGGCCCAGGATATTATATGATACGATATGATAAAACAGTACGTTGTCAATGTCGTGTTTACATAATTGCAACTTTCAAAAATTGCCAAATTATAGCAAAAACTACTGGAAGCTTTCATATGAATTATGTACTTGCATGCCTTTGCTGGGTAACTTCAGATTCTCATGAACCCTTTTTCCATTTCTTTAGAAATGCACAAAATCATGTCAGTCTATTTATTCATAATCTCTTGAATATCCACAGTGGTAGTTTCTTGGAGGTAATTGGAATGGGAATTGGATGTAGTTTTTGGTTGAAGATTAGAAAAGAAAAAAATGAAAAGTGGTGCTATAGTATGGTATATTTTAGTGAGTTGCTTTGTTTTTACGTAGAAAGAGAACAAGAAGTGGGCCAGGCATTGTCACTGTCACTGTCACCGTCACTGTCACTTATTTCTCTCATTATTGTGGTGGTGCAAAGTGGGCAACCTCCTCTGACATGGTTGCACCCTCTTGTTTTTTATTCTCTCCAGCTTTAAATTTTTTATTTTTTATTTTTTATTTTTTTTAAAGCACACTGGCTTGCTTTTCCCTCTTTGTACACACACGAGCCCACTTATATTGACTTTTGTTATCATGCTTTCATTAGGGTTTTCAATATATATATATGTGTATATATATATGTTGGGAGTACTTGATGCAGAATCTCAATGTGTTAGAAATAGAGCTTGTGCACAACATTCAAAAGTTTCTTTAATGTGTCTGGATATCTCTAGTAAGACATTCTTGGATATTGTTACTATTGTGATGATGAAAATTGGTTTTGTTTTGCCTATGCTATGCTTGTTTGACCAAATCATGTTTCTTATATGTACTGGTCTGTTTTTTAAGGTTTTTATTTGGATATAAAAATTGAAATAATAATTAATGTGATGTTCTAATTAAACTGTAAAAAATAAATCTTTGATTTTATAATTTTTAAGGAAAAAGTTGATGAATAGTGTGAGGCTATAACAAAACCTTAAACGAACATTATATATATTGAGTGATAAATGTGAACTTTCTTTGTTTAAAAGTTGATTCAAATGGGTGTATTTACCCGCGTGCTTTGTAGGTTTCGGTTGATTGCAAGATAGCTATCAGCCCGAGAAAACAATCGTTGATATACAAACAGTGTGGATTCGACGGCCTCAGTGTATGAACGAACGCCACCGGGTAATTACACGCCTATATATATATATATATATATATACACACATCTTCATTTGATCATGTCCCTTGGCTATGATGTGCTTTCCCATTTCACTCTTGAAAATGAAAAGAGTGAATTCCCATATGGAATGGAGTGAGAGCTAGCAGCTAATACCACTGTAAGTTAATCCCTAAAATTGTGAAAAGAACTCTAAAGACAATTTTTATATGATTATATTTTGCAGTTTTGCAAGTGAGATTTTGTATGTGGTTCATTTTCCATTATTGGACTACTACCAATTTATGGAGACATATACATACATCATATTTAAAATATGATCACATAATTAAATAAATACCAGTGATAATTGTAAAATTATACTTATATGATTGGCACGATTTTGATCGAATTTATTTTTGGGCCGTGCTTTTAACAGCTCTAATCACAGCTAAAAGATTAAATCAATTAACCAACACTGCTAGGTTGACTTAATTTTAGTTCACTCAGCTGTAGGGCCTGATTTACTAGTTATACTAGGTTGTAGGTTAAGCTGTTACTCTAATCCATTTTGACAGCTACGTACTATACTATAGAACAAACACTTGCAGAAAAGCTACAAAATCTCATGGAAATATAAGACTGAAACCAAATTTAAGTTATAAAATTCCAAAGTCTGGAAACACAACAAAACTTTCAAAACCCAAACAAGCATGGAGTCGGAAAATTTGAACCATAAAGCAACCAAGTACCGAATAAAATCCTAGTGCAAATAATATCCAATGGTTCCACAAACCTCTTGCGCCCTAAGCCTTGACACGGCCATAGAACTTCTGCTTCTCCTGGGTCGTCTGGAAGCGCCCATGTCCAAACTTGGAGGAAGTATCGATGAACTTGAGCTTGATCTCCTCGAGGGCAACCCGAGAAGTCTGGCTGAGAAGAGACTGTCGAAGAGTGACAACTCTCTTCTTAGGACCAACACAGCAACCTTTGATCATCAGATAGTCATCCTTCACCACACCGTAATGGGGGAATCCACCCATTGGCGTGATATCTTTCTCGGTCCTGTTATACCATTCAAGAACATCAAACCATTCATCATTCACAGATAAAAGTCAATAGATGGTAGTAGATAATGTAGGAGGTGAACATTAGTGGGGCAAACCTGTCAAACTCGGTGCTGGCAGCGTGCTCCTCTTTGCCAGACTTGCCGACCTTGTAGATCTTCTTGTTCATCTCAGTACGGTGATGGTAACCATTCTGACCGGCTCTAGCAACCGTGAAGGAAACTCTAGCAGGGTGCCATGCACCGATACAAGCAACCTTGCGGAGACCCCTGTGGGTCTTGCGAGGAAGACGGGTGACACCCCAACGGGTGACAACACCCTCGTAACCTTTACCCTTGGTGACACCGATGATGTCAATCATCTCATCCTTCTGGAAGACTGCATCAATAGGGACTTGTTTCTCGAAGAAACCATGAGCAAAGTCGACCTTCTGGGCAATTGTCCCGCCATTGACTTGAATCTCCATCAAGTGTGCCTTCTTCTGTTTCAGGCCCTTCATCTTCCTTATCTGCATTTGCGAGAGGAACAATAATGTAATACAAGATTCATGTCTGTAATTTAGAAGAAACGAAAATAAAAAGATTTAAGAATACAATGATATATACCTGAGTGTGAGCCAGCACACGAATAACCGATGCGTATTTCTTGAGTTTCTCCAGCTGTGCTTGGATCTCCTTCTTCCCCTCGTCAGTCTCGAGCTTGTGGGAATACTTTGTGAAGGCCTTCTTCTTGGACTTGCACCAATTCTTGTAGAACCTCCTCCGTACCTCCTCGCTGAGATGCTGAGCCCAGACAGTGTTGAGGCAGCGAAGCCCACGAGGAGTCTTGACATACCCAACCACACCAACAATAACCATTGGTGGTGTTTCGATGACAGTGACAGCCTCACAGGTCTCCTTCTTGTGAAGCTCTGAAAACAGAATTTCCAATCAACATTATGCCTCAACAAGAACACAAGTAGTACAATCTATGGTTTGGCAGAAATAACAATAGTATTTCTGATTGCATCAAAATAACAAGATGATAGCTTACTCGATCCGGGCTTCTCGACATCCCTGACAATGTGAGTCATTCCAGCCTTGTATCCCAAGAAGGCTGTCAATTTGGGTGCCTTTGTTGGGTCATCCTTTGGGAATGCCTTCACTGCATTATTGAATCGAAAAATCCATTGATGGATCAATAATAGCTAGCAAAAAGGTTAAAAACAAACATACAAAGAATAGATCAAATACATAAACATTCAAAAATGTGCAGCACATAAAAAAAAAAAGAAAAGAAAAGAAAATAACCAACGTGATTGATAAAGCAATTACTGGCAATTACATATAAAATCATGATTCGTATCTTTCTTTACCTCCGGAGACCATCCACATTCAAACATCGTATTCAACTACAAATGATTCAAAACCTAATTTTACTTAAAACATAACTTCAAAAATTATTTCCATTCAAAAATTCCAAATCCAAAACTTTCTAAAACATCCAAAACATAATCGAAGAACCAATTATTTTCCCAGTATAATCATCTTCTCATTATACCAATATTTAAGAGAATAGATTGGAAATTTATATGGCTTTCCTCATAGGATGCATATCAAGCAATTACAAAGTGCAGATTGTGATAAAATCTTACCCTTTCCCCTGTGGCGAGCAGCCCTCTTCCTCGGCAGGAAACCGAGGGATCCGTGCCTTGGGTGCTCAAACTTCCTGTGAGACATTGTCCACCTCCAATCTGGAACGACAAAGTTAATGGATTATGGAAAACGAAAAGGAAACGAAGAACCAAAACTTTTCCATTAAGTTCACCACAAAAACTAAAATACACTAAGCAAATAATAACGATTCACTTAGTGTGCAAAACCTCGATGCTAATGGATATTGAAAACGTAGCTCAAAACAATCGACTACAAAGCCATCCCAAAGTACGAGCCGATTGAATGCATTTGAACAAAAAGCCAAAAAACCAAAGCTTTCAACACGCACACAAATCAAATAATTGTACGTAGATAAATACCATAACCCTAAAAATTGCATCGACATACACCAATCCTCTTCATGCAAATTGCGAAAGAGAGATCCAAACCTAAAGAGAAGCAAAAGCCATTACCTGAACTCGCTGCCGCTACGGTCTCACGAAGAACCCTACTTCAGCAGCCTCCACCAATTTATATACAACATACGGGCCTTTAATGGGCCACATTATTAATGACCTTCGCTCTATATGGGCCCATATTGGGCCTGTTTAAATGGGCTAATTATTTGGATTTATTTTAATTGAGCCTTTTATATTTGGCCCAAAATAATAATTTCCAGATCACGAGCCCACTATATAAGAGACAGTTGTCGATCCTGAGAAACTTTGCAAATACACACCGAAAGGGAATCTCCAGTGGAAGTTCAGCAACCGCCGATGGATTTCGCGAGCCTGACAGACGCCTTGGCGTCCAAATCCTATGACAAGGTCGCGTCCATTTGTGACGCACTGATGCTTCAGGTGAGCTGCTCGATCAACTCCATTTCCATCTGAGTACCTAGAAACCCTAATTATTTTTTTTTTTTTTTGTTGTGTGTGTTATTGTGCCTGCTTTTGCTGTTTCAGTTTGCGTCTGAGGGCATTGCCTTTCGTGACGAGTGGCCGTACGCGATTCATCTCCTAGGCTACATCTACGTTAACGACATGTAATTTTGTAGAGTGTTTGACTTATTTATTGGATTTGAGTTTCTTTTGTGGTCTAGTGGAGTGCTTGCTTGTTATGAAGGATCGAGATGGCTGGTAATGGTTATGCTGGTTGTTTTTTGCGTTTCACTTGCAGCAATAGTGCACGGTTTTTGTGGAAAACGATACCAGCGGCGGTGAAAGAGAACAAACCGGAGGTATTGGCTGCTTGGAAAATTGGGCAAAAACTGTGGAATAAGGATTACGGTGGTGTTCATGAGGCCATTCGGGAGTTCAGTTGGAGTCCAGAAACTCAGGGCATTGTGGCGGCGTTCTCAGGTGATTGAGTAATTTAGATATTTTTAGCCTGCAGAAGAATTTGTCGATTTGAGATTCTCAAGTGCATTTTTATTTGGATCCATTATGAGTCAGATACGGTTTTAGCACATTTGGATTTTGTGTTTGAAAAAGAGTGGAAAAAGGAAAAGTGCAAGAGACTGTTGTTAAGCTAATTAAAAAGAAAAAATGGACTTGAAACTTCCAAGTAGACAGCATAGAATGCTTGGTGTTCTGTTTATGAGTTCTTGAATCTTTCTATTTTATGGATTCCTTTGTCTCGTCATTTGTGTGGACATCACAGATTGATTCCATAAGACTTAATGTTATTTTAGCTGTAGTTGGATAGATCATAGCTTGATAAAACTAATGGTTATTATCTGTTCCTTTTGAATTAAGGATGGTTATCTTCATCTGGTATTTTTCAAAATATCTACTCAACAGTTTTTATGATCAAGTGTGAGCAAAGCTAATTATTGAGGCACACTTCACGATGGAAATTGTGTAATTGAATGATTTGAGGGTATCTTAATAAACTTTCCTTGGGTGTGTTTGAATTTGTTTTACATCTCCCCATAATCTCTGTAGGGTGTGTTTGTTTGGGGGTTTGGATTTTGGATTGAGATTTGAATAGTAAAAATTTTGAATGTGAATAGTTGTATGATTTATAAATAAATGATAATGTGATGTTTTGAATGTAAAATTGGTTTTTAGTATAATATAGAAAAATGAAAAACTAGGTGTTTGATTTGGTGATTTTGGAGGGAAAAATTTGAATGAACCTAAAGTTTAGGAAAAATCCCCCAAACGAACACACCCGTAATGTATTACAGTTTCTCTTACAGATGAACACAAAAATCTTGCAGCTTTTTTTCTTCAACAGACTTAAATCATCATCCATTCTTGTGCTCATTTCTAGTTCAGGAGAAGTTACAGAAAGCACAAAATATGTCTCCTTTATCCCGTTAACTTAGCTTTATTCGATTTCATTTATTACAGAAAGCATTAACTTCTGGGGATCATTGACTGATTTATTTATTATTTTATTTGATATTACTGTAGATCTTTTCACTCGAAAGATGTTTGAATTGCTTCTTTCTGCTTATTCGACAATAAGCATTCAAGATGCAGCTCGTTTCCTTGGAATGAGCGAAGATGATGCAACAAACTGTAAGTTTCCTTTATGCCCCCCCTGTAAGACTAGAGTTTGCATAATTTCTGGTTCATGATATAAAATGTGGTTAGGTTATAGCTAAGATATAATATTCAGTGCAAGAGATACTATTAAACATGAACATTCAGGTCCGGTTGAAATGTTAACTTCATGAATTCTCTCTACTCAGCTTCCTACAGTGATCTGATTTTCTCTTGGTTGGGCTAACAATGTTCTGTATGGTCTGTCTGACCTTTCAGATGGCGTGCAGCGTGGTTGGACTATGGACCCAATGTCCCGTATGCTGACTGTAGAGAAGCAAGCCATTGCAAAAGAGCAGAAACTCGACTCCAGTAACCTGGGACGTCTCACCGAGTACGTATTCCACCTCGAGCACTGATCCAATATTTGGTTTGTGTAAAAGCAAGGTAGCTGGCTGGCTTAAAATTGCATACCTGTGTACATGTGTGTGTTGAACTGTAATTTTGTGACTGCCAAGAAGGTGGTATTGATTGATTGAGTGACAGAAACTTGGTAATCCATGCTGATGGATGGATGGATTGAATAAATGAGGAAAATCGCCTAGCACAAACAAAACCAGTTTCCGCCAACAGAGGAAACTGCTCTGCTCAGCTCAGCTCAGCTTGACTATTCTTCTCCAACTAATTGCTCCTCTTGCTCTCGAGAATCAATCAATATCGGTGGTTTGAATATTGTCCCATGGTTAATATTTGGGAACAAATTCTATACAGTTTTATCTTCAAAAATATACTTGCTACATTACTTTCAATCCACCATTCTATTTTTTAGTTCAAAATAATATTTTTCAAATATTCTATTTATATATTATTTTAAATTACTTTTTATATCTATAATTAATATTATTTTTCAAAAAAAAAAACTAGATAATTAATATACAAAACTTTTAAAAATTTACAAAACAAAATTAAAAAAAATAATAGTAACATTAAAAATAGAGTTGCTACAATGGCGCAGGTTGGAGTACTCCCAACGTAGGATAATTTAGAAATTAGGTGATGTGAGGGAGAGAGAAACATATATTTTATTTGGATGACGTGAGAGGATAAAGTGTGGGGTAGAAATTAAATATAATTAATAATTTTTTTTTGAAAATATTGCAGGGTGTTTGAGACATACCAAGGTGCTTGGGACGGAGGGAGTATTATTTAATAAATTTAGATAAGGAGTATAATATAGTAGTAATTAAATTAAAGAAAATAAAAACTTGATTCATTTTATTTTTATAATAAATAATTTTTTATCATTGTTTTAAAATGTGAGATAGAATTTAAGAATAATATAGTTAATAAAAAATTAAAATATTTTAATAAAATTGATATAATACAAAATAATTAATATATTTAATTTTAATTTAAGAAATATTAAATTTAAAATATAATTAAAACATGTTAATTTTTTATTTTTTATTTTTTTCAAAAAGGGAAATAAATGAAAACCTTAAGAGGAAGTAGTATTTAAAATAATTCTGATAATAATAATAAAGAATTACGGAGTATAAAAACCTTTGTTGATGTATGGTTCATTGCACACTGGACGGAACATCATCCAAAACTCTCGCGCGGAGCGCCATCAGCGCCGACTATCTCCGTCAAGGCATTTTTAAGCTGTTATAGGTAAATATTGCTCTTCCTTCTCTTTTCGGTGCTCTGGCATTGATGTTTGCGTTGCCAAGTTGTATGGATAAAACTCGTGCTATTATAATTTTCGGTTCGTTTTCGAATTTGTTGTTTCAACCGTGTTCGATTTGCTCAATTTCGAACTATTTGGATTTGTATATGCGGCGGAATTAGTAGGAGAAATTTGTTGTAACATTGAGTTACTTATAATTCTCATTTAGTTCCTAGCTAATTGGTTGTTTGCTGTTGCGTTATGAATTAGTTGAATTTAACTTCCGGCTGTTTTTATTATTCTTATTTTTTATTTTATTTTATTTTATTTTTTCCGGTTAAGCTTATTATAGCCTTGATTGTTGTTTGTTGTGGCGAGGGTAAATTCTGGGTTAGATGTACTTGCTTTTGTGTCTTTGAGATGTTTATGTTGTTGCCTCAATTTTTCTTATGTCATTACATGTAGCTTTTTTCTTATGCGTCTATAAGTTTTTTCTGAATACACTGGATGAAAAGAATAGAAAGCAATTTGTGTCTTAAATGAAGACATTATGCGTTAGATGCAATTTGCTGGAAAATGTTAGGAGGTTGAATTTTGTTGATTTGTTGACTTCTCTTTCGCTAAATTCTAAAGTTTAATCCTCAGTTATATCTCCTGTATTTCCTTCATTTTTACAGTGAAGGATACTGTTGTCCATTTCAAACCATACATACATTTTAATTGTTTCAATATTCATGGAGGATGTATTAGCACTGTGGAACTAGAGCACTACTTTTTGGTAGTTTTGTTTTAGAAAAGCGTGGAACCGAGTTTATTGAACAAGAAGGATAACATAAATTGTATGAATGCAAGAAATTCTTAGGGCAACCTGTGTGCCAATCATCTAGTTTCGAATTTAGTTCAGATCACTCTATTAAATTATTCCACAAATATCTTTGGATTTGTTTACTTGTGCTTCACTTTGTTTTGGATTTGAACTTTTTTCAAATGGAAAATAGGTATTGGATATATTGTTTAAATTAAAAATAAACATTGGATGTGATGTTTTTAGGCCCAAAAAAATTTTCACTTTAGATTTCATTGTGAAAAAATGAAGATGAAAACACAAGTGAATACACTATTTGTTGTTGATGAGAATATCTTTATTCTTGACCTTGTTTATGTTTAAGGTAAATCCTGTAGAACTCCAAGAGAAGAAAGATCATACGTTTCTTCTCGGTCATCTATGGCTTTAGTATGTTTTTAGTTCTGTATTGCTGTAAAAGCTTGGACCAGCTGTTCTTGCACATTAATTTCATCATCTGAACAAAATTCACCCTGTGCAGTTTGAGATATTCAAAATCAGTCACATAGGATGGCAGCACTGTCTCTGCAGAGCTCATTCGTATCCCTGAAGCTGTCGACCAACTCATTTCTGGGTCAATGCTTCTCTCCCACCTACCTCCCTATGGTCTGTCTCTGCTTGCCTTTATTGCCCGTTTCTTTAATTTTTCACTTTAGTATGTATATACATGCAAGTTTCGATATTTTTGCACTTTGTTTGTGTTTATAACACATCAAAGCAACTGGAAAGGTTATGCAGCCAACATTATATTAACGATCATTTACTCTAATATCCCTACAAGAGTTTCTTACCAATATGTTCAACGAGTACTTGTTGGAAGAAACACAATGTTTGCTGCATCATATAGTGCGAAAAGGGTTTTCCATGAGATGTGAAATGTAGCTTTGTACAAGTAATTTGTTAGGATTGTCCATGTGTGGGCAAATGGACCTCTTATTTTATTGGAATTTTTGTTATTGAGCTCGATGCAAATGATCTTGGCCCTCCGAAACCATTTGCCACAAATTTGCGACTTTTTTTCTTTTTTTTGTAGAAAAGAGTTTTGATGTAAATATGTTACTCAAAGTTCTGAATAGGGTTATTCTTTTTAAAGTTTGATTTTGCTTTTTGTCTAATATATTAGTTTAGATGTGATGTTTTATAAAAAAAAATTGTGTATTTTTTTTATAAAGAATCGTGATTTTTGTATAGTAAAAAATAGTAATAATGATAATAAATTGAAACTAAACACACTTTGAGAGGTTTTGATTTTGAGTTTTGACTTTGAATGATAAAATTTTGAATTGAAACAGTGGTTTGATGTGATATAAATATGCATTGATGTGATATTTTTATGTAATAAAATAAATGAAAATTAAGTGTTTTGATTTGATATTTTTTGAGGAAAAATAAAGTTGGAATCAGTAAAATCAGATAAAATCTTACAAGTAAACAGAACTATAGTCTTATTCTTTCTTGGACTTTCATATCTTTCTAACCAATGATTCTGCCCTTCGGTTTTCCATCGCAACCTGTGGTTTTACATGCAGATTAAAACAACAGAGCAGCCCAGCTCGATTGTTGCAAAGGTTGGTCTTCTAGTCTCCTTAATATTGCTTCAATTTATAGTTTAATATACAAAGCAGGACATTCCCTACACTGCTGGAGTCTGTATGGATCCATCTCATAAACATTTCATTTGCAGCTTAAACGATGGGAACGGAAAGAGTGCAAACCAAACAGCCTTCCGGTGCTACACAAAATGCACGTTAAAGTTGGGGACACTGTCAAAGTCATATCCGGGAAGGACAAAGGGAAAGTGGGCGAGGTTGCTCGGGTTATTAAGCACAACAGCCACATCGTAATAAAAGATATCAACTTAAAGACAAAGCACGTGAAGAGCAAGGAGGAAGGAGAACAGGGGCAGATAATCAAGGTTAAATTTTTTACCATAGGTAAAAAATATCGATTGATTCTTGTAGTCCCCGATTAGTGATGGAAAAGTAACATTTTTTTTCAGATCGAAGCGCCGATCCATAGCTCAAATGTCATGCTCTACTCGAAAGAACAGGATGTGGTGAGCAGAGTCGGGCATAAAACTCTCGAAAACGGTAAACGGGTTCGGTATCTAATTAAGACGGGCGAAGTAATCGACAGCCCGGAGAAATGGAAGAGAGTTGTGAAGGAACAAGAGAAACCTGCAGAAGTAGCTGCTGCGGCTGCCTCTTAGCCGTATCGACATTGTGCCGATGTATCGATTCGAAACAGGTACAATCTTTCACTGCCTGTGCCTGATTTATTTCTTCATTTTGGATGCTTCATACTTGTTAAATGTTAGTTGGTGATAATCTTGTTCTTGTGTATTTTTCTTGTACATTTTTGTTTGAGTTATTAGTCATGAAATTTTTCTATTGCATGCTCATGATTTTCTGGCTACGTACTAATCTACACATACTATATGGCTTTACTTAACATTACCTAGTGTGATAATTATTATTTATTTATTTATTTATTTTTTTATGACGTGGGAACCTACAGTCGTTATCGAACCTAGTACCCTGCAAACTAGCTCAGGCTATTAAAAAAAAAAAAAAAAAAGCCATTGGTGTTTTTCTCAATGTTTGTGTAATTTAGATTTTTTTTATATAAAAAACATGAAGTTATAAAATAATTTAGAAAAAAAAATAAATAAATAAATGTATGATTTATTTTAATAGAAAATGTGTAAGTTGTACCTATTCTTGCTAATTGGCTAGTCTGCCCTGAGTCAGCTCTTTGGTCTAATTATAAACATGAAGGCCCATTTGAACCACAGAATTGAGGCCCTTGTATAATTCATGTATTGTGGAGTTAAATATTTATTAATTAAAATAAGTCACTCTGGAGCACAACTCCCGGTACTTGGGAGAATTCGAGCTGCAAATTTGAGATACGTTTTGTTCTGTTGGTTATGCTGATAAAAATTTATTAGTCAATTTTAAACTTCAACTTAAGTATGTATTGGAATATGACGCAAGTAAGATCTCCTTAGTTATAAATAGTTAATATCATTTTTTTTATATTATATAAAAAAAACTAAATCTAACAATATTAAAGTTTAATTTTTTATTTTAAAATAGTATATGGAATTATTATTTTATTTTAAAAATATTCCAATTAAAAAATTACAGCTATCAAAACGGATTGATGGATAACCTACCATAAATAGCGAATAAGCGAGTTTCTTGCAGACTAACCCGTGGCGGAGTGGACCCAATCCAGCGACGGGTGCGAACCAAACAGGTTAACCCACTGGCTTTTAAAAAAATTTACAATAATTATTTTTTATATATTTAATATAAAAAATAGTCATATCTTATCATTTAAATAATAAATATTTTAAAATATAAAAATATATTTATTTATTATTATAGATCTTTCAATTTTAGAAAAACAAAATTAAAGGACAATAAAAAATGGATAAAACAAACAAAAGAAAAATTGAAATAAAAAAAAATTACAACATCGATCAAGACAAAAATGGATAAAACAAACAAAAGAAAAATTGAAATAAAAAAATTACTACATCGCCAAGACAGTCATAAAAGAATGTAACATCTAGGGATGGTAATGGGTCCGGGTAGACCCAAGATCCGATCCGACCTATTTATTTGGGATCAGGTCCAATTATACGGGCTTCCGATCCGGGTCCGAGTTGGGTATTGTGTACTTTTATCGGGTCCGGGTCGAGTCTCGGGTCCAATGGTGGACCCTACCCGGACCCAGACCCGACTCGGACCTTATTAATATATTACTAATATATTAATTATATATATGAAAAAATTAATTTTTAATGCTATAAATTATAGTAAAAGTACATTTTTAGTTTTATTTATTTATTATTTTATTATAATATTTTTGAATAAAATATATAAATTTTAATATATATCGGGTCTTGGTCCGAGTTCGAGTCCAATTTTAAGTTAAATTTTAAAAATTATAAAAAACCATTTCGAGTCTATCGGGTCCATCGGGTCTTGTCAGGTATTATTCGGGTCGGCTCCGGATATGATCGGACTCGGGTATAATCTGGTCTAGTTCGAATCTCGGATCCAACCATATGTATTCAGGTCGGATCTCGGGTCCAGCTGGACCGACCCATTCCCATCCCTAGTAACATCTGAAGTAGGAGAATTTTTAATTAATTAATTATTTTTTTAACTAAATATAAAATGTTTTAAAAAATTATAATAAAATATAATATTTCACCAATCCATATGTATATATCTGCTTAGTTTGTTATTAAAAATGATGAATATTACTATTAAATAATGACAATAACTTTTAATATAATAATATATGTAAGTTATAGTAATTTTTTAAAGTGATGTAATAAGTGCAATTACTAAAAATAAAATAAATATATTAATTTTAAATAGATTAAAATGACAAAATAGATAAATTTATCTAAAATATCAATTATATTATAGTTATATTTATTTGACACATGGGCTAACTCGCCTCATAGGCCAACTTTCGGTCAGCACGAGTTGACTCATTTAAACCATTTAAAAAATTGAAATTTAATCATCTTTAAAAGTAAAACGGAGCAAAATTGACGGACTTAAACTCTTACCGTTCTAATTAAAACATCAAAATAAAATTAAAACAGAAGTAAACATATACAAAATGCCAATTCTTTATTTTGTATTCATTTTCTTTTCTTCTTTTTTATTATCATAAATGTAGAAAACCCATTGTGTCTTTTTTAGGTTCCAATTTAGTTTTTTATTATTTAAATTTAACATTCTATATCAAATATCTTTTTATTTTATATATATCACATTAAATAATATTTAAATAAAACAAATAAATTTATAATTCAATCCAAACTGAGTGCTTGCAAGAAAGGGTAGTCATGAACTCGTCCGATCTATCCAGTCTTCTTCTCTTGGCCTTTGTGTGGCCATGTAGGTTTGTTTGGTTTGCTTTCCAAATTACTTTTTTTTTATTATTATTTACTTATAATTTCTAATAAAAACAAATTACTTTTTCTTATATAATACTATTACATAAAAAAATAATATCTAAATTAAAATACAAATAAATAAAAAATCAAATCAAAGAACAAACCAAACAAACCCTATGTACATATTATATATACATGTATTATTTCATAGTAGTATATATATAATTTATTGATGTTATAATAATGTGATAAATAGTCTGTAAGATATCAATATGGCCAACTTAGTCTGAATTTTGGTTTTGATGTAAATATTTATATATATATATATATAAATATATTTACATAGAATATTGCATAGTAAAATAAATAAATAGATGTAATCAACCTTTTTCATATATATATATATATATATATATTAAAACTGTAATAAGTTTATAAGAAAGAAAATGCTTTTAAATGTTTTGTTTATAAATTAGTTCTTATATAACTTAACATATTATAACGATTTATTAAGTTGCATCATAAAGAATTTCACTAAAGGTGTGTTCTTTTACTATTCCTCAATTTTAAATTTTTTTTTTTTAACAATATCAAATCAAATATATATTTTTTTAATTTTTTACTATATCATAGTCATACTAAAAATTAATTTTACATGATCAATATCTATTTATATCACAACACATACGATTATTCAAATTCAAAATTTTTATTATTCAAATTACAAAGTCAAAATCTAAATTCCGGAACAAATTAAAAACAATCAGTAAATTATGACTATATTTATACCTATGTGTCATAATAAATCATTATTAATATATGTGTAACATATTATAAAACAATACACCTAACCAACTATTTAAAATAAAACCCAAAATAAACACACCCAAAACTTGTTATTGTTATGTATTATTTCATATTCATAGACTAAATTATAACATCTATATCAAAATTATACTTCAAAGTAAACAATTAATGCTATATTGGTAACTAAAACAATTGTTTTAGATTTAGTATTATTATTATTATAGTTCAAGTTGGGTTAATTGGAGACGATCTTAATATCGAATTTTCGGACAAAAAAATCAATTTACTTTAATGTATATATATAGTAAAAAAGAAAAATAAAAAACAAAAAACAAAAATGTAAACAGAACCTAAGCGGTGTTCATTTATTATGTTTCGAATCTTTTTATCATTCGATATATTATTCTTTCTTAAAAAGGATCGCATTTAACAATTATGCTAAGCCGACTTAATAATCGGAGAGTATTTAATTTACTTATATAGGCATTCTAAGCTACATGATCATGTACTTAACTAAAGTTACTCTTAAGATAATCATCTACAAATATTTATTAATTAGTTATGTTTACTGGTTAATTTTGTATTAGATTATTCCTTTAATTTTGATCCAACAAGTCTATATATGATCCTAAATTCAAGTTGTTAATCGATTTATTTGACTATATATCATCTAAGAGCAGCAAAATTTAATAATAGTGCATGCACACACATATATACACGATATGAACAGGAATGCAGGTGTTACTCTAATATGAAATTGCAATACGTAATGTGAATGGTGTGATTTTGTGCTAGACAGTATCGAAGATATTAAATTCAAGAGCATTTAGTGCTGTGAACATTTGAGACCATTCGTTTATGCAATATATTAGCTATTCAATTCAGGATATGCCAAATCCTTATCATTTGATTTGGTATCCTAAATTGTTTTAAGCTTTCAAGTGAATTAATCATCTGTTAATGACAGCATAGATGTTGATTATATCTAATCTAACCAACCAAAAGAAAATTCTAAGAAATATATATGTATATACATTAATAAAAAAAATTAAAATGAAAATGAGATGATATTTTGAAAAACTCATAAGAAAGATATTTTACTGTCGTCAATACTAAAATATACACTTCCTAAGTCGGCGAAGGATTTGAAATTGTACATCCGATCACATAAAAAACGAACACAAACAAACAAAAAATTAACAGGTATAGATTCAGAACCTGGCTATTTTTTTGGCGCGATTGTTGATCGGAGCTCCAGTCCGTCGGTAGACATCGATAAGCGATCCAAATCTAGGTTTTCTTCGCGGCAAAAGCTCGTCGTCCTCCTCGCGGCGGCTATTCGGATTGACAATCAAGCTCGACGACAGCGCTTCTCCGACGCTTCCTTCTTCCTCTCCTTTGCAATTGCTGCTTCCTTCGTGTTTTCCGTTGGAGAGATTCGCAGAAACGACGACGCGCGTATCATCGTCGGAGGAAGCCGTGGAGGCGCTGAGTTGGATTAGCTGAAGAACAGCGTTCATTTCCATCGTCGTGAGGCCGATTTCCATCTCGATTCCGATCGATCGCTGCAATTTCAACACTGAAACGAAATTTGGAGCGGTTTGCTGTTAATTTTGTGGTTTGGTCTTTTTCACTCTATCAGAATTTCTCTGCGCTTTGCTTAATAAATCGGGAATTCCACCTGACCCACACTTGGCAAAATGATGAAATGACTATATTACCCCGTACCACATTGCACTGAGTAACCGACCTTCTCGGGATAAAAACGTAATGTGGTCAAATAAATAATAAAATATTTCCAATAAAAAGCTATTCATATTTAGAAATTATAATTAATTAAAAGTATAAATATTAAGGTAATAATATCGTTGGAGACCATATAATATATATTACATAATTAAATATTAAGCAGACTCTGTTTGTTTTGTATTTTAATTTGAAATTTTTTTATTTTTTTATGTAATAGATAGAAAAGTAATATAAAAATAATAAATGTGCGTAAATATATTAATCTTTGTAGAAAAATATGTTGAAAGATTTTGGATAAAAGAACAAAATATTATTATCGTATGATCCGTATGATTTTTATTATTTATATATTATATACAATGTTCTTTCTATAAGGAAATAAAAAATAAAAAATCATAATTTCTCAAAAATATATTTCTCCCAAAAAATAATATATTATACAATTTTTATATTACTTACACAATTTATGTATGATGATTTACGAAAATAAATAATAATATTTTTATAGTAATTGCTATAGTTGCAGTGTACAAAATTAAAATCAAAATTTAAAAGAATACACCAATTGTATGTAAATGTTTCTGTTTGTTATAGGTTTGGATATTTATGTTGTGAAATATTAGAAACTAATTAAAGTATTATAAAGAATGATGTTTGGTTGTTTTGGTAACTTATATATTATTATATGTACATATTATATTTTTAAATAATTGTATATCTTAAAAAATACTTACTGAGCATACCTATTATGTTTGCACATTGTTTATGTGGACTGGCCGTTAGGTTAAATAGTTGGCGTCTTTCCTTATGAGACTAGTCCCCGGATTCAATTTAGGTTGATGTAAAATTTTTATTTATTTTTATTTAAATTTTTACTATGCATGAAAAGAATAAAATATCCAAAAATGCAAACAAACAAACCCTTAATTCGCAATATTAGCTTAGAAATTAAATGCATACTGATTTGAAATTGATTTAAAATAATAATAATAATAATAATACTGAAATTTTTATTTAAATAATATTTTTGATGTGATAGTTATGTGAAAAAAATAATATATTTTTATTAAAAATTATAGTCTCTTCGTCCAAACAATAAGTTAGGTAAAGGTAGTGTAATGACATTTTTTTCTTTATTTTTTGATATAAAAATAATAATGTGATGTAAATTAAGGGTATTTGTGAAAAAAAAAATGGGGTATTTAATGAAATAATTACTTTGCAATCGGACGTTACAAAATAAAAATATGTATACTTTATTGCTGACAGAGGGAGTATTAAATAAATAGCATAACTTTAGTTTGAAATTTTAAAAGAACAAAAACACATTGAATATATATATATATATATATAACAGAGAAAAGGGGGGGAGGGGGTAGGGGCACATACACACGTTAAAGAATTAATCTTCGACGTCATAAAAAAATAAAAAATAAATTAATCTTCAACGTTAACACATTATAAATAAATAACAAATAATAATATTTAGCAATAGTTTTTCAAATTTTATTATTTGAATTCTGTATTTTTAAAAAAAGAAAAAAAAAAAATCTCACAAAATATCAAATCAAATATTATTTTCGTATTTCCAAACTCATCAAAAAAACACACCCTAAATTCTTTATATAATAACAATAATATGGATACACTTGTACGCCCACATAAAATATTAATTCCTTCAATTTTGTCCGTTCTAATAATTTGTCCTTTTATTTTTAAAAAATATAATTATATATTTTAATTATATTTTTAATTTCATAATTTATAATTTTTTTAATTTTATATAAATTATTTAGCTATTTTAATTTTAATAAATAATTATTTTTATTATATAATAATTATTTTTACTAATATTATACTTAATTAGTTTCTGTTTATATTTTATCTCAATTTTTGTATTATTGTTGTATTTACTATTTATATGGACGTTGGCAGTAATTTTCTTTTTTTATGGATTCATATATAAATCAAAATAAAATAAAATGTTTGAAACATCTAAAGCCAAATTGATTATTACAAAGAGTGCTATTGTTTGATTAGCTTAATAAATAACGAGTCAGCTGCTAGAATTCCTTATCCTCCAAGAATTAGGAATTCTTAAGAATTAATTAATTAACTAATTAAAACGTACAATGCAAGTCTAAAGACAGAAATTGTCAAAATAAATTACTTGAGGAGAATGACGATTTTGGTCCATCATAAAACTTATAAATATCAAATTAATCCTTTAATTAGCAAGGTTTGGCAAATGTCAATCTAATTACCTTTACTATGGTCGTGTCTTCCAATGATCTATATAATACATATCCAAAATTAATTAATCAAATTAAAACAAAACGTGTCAGCCACAAAATATAATATTAATATCTAATAATATTCCGATAATATATATATATATATATTTAATTACACAAGAAGGGTGTGCACTCCATGAAGAGACAAAACGATAAGGGTGGCCAAGGAATAATACACGTGTGTGAATTGTAATGCATTATGCATGCTGTGATGGCAAAGAAGTTTCTAGAAACTCCCGTCTACGTGTATCTATATATATGAATATTTTGTTGAGGAAATAATGAATATTTTGTCGAGCAACTGAATGAGTAATTATTTGATATTTGATATAATAGAACCGGACAATATATATAATGTGATGTTTTCAGTTTATATAAAAAATGAATTTAAATTAAAAATATATATATATGAATTCAAAGTGATACATTTTAGAAAGGAATATTCAAAAGTAGTGTTAAATAAATTTGAAAATATATGTAAATATATCTGCTTAGAAAAATACAATAAGAAAATCACATAAAGTAAACAAGTTCCACATTGTAATTTGGATCTAATTAATTTAGCTGTAGCTATTTTGCATATAATGCTTCAAATGCGCAGAAAGAAACAAGGAGATTGATATGAATATATATGCAGCATGTATATGACTCTGAATCTATGATAGGTGCATGCTCAGCTCAATCAATAAGAAGAAGAAGGAGGAGGAGGAGGAGGAGGTCCACTCCTGCATGGATTATTGCATCTAAACTAGCTAGCTACAATCTTCGTCTACCACATACGTTTTATTCCACAGATCTAGAAGGTTACATATATGTACAGTTTAGCTTAATTTTATCATAATTTATGCACACTCATGTGCGTATTTTAATGGATGGATTCATAGATTAGTAGAGTGATAAGAACATGTGCAGGATGTGAACATTAATTTATTAGGAGGTTGTTGATGAAGTCTTCAACCCCAAACGATTTTTTTGTATAAATCAGTTTGATGTAAAATAGCTAAAGAATTATAAGATATGATGATTCTCCAATATATGTGCATATATAAAACTGTAAAATCATGACAGTAATTAATTTACATACATGTATATAGGCCATTGTATATTGTATGATTTAAGCCTAGATGGTGGTAGACCTTTTAGTTGATTATTGTACACGCGATGATTGAACACCACAGGAGCGGTTTCTATATTCTATACAATTGAAATTCATTTCGCAATACGAAACTCCGTACCTCATTCAAAACCTGACTCTCTTTTTGGCGCGATGGTCGATCGGAGGTCGAGTGCGTCTGTAGACATCGAGAAGCGATTCGTACCTAGGTTTAAGTCGAGGCAAAATCTCTTCATCCTCCTCGCACTTGTGACTAGTGTTTACGCTCGACGACAGCGTATCTCCGACGCTTCCTTCCTCCTCTCCTTTGTTGCAGCTTTCCTCATCTTTTCCGGTGGGTAAATTCACGCAAACGCCGTCGACGACGCGAATATCGCCGGAGGAGGCAGAAGTGGCGGCGCTGAGTTGGATTAACTGGAGAACCGCGTCCAATTCCAGCTTCGTGAGGCTGAATTCCATCGTGATTCTCCTGCTACAACAATCCTCTCGATCAAAGGGTTGAGATTTTCTCCACCTGGCTTTTCTACCAGTTTATTTCGTATGGGAAATGGAAAATTGAGGAAGCTTAATCAACCAGGAATTTGTGTGTGACCAAATGGATTGGGATTTGGGGCAAAGTAATTTATTCGTGCTTTCGCTTTCAATCTCAAATGACTATATTACCCCCGGAAGGAGCAGTACATTATCAGGACCTCTAGTCCCGGGTCTCCACAAAGGCAGAAAGGTCATCCTGTCTAACAATAGTAATAAGCTAATAATACATGTGGGCGTCATTACACATTACAACATCAAACTATAACAAGATGTCAAACTAACATCAATATGAGGTATACAGAAGAATCCTTATATGCTGCTGTGGGATGATCAAGATTACATCTGATCAAACAAAAATTCATCATCCATCCATTGGATAAGATTTGGATCTCCAAGAATTTGTGATATGAATGAGACTGCAGGTGACCTTGAGAAGTAATATTCCGGCCGGATTGCGCTACATAAAGACTTTCGATTCATTGGGCATAGCGGCGACCACCCGGGAGCTGCCTGAGAGGAAGGAAATGAAATATGTATTAAGTACTTACTTAAAAGCATATATAGCCATCTAAAAGATCGATAGATTGAGCAAGCTTCATGAATCTAAGCTACGCGACTCTGTATTTTCTGAACATCCAAAAGGAACCACCGGTTTATTCAGCATAACTTCAAATGCCTGTGGATACTTGTGTCGTAAAAGTACTTATCCCAGAAGCATTTTAGGTTCGGGCGGTACTTATGTTGGTTGAGATAAGAAGAAATTCATCTTTTGTTTACGTGATCACATCCATGTTGTACGTAGACAAGCAAAAAGAGGGTCCTAATGGATTGAAATCACACTAGGCTAGCTCTTATATAAATGCGCATATCCATTCGATAAAAATAAGCAAGGGCAAGCACTTCTTGATTTTTTCATCATATAGGGAGAATATTTTCTCCTGCGTTAACAAATGTATACCCGGGAAAAAAAAAAAAAAGGAAGGGGTGGGGGGGGGGGGGCCTTAAAATACGATGTCCATGTGAAGATGAAGAGCATCATTCAAAGAAAATGAAAATACTCTGCCTCACGAGAAACGGTTGTTGGATTAACATATTAGGAAATTGTACCATTGGTAAAAAGTATATGATGAGAAGCTTAAAGGTGCAATTGGAATGAAAGTTTTTCTTTTTTACCTTGAAACTTCGAAATTGACTCATAAATTGACAAAATCTTAACACTAAAACAAACGCCCTCCGTCTCATATTTATCTATCCAATTGTTTTTTGCACGGTGTTTTAAATATTAGTATTGTATTAAGATATAATAGAAATAAAAGTAAAAAAACTAAACTAATTTTATTAGTATTGTATGATATAACTGTAATAACATTTGTGTAAGATATTGTAAATTGGAAGGGTATTTGTAATTATAGGTAGACAGTACAGTTATTAAAAAGGAAATAGATAATTTGTTATGGGACGGACCAAAATAGAAAAATAGATAGATTGTTAAGGGACGGAGGGAGTATATTATAAGATGCAATATCTTACCAGCACTAATGAGAGAATTGCATGTTTGCAACCGATCTTTGAACAAGGAACAATCCTGTCAGGATTAAGCATTCCAAGACATGGGAGAGCAAACAAAATCTGGATACAGAATAAAGAACGTAGTAAGATGAATGGTGAGGATAATTTTCATTTAAACGGTGGAAGAGCAACTGGACAAATGATTTAGGGGGACAAGGAAATGAATGTTATTTTTAATTACAATTTCCCTCATGCAGAAAAGAACAGAAGCCGCAAAATTGAGCATTGATATCCATGTGGTAACACCAGTTTCCAGAATTACAGTAATTGCAGGGGGGAAAATAAATAAATAAATGACAAACCATAACAGAAGCTGTCGTGACTAGGGGTGTATTTTTGTTTTCAAAAACCTTTTAAGTGAAATAGTAGTTTGATATGAGGTTTTGTATAGAGAATGAGTGTTCACTGTGATGTTTTGTTTTGTATAGGAAATGAGTATTAGATGTGATGTTTTTGGAGGAAAAATAAGAAAACGAAACCGAAAACAGAAAATGAAAAAACAAGAAAACGCAGATAGAAACTATTAACCTTAATTGAACTAGGAGTTACAAACTTGAAATTTATATTCAGATGTGTGAATAATAACCGAATAGGCATTAGTAACAAGTATATACTGTACTCAAGAACAAACAAGATTACCAAGAACTTTTGATGCAGATGGGAAGGCTCAATTTTTTCCCAGTTTTGGTAGTGCCTCATCAATCATATAATCCTGATCATGCAAATGGCGAACCTGACCAAAAAATCCAATAACTCCTTCTGAGAGCAGGCATACAGGACCAAGAAAAAAATGAATGTTGACCTAAATTGTAAACTATTCTTAATCTGCAGCATCTAGGGCGACCAGGTTTTCCATTACTCAAGAGAAAGAAAAATCATTTTGGAAGCTCAATGAGTAACACCCAATACAAATGAGAAAATCATAAGTTATGTATCTTGAATATGTTCCCATAATGCTGCCACAGAAGGAACTATCAAGACAATTTTCAAAGAGACAAGAAACTAGAACAGCATCCATCCAAAAAATTCTCTCTTAAACCAACTTCGACTACATATATGAAAAGTAGAATAATGACAAATTATATTAGTTGCATTTTGGCCAAATTGACATAATATGCATTTCCACAAGCTCTGTCAAGTATCATGGCAGCACTGGAATTTCCTTTTTTATATTTAACAACATATTTGTATTTGACATGAGGGCCGCATTTGCCAGAATCATGAAAAAAGGTAGCAAAATTTCACCGTCTAGATTAGAAAAATTCAAAACTCCATGCAAAGACAACAAACTTACTGTAGAACAGTGTAGAAAAGTAATCACCTGTAGGCAGCTCCACCAGTAGTAAGCATAGCATCCAGTTCATTCAATGGATTATTCTGTATGAATGGTCTCATACAGTTGCCAAGCAAAAAGCAACATCAGAGAAAAAATGTAATTTCCGCTAAGCAGCCACAGTGATGTTCATGTTAGCCCTAACTGGCATTGTTCTTTTAGATGGGGATGAATCTGACGACATACTATTCAATGCCCTTTGTTTTATTTCATTTGCTTCTCGCACCATGCCTGCCTTTCTTAGGCAAGATATCAAAGAACTTGTGGCGAAATTATCTGGCAGGCAGCCCACAGACATCATCTTGCGATAAATTTCAATAGCATCAAACATTCTGCCTTTCATACAATGCCCCAAGATGAGAATGGTGAAAGTCATTTTATCATGGACACACCCTTTCGCCTCCATTTCTACAATTATTGCGTTCGCATCATCTACATTTCCTGCTTTACAAAGCCCATCAATAACAGGATTGTATACAAATGGTTTGGGAATAATGTCCTTCCTCTGGCTCAACTGCCTTAAGAGATCACGAGCCTCATTTAATCTATTCTCCCTGCACAGGGAATTTATTAGAACTGAGAATGTATATAAGTTCGGAAGTACCTGTCTCTGTTTCATTTCATCCCAAAATTTCATGCCTTGCTGCAACTCTCCACAGCGGCAATGACCATCAATAAGAGATGTGTATGTGACAACATCAGGATATATACCATCCATAGCCATCCTTTCGTACATTCTAATGGCTGAAGCCACCTCGCCATTTTTACCAAAACCATCGATAATTACATTAAAAGTAATCAAGCTTGGTTTAACTCCATTCTCAATCATCTCATCAAAGAGACCTGCAGCATTGTCCGTCTTACTTAATTTGCAGTACCCAGATACAATCGATGTGTAAGTCACAACATCTGGTGACAGCAGAGGGTGCACTTTAAGTTCTCTAAGCAGTTCTTCTGCTCTAGATAGTTTACCAACTCTACACAGCCCATTAATGAGAGTGTTATACGAAACACGATCAGGGTGACAGCCAAAATTTTTCATGATATCAAAAAATTCAAAAGCCTCATCAATCTTGCCCACCAGGCACAATCCTCTCATCACTGTGTTGAAACTACAAACATCGGGATGAAGGCTTCTTAACCTCAATATATGATTTCTAAAAAACAAAACCGCATCATCAACCTGATTCCTACTTATTAGAATGCCCAAAAACTCATTATATACAAAAGGACTAACTGCTTCCCCTTTGCCCATACAAAAATTAGCCTTTGAAATCAAAATTTCTTCAGCAATTCTAAGCCTCCCAGCCTTCGCAAAGGATAAAACAACAATATCCATAGCCACGCTGTTCAGTGAAACCTCATCAGCTTTCATGTAATCATAAACTACCTTGGCAGAATCATACAGACACATTCCGCAAAGTGATCTCAGGAGTAAATCGAAAGTGGATTCCAAGTGAGTGAGATTCAAATTGGCCCTTGAAAATCTAAAAAAGCTAAATGCCAATTCCAAATTATTCAATCTGTTCAGGTGATAAACCACGCCGAAAGCCACGCAGGGATCCAAGCTCTCCCGAAAATAATAAGAATCCAAAACCGATAGCGACAGCGAATTGCGAATGCAGATGGTGCACACAACTTTGATAAACCAGGCGGTGGATGCAGGGCAAGGGAGGTGCAGAGATTCTCTGCCGCCGGCGTGACCGTGGAACAGAGAAGAGGAGAAAAACTTGGACATGGACACTCTCCGAGCCCAAAATAGCATATTATTGTCCGTCAAATCAGAAACTGCTTATTCCAGTACGAATCGCCGTGCAGACGATTGATAAACCGCACCGTCGTCATTCCATTTTGTTGTGCCGATGACGCGAGAAAAAAGCCCTGCAAAATGGGAGAGTTTAAGGATCAAGGATTGGACGGAATCCAATGGATTTGGTTGATATTCAGGTGCGCCTTGCGATGCAACTCTGGATCGATTGGGATTGCTGGGTGGCGATGGCGGAGATAATTAGGGTTTAAGTCGCCGGGGGAGTGAATGCACAAACCTCACCCCAACAAAACCCACAAAACGGCGACTCTCAATTTGGGGACAAAAATTTATTTTTAATTAACTCTAATTTAATATTTAAATATTATTCTAAAAATTAATTTTATATTTAAAATATTATCATAATATACAATTATATAAATTCAAAATTTTTATCATTTAAATTCAAAATAAAAATTTAAACTCCAAAATAATTTGGAAATAATTATGCTTGAATTTATTATTAAAATAATATAAGATGAAATGTTTTGTAAAAAAAAATTATTTTTATTTTTTTTATAAATCCAAAATTCAAATAATAAAAATTTGAATTTAGTGTAAAAAAACAATCTCAAACTGTTTTGTCTATTTCACTTAAATATATACAAAAATATTATTATTTTAATACAAAATTATTCTCAATTAAAAAAAAAAATTACAAATATACAATTACTTGTACCTAGAAATGTTAAACAAACTAACTCACAAGCCAAATCCGATCCTACTCACTGACATTTTGATTCAACAACTTGTTTATAGAGATAATAATATGAGCTCGAACTCAACTCATTAAAAGCTCGATTCAACTCATTAGTATATTTGTATTATATTATATATAAATAATACTTCCTCTATCCTTGTTTAAAATGATTTTTAGAGTTTTGCAGTATATTAAGAAATTATAGTATTTTATTACTCAGTAAAAATGTATAATAAATTTTGACATTTTTACTTTTTACGTAAAAGTAATTATATTTGTAATTGTATGTTTATAATTTATGTAAATATTAAGGGTATTTGAGTATTTATCTATGATCATTTTTACTAAAATATGAAAAAAAAAAAAAAAAAAAAAAAACTTTAAAGTGAGACATAAAAAAGAGGCAAAAAAAAAAAAAAAATACTTTGAATTGAGAGCGAAGTAATATATATATATCAAAATTTGTACAAGAGTGTGTTTTTTAAAATTTAAAAAAAAAATTGACACATTTATTAATTAATTGTATTATAAAAAATATATATACATATACATTGACACAAATTTTTAACATATACTTTATCAATTAAAACTATTAACAATTCAATGGAATGGTTTTTATATATTTAACTTTTAGATTTGATTAGGGTTGAATTGGACTTAAGGAATTTTGGCGCGTCGTTACCTGAGGGTTTAGATTTTAAATTGAAATTTAATAGTAAAAGTTTTGAATTAAAATAATTGTATAATATGATATAAATAGTAATTGACGTGATGTTTTGAATATAAAAATAATTTTTAATATAATATATAAAATAAAATATAAATGGTCTCAAACAAACCCAATTAGTTTAGACTAAATGAAAATTTAGAATTTGTTTGTTTATGGTCTAAAAAAGATTTTAATATTATTGGATCATAATTTTAATAAGATTTTATTTTTATAAAAAATTACCTTAAAATATTATTAAAATAAAAAATTAAAACTCAAACAAAAACCAGAAAACCCATTAATTTTTAAAAAAAATAAAAATAAAATAAAATGAAAAAAAAAAAAACTTTGTTAAATTGTCCCACGACATCAATGTGTTTGATTTGTATTTTACAACAAATTATTATAACAAAAACTCATAACAAACATCAATTTTCAAATCAAAACTTAACAAACCCCAAAATTTTGAAGTGTTAATATACAATTGAATTATATGCTGAATATTCTAATACTCCACCTTTTTTTTTTATAATAAAAATAAATTAGTTATTTTTATAAATATCATATCACATTAATATTCATGTTTAAAAAAAAAAAATTACAAACTTAACTTGTACCTATAAATAAACATGTTTAAATAAAACTATGTAGAATATATACGGAATATTAAGGTTAGAATTTTGATAGTCCCCTCTCATTGAAGTATTGGCGTTTTTTATTTTCGTTTTTTTCAAAATAAGTTTATCATTTTCTAATTTAGTTATGGTACTAATGACCTAACATAATAAATATTCTTCGAACTTACACTATATTACACAAATGTTATTATTTTTATATTACATAATATTAATAAAGATATTTTCGTCTTTTTCACAACAACCCAATATAATACTCCATTCGTCTCATAACAAAGTATTCATTTTTCCATTTTAGTCTGTCTCATAACACAAAGTATTCATTTCCTTTTTTAGTAATTATATTATCTACCTAACATTACAAATACCCTTATAACTTACAATATATTACACAAATGTTATTACATTTATATCACACATACTAATAAGGTTATTTTAGTCATTTATACTTTATTCCTACTATATTTCAATATAATACTAATATTTCTAAAATTACGTATAAAAAGCAAATAGATACTTCTTTATTGGACGGAGGGAGTACTAATATTCAAAAATTTACATACAAAAAGTAAACGACAGTCTTTCAATAGGATTGATGGATGCTATTTTATTTTTAAAAAATATATCATATTAAATACTTCATCCATCTCAATATAATAATCTTGTTTACCATTTTTTTCCGTCCGAAAATAATATTCTTGTTTCTATAAATAACCATATCATCATAAAACTACCTCTACTTTTTCATTTTTTTACCCACTATCAATATAATATTAATATTTCTTAAATCTCGTGTCCAACCCAATTAAGGTTATATTTATGGGACGGAGTATATTTTTTCATTTATAAAATATCATATCAAATATTATTTATTTAATATTTTTAGATTTTTTAAACTTCAAAACTCTGTCTCGAAGTGTCAAGGTTAGAGTTCCGATTACAGACAATTTCACTCCATAATTAATGGCCGAACCGCCTGTTCACGGTTTAATCAAATCACAAACTAAACCGAACCGTCGGAATCCGGTTTCGGTTTGAACCGTAACTGTCGGTTCGAAAACTGCGAACCGGAAGTTCCGTACAGAACGGGAAAATCCACTTCCCTCGGCTCCTAAACCCACGAACCAAACAGGCGGAAGTATTTCAAAACTGTTTTTAAACCCTCAAATCTTTGCGAGTCTGATGCTAAAACCCTCGAAGCCGTTAACTGCTTGAATTCCCATGGCGATCGACAAGACCAAGATAGAAGAAGAAAGCTGCGTTCTTCGATTTTATAAAATAGTTCTCGGTTGGGATTACCTCCGCCTCGTCAAAGAATCCGATGTATGTGTTTATTTTGCGCCCGTCTCTTTTGATTCGTGCTCCTGTTCTTGCTGATTGTTTAATTACTTGATTCGAGGCTTTCTACAGAGGCAATGTTGTTCTTTTGGTGGCATTGATTGTTGATTTTATCTTTTTTTCTGTTTTGGTTTCCCCCTCTATCTTCGTGGTAATGATTAGAAGCGAAATTTCGATAAAAATGCTAGCGAGGGAAGGTATTCGGGACTGAAAGAAGTCAAGAACACGTATAAAGATGTCGATGATTATCTTGGTACGTTTGAGCCATTGCTATTTGAAGAAGTTAAAGCGCAAATTCTTCAACAAAAGGACGAGGAGGAAGGTATTGTAGCTCTCAAAGATCCCTATTATGGAGATTTTCGTGTTTGTATGCATATTTGAAGTAATTCTGGTTTCTTTGGTTTTTATTTGAGTTTGAGATTTTGATTTAAATAGTAGTTTTTCAAATGAAAAACAAACAAACCTATCCCTAGAGAATTTAAGACATGTTTTGGTTGTAATTTTTACACTTGTTTACATTTTAAGCAGTACCATCACGATTTATATTGGTTTGAAAGTTGAACTGACATGTACTTGTTATACGTGCTTGGGGATGCACAGAGACAGAATGGCAGCAAGCAATTGTGGCAGAATGCAGTGAAATTGATGGATTTCATTTACCTATGGTCATATGTTCTGATGAAGATACAATATCTCAGAATGATCTTTTGTTGCTATCGACCAAGAAGGTTCGTTTTTCAGTAACTTGAGAGAACTTTATGACGAACTGAATTGGTTGTTGTGATTTCATCTTCTTTTCACTAATGTGCTTTGATATCTGTTCATTTGTTAGAATGCTACATCATAATTTTGTTGCTAATCCGAAGTTGGGTTCATTGTTTTTGCAGTTTGGTGAGGGCAAACAGTTGCCGAGTACATATGCATTTGCATTAATTGAGCATCGTCAACAGGATAAGATAAGACTCAGGCTATTTTTGAAGGGAGAAGTCAGAAACTTTAATACAGATGATGTTCAGACTTGCCCCAGGCTAATAAACATGCTTCCTGTTGTTACTGAAGTGCAAAGATGTTTTTATTTTATGAAGGTGAATCTCTTGTTTTAATGAATTACGGGAAACAAATGGTTGATGGAAATACTTATATTCCTAGGTTGTAGGAATGTGTTGTATAATATTATTGCTTGCATAGATATGCAACTTTATTCTTGATTCTGTTTATATTCCAATGTCATGTTTGTTCCAGATTTGCAGCTTATCAACTATAGTTCGTGAATATGTTGCAATGCGATCCATTGGTTCTCTCCCATTCAAGGATTTGATATTAAAAGCAGCGGAAACTGACAATAGCTCCAGTGATCGTGAATGGAAACTATCAAAAACTCTATCTGACTTTATTGAAAGCAATCTCAATAAGTCACAGCTGGAGGCCATTCATGTGAGTTATGATATAACTTTATGATCATCTTTCACTCAGGGGTCATATCATTTTTCATTGTAAATTAACATTATAATATATAGCTTACTGCTTTGAATGATAAAAAAGATCATGACTTTGTTTTATTTTATTGTATTTATCTGCAATATTTTACTAATTGTGCTCCTGAATTTTCTGCAGGCGGGTCTGTCACGTAAATCATTTGTGTTGATACAGGTTTGACTTTATGCGCCTAAATGGCACAACCTTATAGTTTTTGCAATATTTACTTTTAGCTAGAGTGGTAGGAAATCAAATGCAATTCTCATTCCTACATTGATCGTCATATCTTATCTTGAACCAGCCCTGATGTATGCTACCGTGTTTTCATTGTCTATAATAAACGGGAAATAGATTGACATGTACCTATTTGACATGAATTTCTTTTAGGGCCCTCCAGGGACTGGGAAAACGCAAACTATACTTGGGATCCTCAGTGCTATTCTGCATGCTACTCCAGCTAGGGTACACACCAATAAGTAAGTACCTCACTTTTGATCTTTGATGTACAATCTTTATGTTGCTAAGAGCTAGTATCGTTAGTGAACAACAAGTATCATTCATGTGTTAATTTGATCCATGCAGGGAAAAATTGGCAGGGATAAATCCTAGGCCTGAATTAACTAAGGAGGAAAAGTATGTTAATCTTCTTCACTTATATATAGCTAGCTTTCATTATAATTGTTTATGTGTAAAATCTGTTGCATAAACATTGGTAAATGAATTTCATTTTTATTTTTCTTCATAATATTAATTGTGCTGACTCATGTTTTATTTCCAGGAGTTGTCATCTCTATTGCATTATTACAATGAAAAATATTAATGCATCTTCACAGCGTAATTATAGACATTTTTGGCTAATAAAAACTAAAGAAATCAATTTTCAAAATTTACCAGGATAATACAATATCAAAATATAAATAGCTAAGGTTGTATATACTTTGTAAGTTTGTAGTTGGTTTTGTGGTGCATCTTAAATAATTATAAAGATAACAACAAGAATACCAGTTGCAAATGGAGACAAACTAATTATTCGTTTGCTTTAGTTCCTTATCGTTTCACACTGTTCAACTCTGGTTTTTGCCCTAATAATATCAATTTCTACCTTACCTAAAAACTATGTGAAGTGATTTTTTATTAAATTTTGGCAATAGTTTGTACTATTCATATTTTGTCATCTACAGACTCTATCACTTGAAGAAATCATCTCCATGGTTATTTGGTATCCCTAATCCTCGAGATGTAATCATGCCTATAGATGGCGACGATGGATTTTTTCCAATGTCTGGAAATGAAATGGTATGACTATTAATTACTAAAAACTTCATTTGATAACTTATTTGCAAATCAATGTACTCATAGACAGCAGCTATTTAGAAACCAGAAGTGATCAATTCCAACCGAAAGTATCGTGTCCGTGTCCTAGTATGTGCACCCTCAAATTCTGCCCTTGATGAGATTGTCTTTCGTCTATTAAAGACTGGTAAGTTGTCTATCTCTTTCTAGGGACATCACTATTGCAAATCTAATGCTCATTTAACTGTCTGTCTAGTACCTACTTATAACGAATTCTTACAGGCAAGTAATATATTTGGATTATTAACTAATTCATTTCCGGTGATTTTGTAGGTGTTCGTGATGAAAATGGCTGTGCATACAACCCTAAAATTGTGCGAATAGGTCTAAAAGCACATCACTCAGTCCAGTCTGTTTCAATGGATTACTTGGTACATTATGGGTTTTAGTAATGTTTACAAATTACTGTTTTCCTGTTGATTTAACTTTAAATTGAAAAATAACACAAAGGAAGATGACTTGTTTTAGGTCGAGAAAAAACTTGCAGGCGTGGACTCCCAAGTTGGGGACAAGCAAAAACAAGGAAATGTGGCTAAGGATAAAGACAGTATCCGTGCATCTATACTGAATGAAGCAGTAATTGTAAGTGGCTTCTATTTATCGACTTATATAATGTAAATATTGCAGCTCTATTTATGCATATAGCGAAAACAAGTTTATTGATTAGATGGTTTTTTCCAGGTCTTTTCTACTCTGAGTTTCAGTGGATCAATGCTTTTTAGTAAATTAAACCACGGTTTTGATGTAGTTGTAATCGATGAAGCTGCTCAAGCTGTAAGTGAGTTAGTTGACTTCATAATTCCTAGAAATGGTGGTTGGTTATTATGCTCACACATTCCTACCTTAAACGTAACTGACTTCAAAATTTTCTGCCAACAGATAGAGCCTGCAACACTTGTTCCATTGGCCAATGGGTGCAAACAAGTATTCTTGGTATTTACTCTTTGCTGTTACTCAATACTTGAACCCTGTCAATAATGATGGTATTTAGATTTGAGTGGAAATAATTCTCGATCTGAGTTGGCTTGGCAGATTGAATTCCTTGCTATGAAGCACTATTTGTAAAGTATGCGATATGTGGAAAGTGTCTGGTCCTAATATCTGCCATTGAATGAGATTCAGTTTTAAATCTTGGAACTTTATTTACAGTCTCGTCGGTGATCAAGACTAATTATGTTGCTTTTATCATTATTTAAGTTGCATACAGTAATAGCAGGAACTCCAGCCTAGGAACAGTAGTTAAGGTGTTATCCTTTGAGGATTATCCACTAAGGATGCTGACTGATGGCTGATAATTGTATGTATATATATATTGGATGATATGTCTCCTTCACAAGAGGTTCACTTTGGTGGGTATCATCATATTCAATGGGCTTGTTGTTTCCCAATGTTTTTTCGTGTGACCTTTGCCATAGTCTTTCGTTAAATATCATGCTATGCATGTCTAAGATCATGAACACGTGTGATGCAGGAAAGTTTTCATTGCTTTATCCTTTAGTCGCTTGAAGTTTTATATCCTACGGTCAGTGGAAGCCATGTGAATTTTATTTATAGTCCCTATAACTGTTAAATGCATGTTCACATTTCCATGAAAAGTACTTATTGTTTTTCCATGTTTGAGCTTCATTCATGTTTAGTAAAAGTATCGTTGTTATAAACTTCTCATTGCATTTGTATGTTTGTGGACTAAGAGATGGGAACATTTATGTTTAACATTGTGTGCTTTCAAGGCTCTAGTACTTGTTTCTAGTTAGAGTTGATAATCAAGGTCAGGATTCATAATATCGAGTTAACTTATTTGTTCTAGGTAGGGGATCCAGTTCAGTTGCCAGCCACAGTGATTTCACCCATTGCAGAAAAATTCGGGTAAAGAACATCTTCTCAAAACCTCTTTGGTTCGATAGACTTGTCTTAGGAGTCTAGTGCTATTAGGATTCCTTATGTTATACTCTGGTAATTCCAATTAAAATGGTTTGGTAATATAAGGAGTTCTTATTGCCGTATAGCACTAGACTACTAATTTGTGACGATTAAATAAAAGTGCTTCCATCTTACTTCCTGTCCCAAGCATACATAGTTCTCCGAACTATGGTAGCCTTGTCCCACCTATCTCAGCTATTCCTGTGCTGGTTGGTGGCTCTGGGCCTTCAGGCTCGTCCATATCAACTCGACTCCACTTTAGGGATCTTTAACTATTTATGCTTTCAACTCTGCAGATACGGGATGAGCTTATTCAAAAGATTCCAGATGGCAGGCTATCCTGTACAGATGCTGAAAACTCAGTATCGAATGAACCCTGAGGTACCACTCTTCCTTTTGTCATCATCCCTTTTCTCCTTGTTCAAATTATTCCCGAAAATTTTCATTCTCTTTCTCTGTTGTTTACTTGAATCATTAAAAAGTGCAGATCCGGAGCTTCCCTTCAAAGGAATTTTACGACGAAGCACTTGAGGATGGACCTGACATTAAAGAGCAAACAAAGCGCTCTTGGCATCAATACCGCTGCTTTGGTCCATTTTGCTTCTTTGACATACACGAAGGGGTAGAGTCGCAGCCCTCAGGAAGCGGCTCTTGGATCAATGTCAATGAGGTCGATTTTGTCCTCACTTTGTATGGAAATTTGGTTAGTAATCATCCGGAGCTTAAGACGAGCGACCGGCTTGCTATTATTTCACCTTACCGACATCAAGTGAAGCTCTTCAGAGAAACGTTCCGCGCCACATTTGGCGTGGAATCTGATAAAATCGTGGATATCAACACCGTCGATGGCTTTCAGGTAATTCTTGAAACTGTTGAAAATCATTCGAATCGCTCGTGTTTACTGAACAGGAAATGACCATAAACTGTTGGCCGTGATTACCACTAGGGTCGAGAGAAGGATGTCGCCATCTTTTCGTGTGTTCGAGCGAGCAAAGACAGGGGAATCGGGTTCGTCTCTGATTTCAGACGAATGAACGTTGGTATTACCCGAGCAAGGTCCTCCGTCCTGGTACGACACTTCATTCCACAACTTTAAAACTATGAGTCTTTGTTTACTTACATATTTTTTACACTATTAATTAATAATTTACTTTTCAAAAAATATCACGTCATCTTTTTATTAGTTTCAAAGTATTCATCATTTCGTCATTTCCAGGTTGTTGGTTCTGCATCATCCCTGAAAAGAGACGAGCACTGGAAGAACCTGGTCGAAAGCGCCGAGCAGCGGGATGTATATTTCAAGGTTTCGAAGCCATATGCCAACTTCTTCTCGGAAACCAGTCTAAAATCGATGGAATTGAGGGAGTCTATGCCGGAGAATCGCCCAGAAGACATAGATGGCAATGTGGCCATGGATATAAATGCGGGTGGTGTCATCCACACCCAACTCGAAGAAAACGACTGGGGAGATGGCGGAGGGGATTTTGGTCTTGACGGCGGCGACGACTGAAACCATTACAACTTGTTTAAGGTGCTGCCGTGCTCAATCCTCCCACAATCAGTTCATTCCTTAGCAATTTTGTCAAGATTAACGAATCCTATGTCTGCCTCTCATTTTCATTTTGGTTTTAGTACGTATATATAACGATGTTACTATGTCTAATTGCAATAGGTACCCTAGTATGGGATTATTGCCATTTTGATACCTTTGTTGATATGGTATATATCCATAATATTGACCAATCACATGACAAATTTTTTTTCCCGGATTTAAATTTTATGTAAATAAATAAAAGTATTCATATCTGTCGATTTATTGTGTCGTTCACAACTGCATATTTTAGCATGAGTGGCAAGAACTCCATTGATAATTTATAAGCTCAATACGGCGTCGTTCCCTGCCTATTTATCGATCTGGGGGGCGTCCCCAAATCAAATCAATATGCAAACCCTAATCTTCACATTTCCACAGCAAGATGGACGAGAGAATCAAAAGAGAACCAAAAAATAAGAAAAACCACAATATACACAGCAGCAGCAACAATGGAATCATAAATACATAGATACATAAACATACTTACTGTCCCTTAACACTAATCACCAACAACCAATTCCATCCCATCCACATCCAATATGTTCTTCATTTTTAATTTTTTTTTTTGTTCTTTCAATTTGTCATAAATCTGAATCTGATCTGTGTCTCTGTCTGTCTATTCACAGGCCAATTTGGTGTCGAAGCTGCTCAAACAAATGGCAAACGCCTGAAACGCCGACAACGGATACCTGTAATCCATGGTGAACATATCCTTCCCCACCTTCCCAAACTGCAGAATTATCTTATCATGATCTACCTGCCCCGCCGCCGGAGGCGGCACCACTGCCGCAGCAGCCGCCGCCACCGGCGGTGCAGCAGCAGCAATCAGTTGAAAGTTCTTGACGGAAGCGACCGTCACCCGTCCCCGAAAATTCAGGCACCAGCACTGCAGCTGCTCGTGCCACCGCGGCGCCTTGTTCTTCAGCACCAACGGCCTCCCTTTACTATCGCCGCCGTCGTTTGATAACCCCGGGATATCGGAGAATCGGGAGCTGCTGAATTCGGACGAGTGGTCCAGGGACTTGGAGAACGAGATGCTCCGGAACGAGTCTTCGATGGATCTCGGCACCAGCTCTGAGGGCTGTCCCGGCACAACTCCGCCGGGCTCAACGGACGACGCAGGTATCGAGTGCATCACGCACTGCATTTTGCGAGGCCCTCGGGTCCCGAGCACGTTAAGTTCGTACGAGATTTGGCATATGTTGTAGCTCCCGGTCGGGACTTTCGGAGACACTTTCTTGGAGTAGAATCGCCTGCTCGTTCTCCCGGGCTGCCCCGCCGCATTCGAACACGAGTGGGTAGGCTGTGTATCGTATATTATAAACTTTGTGCCAAGAAAATTCGATCTGCACAATCCAAAAAGAAACCAATTTTTTTTTTTTAAAGAACCCGAATATAATCCAGCTGGGAAAATAACTCGTCGGCAACTAGTTTTTTTACCTCAGTTTTCCAATGTACGTGCTGCTCGATCGTGAAATGTTCTCGGCATCCATAGAGATGATATACTCAGTGCAAGTAGTTCGGCGAGTTCTTTTAGCAGAGAGAAGAAACTTCCCATTTTCGACCAGCAAAGCTGCTACCATCAATTTAAAAAAAGATCGTTATAACGGATTCGGACAGTGATCATACTGCAAGAATAATATTACATTATACAACACGTGTGATAAAGATCACTCACCGGGACTCAGACATAGAAAGAGATGATACGTCAGATTAGATTTGTCGCGCTTTATGAAGCATTGAATGGCTCCGTCGCGAAACCCCGGCTGAGCACAGACAACAAAAAACAGGATTTCGTTACAACTAAAAGTAATATGTCGTCACGGAGAAAAAAGGGTGCGGAAAGTTAGTTAAATTACCTGTTTTAACGAAACCGGGAAAGTAAGCTTCCCGCAGATTTCTGGGTTTTTGACAATTTCCTTACACATGCTCCTCCATGATCGGCAAACGGCTGCGCAGGCGACGACATCCTTCCGAGCAGGCCACGTGCTCTCGCTCTCTTCCAGCCTTCTGATCACGTCGAAGAGAAGCTCGGGAGGGAGATTCGCCCACCGGCTATTCTGGATCATGACGGGATGATCATTCGAGTCGTTGAAAGAACCATGAGACTTCCCTCGATGATGCCCGAGAATCCTCACGTCGAAACTCCGGCGAGAAAAGCTCCCGATGCTCTCTCTTATATCCCGCGCTATGTGTCGGAATGACATTGATTTTTGGAAGTTCTGCAATCCACAATGCAGAGGGGAATAAGTTTAATCCGAAAAGGAACAAGTGGTTTTATGAAATTAGGAAATTTTGGAAGAACAGAGAAGGCAGCCATGGAAAGAAGACGCCATTAACTAAGAAAAGTAAAACCTAGAAGCTGAAAAGGACGAGAATCACAATTGAATTACACTTCCATGGAGCTTTGCAGATCAAATTTAGATACTCAGATAAATCTTACATAACCACAAATTATAGAACAAAAGCAGCAATGAACAGCCCCGGGAAGAAGAAATTAGGTCACACGCAAAGGTAATAAATCAATAACCTAACAAATAAAAGCCATATCCATAAATTCAGAGCAATTATTTCGAGCAAAGCAGAAAAGGACTCGAAATTAATTATTCAACTGTCACGAAGAAAAAGTATCAAAACCTGCAGAAAATCAACAGAGTTTCACAATTTCTTCAGAGATCTGCTAAAAAAAAAAAGGCACTTAACTTTAAGGCTCAGGCTACTGCGAGAAAGCAAAATACAAAGGTTTCAGAGTCGCCATCCAAACCGCTATCAGAAAAATTAAATAAATAGACATACATATGTGTCTGTGTGTGTGGAAAATGGAAACCCTAAATCTGAAACGAAAAAATTAACTGTCTCAAAAATTGACGGGCGAGGATGGAACGAAAGTGAGAGATGTACCGAATCGGAATGCAATTGAGTTGACTCACGCAGGCGTCGACCTCGACGGCGAGAAATGAGATCGGAAATCTTCGCCGGAGAAGAAAACCGGGCGAATCCTGAGAGCAAACCGCGGCGGCGTCTGTGTGTATTCTTCAGAGCGAGAAATTGTGAGAAAATGGAAATGGAGAGAGATGAAGGTGGTTTGGGGAAGAATGGAGGCGGAGGAAGATATGAGAATGGGAGAAGAAGGGAAAGGGAATAAGTGGGGGTGGGACAGTGGAGAGAGAAACACGCGTAAATGGTATTGGGAACCTCCTCTCTCTTCTCTGTTTCTCTCTCTATGCGTATATTGTGTGTATGTATCGGAGAAGACGACAGAGATCTACGGTCTGTATTGAAGCTGGTGCAATGCACCGAAGCACAGAGGAGAGCAAATGGTTGGATTGAAGGTGGTTGATATCTGTTCTATTTATTTCAAAATTATGATGTAATCCGTTCCAATATATTTATTATTTTTAATTTGAAATATTATAAAATTTGTTTTAATTTGAAATATTATAAAATTTGTGTAATTTTTTATTATTTTATTATTATAAACATTTTTGGTAAAATTATTTCAAATAAAATGTAAAGGACAATGAATTGAAATGTATTCAAATTATATGTGCGTTTTTAATAAAAATATATTACTCATTTCGTTCTGCTTAGAGTGTGTTCCTTTCGAGGTTTGGATTTTAAGTTGAAATTTGAATAGTAAAAATTTTGAATTTGAATGGTTGTATGATGTGATATAAATAGGTGTTGATGTGATATTTTAAATGTAAAATTAATTTTTAGTATAATATAGAAAATGAAAAATAGATATTTAATTTGATATTTTTTTTAAGGAAAAATGGGATGAATAGTGAAAATCCTCACAAATCTTTCAAACAAACACATCCTAAATGTATTCTTTTGGATTTTATAGTAAGAGATTTTAATATTTTTTATTATTTTATTTTATGCATAAACTAATTGTATATGTAATGATATATTTATAATTTAATATAAAATAAATATAAATATGATAAAATGAGTACTTTGAGTTGAAAATTGGATAATACTTTTCTCACAAATATCACATCAAAAATATTACTCCGTCCCATAACTAGGTATCCGTTTGTTTTTTCACGTTGTTTTAGAAATATTAGTACTCCCTCCGTCCCATAACAAAGTATCCATTTTTTCATTTTAGTCTGTCCCATAACAAAATATCCATTTCCTTTTTTTTTAGTAACTGTACTTTCTACGTAACATTACAAATACCCTTACAACTTACAATATATTACACAAATGTCATTACCTTTATATCACACATACTAACAAGGTTATTTTAGTTATTTCTATTTTATTCATACTATATCTCAATATAATACTAATATTTCTAAAACTACGTACAATAAGCAAATGGATACTTAGTTTCGGGACAGAGGGAGTATTATATTGTAATGTAGTAGAAATGAAGTATAAATGACTAAAATAACTTTATTAGTATGGTGTGATATAAAAATAATGGTATTTGTGTAATATATTGTAAGTTGTAAAGGTATTTGTAATGTTAGGTAAATAGTACAATTACTAAAAAATAAAATAAATACTTTGTTATGGGACGGACTAAAATGAAAAAAATGAATATTTTGTTATGGGACAGGGAGAATAGTATTTAAACCTAATATCTTATTTTAAATTAATTTCAAATCACAGTCAATCAAACTACTTGTTTTATATAGTATAAATTTTGAAAAATTTAGGATGTGTTTGGTTTTTTTCAAATAGAAAAACTTTATTATTCATTTCTTATTGTTCTTAATAAAAATACAATATTTCTTGTCATAAAATATCATATAAAAATATTATTTGAACAAAACCTCAAATAATTATTCCAATTTCAAATCAAAACCAAACAAACCGGCGCAATTTTAGAAGATTTATGTATATATATATATATATAAATTAAATAAACTTTTTTGAAAAAGTAATTGTTTATATAAACAAAGTCTATATGAGTTTCCTATCTATATTTTCTTTATCTTTTAACAAAGAATTTTTTTTATGTCACTGTATTTGATATTAAAAATATTTTTATATTTTTATTATATAATATTAATAGATGTATTTTCTATTTTTTTTAATTTATATTATATATTGATATAATATTAATATTAAAATTTTTAAATTTGAATAGTTGTATGATGTGATATAAAGAGGTATTGATGTGACGTTTTAAATGTAAAATTAATTTTTAGCATAATATAAAAAATAAAAAATATGTATTTAATTTGATATTTTTTAGAAGAAAAAAGAAATGAATACGTATTTAAAATCCAATCCCCAAACACACACCCTTAGTTACCTGAGGAACAAAAATAATAGTACTATTTTTATGATTTTATAGTAATTTATTTAGCATTATAAAGAAAAGTATGGAGTGTTGTATGGTTTGTTTATCTTAGGCTAAGTTTGAATTTTATTTTATTTTTTAATTATAATTATCTTTTTTAAAAAATTATTTAAAATACTCATTATATCTCACTTAATTTATTTAAAATTTAGCATTGTGTTGAACCGTATATGGTGTGTTGTTTGATCGTACACGGTATTACTACATATATCATATGAACAAATAACACATGTTATAGTCTCAACAGCACATAGGATTATTACAGACAACATATTTCATATGTTAATATAAAACAACTACTGCACATGAAATAACAAATAACAACATATGTTATAGTCTCATATAACACACATAGCAGTTAATTTTAGCCATTACATACTTTTATAGGACACGCTTGTTATTATAAAAAAATAGCATATATACTTTTATTATATACAACATGTACTGCATGCAATAATAATATATTTTGCTTGTACTTGTGCTGAGTTAAAAATTTATATGGTGCTGATTTTTTCAAATCACCAAAACCATCCCATGTTGGAAATATAATAGTTATATTACTATAATATGTTCCAAATATTATTTTTATTGTTATATTATGGTTGTTTGTGTATATTTGCTCTGTTTGGTTTAATATTATAGAAATTCTTTGGTTTTGTTTTAAAGTTAGTTTTTTATTTTAAAATTTATTTTAATATAATATTTTGTGAAAAAATTATATTATCTCCGTCTATCGCTAATCTATCTGTTTACTTTTTGGATGTTAATTTTTTAATATTAATTATTATATCAAAACGTAGTATAAATCAAGGAAAAACGACAAAAATATTTTTATTGATGTCTTATAATATTAATGTAATGACATTTGTACAAAAATTTATACAAATATAAGGATATTTTTAACGTTTAAAACGACGACGCCAAATACAAATTGATAGATTGATGGTGGATGAAGGTAGTATATATTTTAACGAAAATCGTATAGATTGAATATTGCTGTTTTTAATTTGAAATAATAATAAATTAAAAAACATGATATGTTTATCAAATTTTTTATTTAATAATATTTTATTAAAATAAATAGAACAATATAATTTTATTGAAATTATGGCACTTATGTTACAAAAAGAAAAATGAATGAAAAATGAACTAACCCTAAACTTTAAGCAAAAAATACTCAATTTTATTTTTTTTAAAATATTAATGAGCTGTATTTATTAGAAAGTCATGTGCTATTTATTGTCATTTTTATCTATTTGATATAAATTATCCATTTTTATTTCTTTTCTTAATAATTCGAATAAATATTTTTCAAAATACTCATTTTGTTTATTTGATAAATATATATTTTTTTAAAATTTAAATATAAAATTTTCATTTTATTTTTTAGTATGTGTAGACTCTAGTACATATTGCAAATGTATTTACTATATTTGTTTATATCAATATTTTTACATTAACTTTATACTTTATAGAATAAAATAGTTATTACCTATCAAAATTATTATAAACTATCAGTAAAATGGAATATTTATTAAACTCCGTAAAAAAAAAATAATACTATTTACTTTCAAAGTAGAACAAAGGGGCATTATTTAACTTTTATGATTTTTAAATTATTTTATATTATAAAATATCATATGTAAATTATTATTAACATAAAAATTCTAAATAAAAACATAACTTTTCTAATCCTATTTAGAATTTTCTCATAATCAATATCAATAAATTGTATTATTTATTTATATATTTTTAATTGAATTTTCTATTTTTCCCAACAAAAGAATATGCTTCCATTCTCTATTATTTTTTTTTCTTTAATTTTATTATATATATTATTTCTCCATAATTTTATTTATCTACAATTTTATTATTTATTATTATTTATCTACAATATTATTATCTACCTTTTAATTCTTTTTTATCAGAGTGGTGTGTTTGTTTGGAGGTTTGGATTTTGAGTTGAGATTTAAACAGTAAAAGTTTTGAATTTGAACAGTTGTATGATGTGATATAAATAGGTGTTGATGTGATATTTTGAATGTAAAATTAATTTTTAGTATAATATAAAAAATAAAAAATAAATATTTAATTTGATATTTTTGAGAAAAAAAAATCGAATAAACAGTGTATTTGGGGAAAATCTCCCGAACAAACAGACCCTTAATTTAGAAAATATTGGGCATGGTTGATGTGAAGGGGTCGGTTTGTTAACTGTTTAGACTAATTTGAATTATTGGTTAAGGATTAAATTAGTTTATTATTTATTTTTAAATTAGTTAATTATTATAATTTTGCTTGAGAGGAAGCAACCTAGAAAGCAGTTTGATTAGTTGACTTTTGACTTTTATTTTTAATTATTTAATATTCCTATATATTAATATTGAATATATATGACGACATATATTTTACTTATTATCATGTTGTACACGTAGCACGCGATCTTTTATGTATTTATATTTATATTATTAATTTAAATTTCATAATATTCTATTTATTCAGCAACATTTATTTTAATATATTTTATCTAGCTACTAAAAAAATTAATCATTAACAAAAAATATTAGTTCATTCATTTTTAGATTTTTATAGGTAATATAAAAAAATATTTCTTTCATTGCCGAACAAAATATTACACATTATGTAATACCAATATATATATATATATATATTTCAAATTCAAACAAAAACAAAATGTTGATATACATATATTTGATATATTTAAGGGTGTGTTTGTTTAAGGGTTTTGATTTTGAGTTGAGATTTGAATAGTAAAAATTTTGAATTTGAATAGTTGTATGATATGATATAAATAGGTATTAATGTGATGTTTTGAATGTAAAATTGATTTTTATTATAATATATAAAATAAAAAATAGGTGTTTGATTTGATGTTTTTGAGGGAAAAAAATAGGATGAATAGTGGAAATCCAAACAAATCCCTCAAACAAACACACCCTTAGTACTCTCTCCGTCGCATAAATATACTTTTAATTGTGTTGGGTACGAAATTTAAGAAAAAATGATATTGGTAAAAAATATGAATAAAAGATTTTTTTGCCCTTGTAATTTATATTAATGTAAAATGAAGTGGCAATTGTATAATAAAAATGAAAAAGTAGAGATAGTTTGATGATATGATTATTTATGAAAATAAGACTATTGTTTTGGGATGGACAAAAATGATAAACAAGACTATTGTATTGGAACGGAGGGAGTATTATTATTTTGATATACTTATTAGACATTTATAATTTGCAGTATTCATTTTGTATCATTCTTATAAATAGACATTTAATGTTATTATTAATTAATAAATATAGCTAAAAAATATTCCCAATATTGAGGCCATTATTTCATTTATCCCTTTAATTTTCACAATTTGCATCCCAACGTGACATTATTAATTTTAGTTAGTTTAGATAATTTTTTTGTAAATGATAAAAAAAAAATAATTAATGTATATTTTGTGAAAAAAAAATGTACTTGATATATATTTTTGAAAAAAAAAATACTTAAAGTCAGCCATAATTATAATACTTTTAATTTATGAAAATTGGTATCAATTGGCTGGAGGAAAATAATAATAATAATAATAATAATAATAATAATAATAATAATGAATAAACTTATCCGTTGCACACTTTAATTATCCCTTGGATTCTCTCGTTGTATTTTTTCTTTGTTTCAAGTGTCACTTCTCCACCTCTTCCTTCAATTATTTATTTATTTATTTATTTTTACATAGAAAACGATAGCCAAGTAAGTCTTACAAAGTCAAAATGATGTAATAAGATTTGGACATTCTAACATCTTTATTTAAATAAGTATATATATATATATATGTGTGTGTGTGTGTGAATACCTCTCCATTTTAAAATTTAATTATATACTACTATTAATAGTAATATTTTTATTACAAAACTAGGCAACCGAATAGAAAAAGAACGTATCCATTTATAACATCGACGAATTTCGTAATTAAAATATTGATATGCGTAACAATTTTAGATTAAAACATAAAAATATATGGCCCAATTTGAAAGCAATTTTCATTTGGAGTTTATGGGCCCAAGTTATGGTAATGAAGCCCAATCTTACAATATACATATATATATATATATATATGATATGAGAATAAAATATATAATTGATATAATCTTATAAAAATAAAAATATATATGTAAATTGTTTAATTCGACACATTTATTATTTTTGTATTTTAAATTGACCATATTTGAAAATAATCTCGTAAATACAATTTTTTCGCTAAAATGGTCATTCGATGTTGATTCGCCACATAAAAGACAATATCGGAGAATTATTTTAGCGCAAAATTTTTATTTGCAGAAATATTTTCAAACATAGTCCATTTAAGTTCTTAAATGATAAATGAGGACAAAAATAAAAGACTAAAAAATTAGTTTATCAAAATATTTTGTAAAATAAAAAATAAATTTTTTTCAAGTGTCGCTTACAACGGGCCAACGTGACAAATTCAGCATCGGAGGACCGTTTTAGCAAAATTGACTATTTTCATACAAAATTCAGTTAAAATTCTAAAATAATAATAAAAAAAGTTAAATATGGGACTAAAAATACAATTTACTCAATCTATATATATATAAATAAGGATCAACGATCCATCAAATTTTTGTATACATATTTTGTATATATTGCATCTATCAATAATCAATTAACATTTATATGCAAGTGTAATAAACATACTAAATGAATACCTAAATTTGAGAATTAGAATTTCATCTTTTCTTGTGGTATAATCATATTTTTGGCAATTATATCAATATTCATGGCACCCAAGAATCTTTCATCTCTCTTCTTCTAGATTTTCTTCCTGCGCCTTTTCGCCGGCGTACGGCGACAATGCATCGATGCACACTTGATCTTCAACGTCGTTTACTACTGTGATTCGCGAATTTTGTTCGGCTTCCTTATTCTTCCCCCACAAGACGACGTATAGTCCACCAACTATTAACACACCGCCGATTACTCTGCATCATACGAGCCAATGCCGTTGATATATATAATAATTAATAAATTTAGATCGAGTTTTTTCACAGGTACAGAAAAACGTACATTCCCATGTGTAGCCTCTCTTCCAAGAACAACGATCCGCAAAAGGCCACCATTAAGAGCATTAAAGGTTGGAACGTTGAAACAAAGTGTGGCCCTTTCATTTCCACGCACCACGCGACCCACGTGAACATCACCCCAGATCCCAGAACACCCTGTCGACAAATTGAAAATCCCATATGAATTTATATGTAAGAAATCATCGGTTGTGTTTCTTTCAATTTTTATTTAATTTTCTACTATTTGAACTTCATATTATTTATAATACAAGTATTGATCAACTGCTGATTCGGTCAAGTCAGCATAGTGTTGATTTGATCGGATTAACATATGCTATAAAGGTGACCATCATATATTTATACATATTTCAACATATTTATAATACAACATATGATATCTTATAACATAACATATGTTGGTCACCTATATGATACATGCTTACTCAATCAAATCAGTACCATGTTGACTTGGCGGGATGAGCTTAGGATCTACAGTCTTATAAGTAATATATAGTATTTCTTATAAAACATCATATAAGGCATTATACTATTATATATATATATATAAAATAAAATCAAACTTTAAAACTCAATTTAAGCGAAAAAAAATACTTATAGATTCGTACCGCGACACTGACTGCGAGCAACCTTATGTCCCATCCCAAATGCCATTGGCTCCAATCTCTCTCGATGCAAAGTGCAAATAAGAGCCCTTGAGTCGACGCCGATAGGGTCATCATCGCAGTTATAGAGTACGGACATGGATAGAACTTCGATGCTTTGGCCTAACAAATCAACCCCAATCACTTAGAATAGGTGTAATAAAATCACATGAAACATCGCCGACAAGTTACCTGAGTGATCAGCCATAGCGCGTAAAAGAAACAACTAATTATCGCCAAGGTTGCTCCCAAAATGTAACTGCCGTGACTGTGAGCGCTTGATGACATTTGGGGGTTATGATGAGTTGAAGTCATGGTTAAAAGATTTATGTTTGTGTCCCAATAGTTTATGTCCGGACCTTTGTAGAGCGTGAGGAACATCGCTCCTCCGATCCCTAAGATCGTTCCAAACACCTTCGCTTTCCCGGCCACTGTGTTCCATGCCAATTTTTCTATTCTGTAACAATAATAAATATAAAAGATTAATTATAATTTTAAAATATTATATTTAACAACTGCAGTATTTTATTTAAATAAATACAAGCAAATAAGTTTGTTTATTTCAGTCTTTTTCATTGTTCATAATTTATCATTTTGAAATTAATTAAATCAAAATATTTATTTTTTAAAACTTAGAACATTAATAAAAAAAATTATATAAATTTAAAATTTTAATTATTTCTAAATCTCAAAACTTGCTCACGGAAGGTTTGTTTGTATTTTAAAAAATATTTTCATACCCACAAAAAAAAAAAAAAAAAATCAATCATAGTTAATAACAATGTTGATTGTATCGTAGAATATCAATTGATAACACATGTTAATAGCTCGTGTAAATACAATACAAATATATTTTATAAACCAACAATATGTAGTACCCTACTACTAACTCCATGCATCTATTTTTATTTATTTATTTTTAGTAAATTAAAAGTTATTAGTATTTTTTTAAATGAAATAGGTCAGATAATTTTAATATTTTTATCATTTTAAGTTAAAAATACAAATAAAAAATATTTTTATAAATGTTAAAAATATTTTAATATTTAAATATAATTACTTTTATTATAACTAAAATTATATATTTTTGAATAAAACATAGGAAAATGATAAAAATATATATTTAATTGAGATGAATAAAGTAATAGTAATTTACATTGCACATCATCTCAACAAAACATAGATATTAATATAGCACAAGTGCATAAACTAACAAGTAACAATATTGTAATAATAATCTACTCAATATATATATTGATTTAATATTCCAATAATACATTAAAAATGTTATGATAAATATAAAATTTGGTTACTATATATTTTAATACAGTATATAAAATATATTTTGATAGCATATTATATAATTTCATATAACACAGTAAACATATTATATAACCAATAAAACAAATAGATCACTTTATATAATTCATCTAGTACAATATATTGTAATTTTAAAACAATAAACATATTATATAATAATCCATTCATCTCAAACAATGTTTTTAGAGAGAAATATATATTTTATTTTTTTATTTGGATGATGTGAGAGGATAAAATGTGGGGCAGAGATTAAGTATAATTAATTATTTCCTATTTTGGAAATGTTGCAAGGTGTTTGGAACATACCAAAAAGAAAATATTGCAGAGTGTTTGGAACGGAGAGAGTATAACACAATATATAATTCATACAATACATATTCTTATACACTACAATATATGTCATCCCTCTCCTGTAATAAAATTATTAATTGTTCAAGTTAGTATGTTAGTTTGATTAAATCAGCGCCATAAATATAAATATTGTTCATTGAATGGAGAATTAATTTAATTTAATTTAATTTAATTAACCTGAGAATGATGCCGACAAGGAAAGTAATGGCGGGAATAAGATTGGTCATGGCCGAGCAGAACGTTGCTGACGTCATTACCATGCCTCTTAAGTACAGATTTTGTCCCAACGATCCCCTAATTAATTATCAAATAATAAATAAATAAATCATCATAATTATCAAATCAAATGGCTCTCTTTACTTATAAGATTTATTATTTCAATTTTATTTTATTTTTTTAAAATATCAAATCAAACATTCAATTTTTATTTATTTTATTACAATAAAATATAATTTTACATTTTAAATATCACATCAATACATATTTATATCACATCAAATAACTATTTCAATTCAAAATTTTACTATTCAAAATCAAAACATCCGAAGTAAACGTGGTTTTAATCCTCTTAATTAATTACAAAATTGATACTACCTCCGTCCACCGCCAATCTATCCATTTGTATTTGACGTCATTGTTTTTAACATTAAAAATATTCTTATATTTGTATAATTTTTTGTACAAATATCATTACATTAGTATTATATAACACTAATAGAAGTATTTTTGTCGTTTTTCTTTGATTTGTACTACGTTTTGATATAATAATTAATATTCAATTATTAATATGCAAAAAGTAAATTGATAGATTGACGGTAGAATAAGGTAGTACTCCCTCCGTCCCATAACAAAGTATCCATTTTTCCATTTTAGTCCGTCCCATGATAAAGTATTCATTTCTTTTTTTTAGTAACTGTACTATCAAGGTTATTTTAGTCATTTCTACTTTATTCCTATTATATCCTAATATAATATTAATATTTCTAAAACTACGTGCAAAAAGTAAATAAATATTTAATTCGGCGCGGAGGGAGTATTAGAAAATCCTATAATTCTAAAAGGTTGTTTGGTTGGTCTTTTTGCTCAACTAATCAATTAAAAAGATAATTATATATTTATATATATAGTTTGATAATGGTGCAGGGAAAATGTGAAGTACAGATGAAAAATTAATTAAACTGCCCGAAAGAAAGATGAGAAAGAAAAAGAAGAATTAGAATTATATTTTGTTTTTGTGTGTGTCTAAAAAGTGAAATTAATTAATTAATTAAACCAAACACTTCACGGATATGTAGTTTGGCCAAACTAATTAATTAATTAAATTAATAATAATTAAAGCGTGAGAATTAAGTGTAAGGCTGTCTAAGTTTGTCCATTTTTCTAACGAATGCAAAAAGTTTTCATCTTTTTCTCCCTCAAATGGAAAAGCAGACAACAGTCCCTTTCTCATTTTAAAATTAAATTAAAAATTAAATAAGCAAATGCCTGATATAATAAACAATACTCTATATTATGATTATTTAAATTTTTTTTTTTATAACTTTAAAAATAATAATATAATTTTAAAAATAAAAATATAACAAAGGTTTAGGGACTTACCCGAACAGACCACATAGAAACCCACATAAGCTTATTTTCCAGCTTAACTTTGGCCTCTTTTTCCTGAAATCATCAAAGCATATTATTATTATTATTATAAAAAAACTAATTAATATACTAAAATGATGATGTAATAATTAGTAAAGTGATGTCACGCAACAACGTGATTAAATTATTTAATTCACGTGGTTTAATTAATTTAATATAATTATGCGTGATTTAATTTAATCATGCGGTTCGAGTTCGCGATTTGTTCTTCTCAGCTGTCTAACAGATTTACATCATCAATTTCATTCTCATTAATTAATTTGTTTTTAGAATTTTCTATGTACACTTTTCCCCTTATTATTATTATTATTTAAAAAAAAAAATTTAAATGACTTCACGATCACAAGTCCAACTCCTATACCACCAATATTACATTAAAATAACTAGCACTTGATTGCAAATCACAAAAAAAAAAAAAAAAAGCAAATTCAAAGGTTGCCTTCATTTCCTGTTTGTATATTATTTTTTATTATTTAAATTCTATGTTATTCTCGTAAATATCACATTAAATATTTTTTAATTAAAAAAAAATCAAATCTCCGAATTCAATCTAAAAGAAACATACAGTGTGTTCTTCTACAATTTTTTATTTTTTTATTTTTTTTATAATACTATTTTCAATATATATATTATAATATACTCTCAATTTGGCGCATTTTGATTTTTAGTAAAATTTACAAAATCTATACATATTTAACAAATATAAATCAATTTAATTAACTTAATAACATACATTACATCACCTATGATCAACTCAGAACTCATTTATTCTTTACAAAATAATATTTATAATACATATATTTTATTGAAATATAATATTTAAAAACAGATTCTACATTTATTTTAATCATATATATTAAAACCTTCAATAATATATTACTCATATAAAAATATAATAAAATAATATCATAATTAAATATTATTAATTAATTAAACATTTTACCTTAAATACAGGAGCCATTTGGTTTGAGACTAGGGAAATTATATTTTATACTCTCTTCGTTCTAGTTAATTAATTCCAAAGTTTTAGGTATTGTATAATTAATAAATAATTAAGAAATTTATTAGTAAAATAATTATAATTTAATAAAAATAGTTATAAATTAAGATTAAAATAACTAATTTTTTAATTAAATTAAAAAAATTACTCCCTCCGTCCGGAGATGGATGAACCCTTTCGTCTGGGACACGATTTTTTTAGGTATTGTAAATTATAAAATTATATCTAAAAAAACATATGCAATATGGATATCATTTTGTAGATAATAAAATTTTATATAATTTATTTATTTATTTATCATTACATAAATTAGTTTTATAAAAAATGAGGAGTTCGATAAAAAAAATTATATTAATTGAGGAGAGAGATAGAAATAACGGGTTTTGAGTGGGTCTGCGGGTAAGACGTTAGAAGTTTAAAGTTTAATTAAATTGATTTATATTTATTAAGTATGTTTGAGATTGATAAAGTTGCCAAAAAAAAAATGGAATACAACGTATTAAGAAGGTATTAAGAAGGAAAAGATGCTATATATGGCTGGCGAGACGAGACGAGACGGAGAGAGTATAAATTATAAATTTTAAAATACAAATTAAAATGTATAATTATATTTAAAAAATAATAATAAATTAAATATGACAGAAATATTATTTACAGAATTATCTATATTTCACTTTAAAAAAATATTCATCAAACCAAAATACTAAACAAACAAATTAAACCTAAAAGTCTTTAGCAATTAATTAATTAACGGAGTAATATATATTACCGTTCGACGAAGAAGGCGATGGGGCCGATGAAGGCGGCGCCGAACATGAATCGGTAGGCGACGATGAGGGAAGGATTCATGTTGTCGTTGGCGGCGAGTTTGTAAAGGATGTTGACGAGGGCGAACACCGCCTCCACCATCACCATCACCGCCACCGGCTTCCCCTTGCGCCACCGCTTAGACAACGACCCGCCGCCCATCTCTCTCTCTCTCTCTCTCTCTACGTCGGATTTCAATGAATGAATGAATGAATGAATTAGTACATTGCAAGAATATATATGTATATGTGTATATATATAATGTCTGGGAGGTTTTTGATGATCGATCGCTGGAGAACAGTACAGTGCGTGTCCGACTCCAAACATATGCACGCACGTGTGTGTGTGTCTCTCTCTATATCTATATCTATATTTATATATCTGTATCTATATCTGTAATTCTGTATCTAAATCTGTATGTATCACTGTGTTAGTATATGGAAGAGAGCTATTCAATTGGGGGTTTGTTCTAGAAGATTGAATCCATACGGATCAGCCATATATAATTCGGATGTATAACTTTATACGCAGAAATTTAGGTAAAGTAAAAATAATTATTTTATAGTAATAATAATTATACATTAAAATTAAGATAATTAAATAGTTTAATTAAAATTAAAAAATTAAAACTTTAAAATATGATAAAATGTATAATTATATTTTAGAAAAAAGAAAAAATAAGTGAGATAGACAAAAACAGAAAATAAAGACAAATTACGTAAGAGAATATTAATAAATGAAAATTGCCATTTTTTGAAAATAAAAAAAATTATATATATATATATATATATTAAAATGGAGTATACGTAATCTCTATAGACCTTGATTGGTGAGGGATTTGGCTTTAAAATATTTCAAATTACTCTGGTTGTGTTTATTTGTGAGATTTGATTTTCAATTTTATTATTTCAAATTGTTATTCCAAAAATCCACCAGATTAAACATCTATTTTTTATTTATTAATTACACTAAGTTAAATTTTACATTAAAAACATCGCATCAATACATATTTATATCATATCAAATAACTATATTAATTCAAAAATTTAATATTCGAAGTCAAAACCAAAATCAAAATCTTTCGAAAGTTTGTTGAAGATTTGAAAAACATCAACATCTCATATTCAAATAGTAGATTTAATTGTAAAGTATTTTTAATTTATTCAAAACTATTAATTTAAAATGACTTAAATCTAAATTTATCGGACCGTCTAGTATATTTAATCCAACCAAATATGGCTATATACAATAAAGAGTAAGGGCCCAATAATAGTTGTTGGGCCTAAGCAAATTTTAAAAGTCCCAATCTCAGCCCAATATGTTGTGATGTGTTGGTTATTGTTCTAGTAATAAATTAAACAAAAATAAACTACTCAAAACACAAAATGTATATTTTGAGATATTTTTAGTAATTTTAATTAATTTGTATCTGATTTTTCTTAACCATAAACTCCATCCCGTCTGAATACAATAGTCTTGTTTACTATTTTTGTCTATCTCAAAACAATAGTGTTATTTTCATAAATAATCATATCATTGTATAACTACCTTTGCTCTTTCATTATTATTACACAATTGCCACTACCTTTTACATTAATACATTCACAAGGGCAAAAATGTCTTTTACCTATACTTTTTACCCATGCTATAGTTCGGGGACGAAGGGAGTATATATTATGGTGTTCTTTTATCAAATTTCTCCAAAATTTCACTATTCATTAAATTTTATTTTATTTTTTTTTAAAAATATTAAATCAAGCATCTATTTTTTATTTTCAATATTATACTAAAAATCAATTTTACATTTAAACTATCACATTAATACATATTTATATCACGCTGTATAACTATTTAAATTCAAAATTTTTATTATTCAAATTCTAAAAAAAAAAAAATTCCAAATTCCCAAACAAACACACCCTAAGTGAATGGATGAGTGTTTTTATATGAATATGAGGATATATTTGGTTTTGATTTAAAATTGAATACTATATCCATCCACTGTCAATCTATCAAGAAGTATTACGCAATTGCCACTATTTTTTACTCTAATAAACGCACTAAGGACAAAAAATCTTTTATCCATACTTTTTACCAACTACCAATATAATATCAATATTCCTTAAATTCCGTATCCAACTCAATTAAGACTATATTTATGGGACGGAGGGAGTATATTTTTATAAAAAATGATATGACATTAGCAGTGTGTTCGTTTGTAGGATTTTGACAAAATCCTACTATTCATCCGAAATTTTTTCCAAAAAATATCAAATTAAACACCTATTTTTATTTTTTATATTATACTAAAAATTAATTTTGCATTCAAAACATCACATCAACACATCACATCATACACATCACATCATACAACTATTTAAATTCAAAATTTTTACTATTCAAATCTCAACTCAAAATTCAAACCCTCAAACAAACACACCCTTTGAAATATCTTTGAAATAATAATAATAATAATAATAATAATAATAATAAAAACCCTTTGAATCTTGAAATATATGTATGTGTATGTATTCTTTGTACGCTAGATTAAACAATATATATCATGAAATTAATAATGTTTTATAGCATAAATGTTTCTTATTCAATTTGCCTTGGATTCTACCTCGAAATTTTAGAAATTACATTTTATATAAATGATTTTTGTAAAGAACTAATGATAAAAGCAATCTTTCAACACAAGGAAAGGCAAATACCAAATTAAGAAAAAAAAAAAAAAAAAAGTTTAAAGGCCAAAAAACGACATAACACGTGGGACCAATTTTCGAACAAAATTAATTTTCAAATTTATTAATTGTTAATTAATTATATATATATATATATGTGTGTGTGTGTGTTGGTGCGTTACACATTCCGTCCATGTGGGTATTAATTCGAATTGAATTTACTGCAGGGAAGCGAACCGGAGAGAGATCCAACAGCTGCCATTGATGGACCTTCATTGAATTGAATCCTTCATCGACGTGGGGACGACCTCGGACCAGATCGATCGCCGCAGGATCCCAACAGCCGTCCTCTGTCTCTATATATTATCGTCTTCAATTCCTACGCCGTGTGTAAGAAGAGCAATTAGAGATCGTAAAAGCGTCGTTCCTATTCCTTAACTTCCTCCGCAAGCTTCTTTCTCTCTCTCTCTGTAGGAAGCAAAATCTGTAAGAGAAATTAAGATCTGTTCTATTAGAATGGGAGCCTGCGCCAGCATACCTAAAGCAATGAGGAAAGGAGCCGACGCGCCGCTTCCGGAGCCGCACCAGGAGGAATCGCCGGTGGCGGTGGAGGAAAGTACGGCGGATCGCGGCGGCGTTGAGGAGGGGGTTGCCGCAGTTGAAGTGAGTTCAATATATAATAATTAATATTTTAATTAATTAATTAATTAATTAATATTAGTGAGGAATTGATATGATGTTTGTAAATAGTTAATTGAAACAACGTGAGTACATGACAGGGCGGCGCCGCCGGAGAAAAGGCTGTAGTAACGAAGTGTGAGGCTTTGCCAGAGACATCGGCGGCGGCGGCGGCGGCGGAGAGAGAAACACAAGTGGGAGAGGTGGAACAGCAAAAATCAGGATGATGGTTTATAGTATTGTGTTGTTGCTTATCATTATTTTTTTTTTATTGTTTTTCATTTTATTGTTAATTACATTCGTTTTCTTGAGCTACAAAAAAAGAGTGAGAGACGAGGGAGAGAGAGAGATTGGGTTTCCGAGGACATTTTTTTTTTATTTATTAATTTATTAAAAGAATATTAATTTTTATTTTTAATGTTTTATTTATAATGTATTCCTTCAGTTCCACTACACTTGAATCATTTGATTAGAGATACGGTATTTAAGGGGAGGATATTTATTTAGTTAATAATAATTAATTATGATATTGCAATATTATATTTTTGTATAATTAATAATATTTATGTTTTTAAATTAAATTTAATATATATAATTAAAAAAATTAAAATATATGTTTAATATTTAAAAATTATATATCAATTACAAAATATATGCAATATAGATATCATTTTGTATAGAATAAAATTTTTTATAATACAAGTAAATGAAAAAATATTTTTGTTTATTTATAATTAACATAAATTAATTTTATAAAAGATGTGTAGTTTTAAATATAGATAAAAATATTTAATTTTTGAGGAGAGATGTAGAAATAAAGAGGTTTTAAGTGGGTTTTACGTCATTTATGATGTATATTACGTAGTTAATTAATTTGATTTATATTTGTTAAATATATTTTGAATTAGTAATTTTTATCGAAAATAGAAATGTGTCATTGGTATGGGACAGATAAAAATGGAAATAGTGTCAAGTGTGGTGGGACGGAGAAATAGTGTCAAGTGTGGTGGGACAGAGGGAGTATTAAATAATTATTTTAATTGAATCTTATTATTTAAAATAGGGTAAATTATATAACACATCCTTATGTTTTATTAAAAATACAATTCTTGTATTAATAGAAGTTTGCATAAAACATTTTTCTTGTCCAAAATTGATGTTTGATTCGAAATAAATACAAATAAAAAATGTATAATATCTTAAATAATTTTTTTTAATAAAATAAATAAATAATTGATTAATAATTTATTTTTATAAAAATTAGACAATAATTTGTCTTAAAAAACTATAAAATGAAGGATCAATAAAATATTTATTTAATGTTAAAAAATTATTTAAGATATTTTGTGCTTTTTATTTATATAAAACTTGCGTAATTTAAGTATTTATTTAAAACTATATCAATTTTGGACAAAAAGGGTTGGGGATTTCACGCAATAAAAAAAATATAAATTATTTTGTAAATTTTTACTAAAAAACAATAAATTATTATATAATTTATTTTTTAAAAATAAAATTCAAATTTATAGACAAACAAACACACCATACCATAAAATGGTATTTACATCTAATACCAAAAGGAATAATTAAATTAATATTAGGCATAGAAAAATTTGGGTTTTGTTTATCTTTTAAAAAACATCAGATTAAATAATTTTTTATTTTTTTCAAATTTTCAAAAATCTCTTATCTAAACAAAGCTCAAGAAAAAATGAAGAAGTCGGATTGGGCAAGGAATCCTACGTCACTGCTAAAGAATTTGAACTATATAAAAATTGTTAAAATAAAAAGTATATATATATTATGGGAAAATGAGAATATTCTTCATTGCGAAAGTTGAACACTTGAAATTGAATCTAATTAATAAGTTTGGTTTTTTTTTTTTTTTTTTTGTCAAAATATTGTTGAATATTTTGTAATAACATTTAGAACAACCCAACTATTCTAACATCTTATTAATTTTTTCTTGGGTTGTTCCAACAATAAAAAAATGGTTTAATGAGACAAGTAAGGCCATCCACAACACAGAAATCCATCCAGGGTTTCTTCCCATTCTCTCTCCTGTGCCACGTCAGTTTCTCTCTCCGCCACGTCACGAAGAACTCCAACTATATTTTACATTCACATCAAAGAACCCTTTAAATTTATGAATATTTTTATGTATTTTTATTTATTATTTGTATTGCATGTAATTTTAATTAAACAAATGTTATAATTGAATTAATAGATATTTAATTAAATATTTTACAAAAATATGCATTAAAAAGTTACATAAAATATAAAAATATTATATTAAAAATTATAGTTATTAACAATATTATTTTAATAAAAAAAAATATTAAATAAAACTCATATAATAAAATTTAAATCTAATATTTTAATAAAACAAATTATTATAAATATAAATAAAAAAGTATATATTATAAATATTATTTTTAATATTTATTGAATAAAAAAGTGGACCATAGCCCACAAAAATTGGAAGAAACGGTACACTCGCAATGTACCGTTCCTTATGTTAATTGGTGTTTTAATTTTTTTTTTATTTAATAAATGATGACGTGGGAGACACTTCTCAACAAGCGTCTCCCGTTGTGGATGCCCTAATTCAATGAGATGATCCAAACCAAACAAGTTCTTATGGATGTAATATCCGTCTTGTGTGCCAACTTTGCAATTCATATACAATATTGAATAATATTTTTCTTAAGTTTGGAGGTTTGTATGATGTAGATTATAAATTGCAATGTACACACTACATATATGAACACAAAAAATAAAAATATGAAGATACTATTTTCTACACATTTTACAATATAAGAGTAGTCCGTGAGAAAAAATATTTTGTGAAAAAAAAATAATATTTTTTAAAAAATTATAATTCAAATAGTAAAATTTAAAAGATACATGATAAAAAAATGAATGTAAGTATCTGTCAGAGTTGTTAGGTGGGAAAGTTTAGTGTTTGTATTGTGTTTTTGTATTTGTAATTAAGGATATGTAGGGTATTTGTATTAATTTTAATTAGAATATAGGTAAACATTTAAGATAGTTAGATATAATTTGATATAAAAGAAAAATGACAATATTTCATCTTATAGGAAGAAAAATACAAAAATTAAGTGACAAGAACTACAATTTTTTTTTTTTTTTAAGATTATTATAATTTTTTTTTTGGTAGTATAATGGACTATTCTATTGATTTAATAAAAAAATTATTATAAATATACATTTGATTGTTCAAATAATAAATATTATTAAGATAATGATTTTCTTTTTTTTTTCATATAAAAAAAATAATTATTCCCTATATATTCTCCATGCATATACAAACACCTGTTTTACAAAATCCTAACGGAAACATTTATTATGAATTGATTTTTTTTATTTTATGTGTAACATATGTAAAAAATATAAAATATATTATTTTAAATTAAATGTTTGATTTTGATTTTGATTTTGATTTTAATAAGAATTTGAATATTTTTTTTACTTTTATAAAATGTATTTTGCTTTGTTTATTATTAGTTTTTGAAAAATTACAATTAATTTTGGATGAACAAAGCCATATTTCGATAATTTTACTTTTAATTTTTATTTAAAACAATTTTATAGATTATATTTTTAAAAATAAAATAAAATTTGTAATAATTCTTAGATCATAAGAAAAAAAAAAAAAACAATAATATAAAATTTTATTGGCTAGTATTTCAATCTACATATATATAGTAAATTGAAAATGTCCGAGTTGGTAGATACACATATACATATACACTGGTATATATATATATATTTATTCTTTTAGGGTTGAATTGCTCAATTGTTGAAGGTCACAACGCTTCTAGAGACATCTCTGCCCGCCCGCACGTTAATTGGCGCAGCCACAACGCAATCCCCGACCACGTTTCTCCAATCGATCGCTGATCCGCCGGTGAGCTTCTCTGGTTGTACTAGTTTCATTTTGCTTTTTTTTGTTTTTAGATCCAATCTTCAGTTTATTGTGATTCGGTCATTTTATCTAGGGTTTCATTTCGCGCATTCCCCCCCCCCCCCCCCCCCCCCTGGTTTATGGTTATTAATCGGTTGTGTTTGGGATGTTTGATGTGATTTGGTTGCAGGTTGCTTTCGCTTGACAGTTGTGTTCGTTAACTATGTGAGTATTAATCTAGCTTTTGGGGATTTTCAGTGTGGTGTGATATTTCGATTTTATTTATTGCAAACTTGCTTGTTGTAATACAGCATGTTGTGACCTATGGATGCTTCGTGTATTGGGTATTATCAATGGGTAGAAACATAGATGCATTCCTTTGATTCTGAACAGATTGATATGAAGTTATAGGAATGTTGTTCCACACTGCAGATGTAATATCTTTTATGATATTTTCCCTTCATATATATGGTTGATTTTTTCCAGTTACATTTCATCACTATTTTGTTAAGATAATAGAAATCAGCTTCTTTATGAAGAACTTCTTCACTCCCAAATGTTAGTAAATATTTCTTTTTGCAGTCAATTCTTTCCCCTGCTCTTCTGCGGATCTTGTGAATTTTTTTACACTTGATGCTCAATTGTATTTGCTGCAAGTAGTTGTTTGAATGCATTGAATGTATATAATTTTCGGTCAGAATTGGCAAGAAAACACTTTGTTAATGCGATGATCCATCTAGTACTACTTGATGGCAACTATATGTTAGTGGTTTCGAAAATACCCAGAAATGTACCATCACATGATTCACATCATAATTTTCTTTGAGCACACTTTATGATTTAGGGCTGACGACGAGCCAGTAGATCCAAAGAAGGAACTTGAAGATCGCTGCAAGGCGCCATGCACTCGGCCACTTAAAGAATATCAGGTGATTTCTGCTGTAAATAGCTATTTAAGCATTTCTCTACCTATCGAATGCTTATCCTGCATCATTTTATATGTTAGCTACTCTGTCATTTATGGGTAAAGCTTTTGTATGTGTAAAGACATGAAGTAAGATACACTTTGGTTTCTTTATTGTTGGTTTTTGTTCCATTCACTTCTGCTATGCCAGTATGCCTAATCTTTTTCATTTCATACAGAAATTGATTTACCAAGTTACAATTCTCTCACATAATTAAAAAAAGGCCATCCAAGTGCTAAAAGGTTTGGGAACACATACAGTATAACATGTTGTCATCTACTGTATGAAGATGTCTAAGCACTTAAGACTGTTACATTTCACATTTTTGCGATTTTAATAGGCAGTGCAGTTTGGATACTGCTTGGCGACAAAAAATTGGTCCTGGGGTTGAAATGATTTTATAATATTGTAAAGGGTATCGAAAATCTTTTACTTGTGGTCACAGACTCACAGCTTGACAGTGTTCTTTCAGTTAGTAGTTACTGTTAGCTTATTGTCATTTGTGGCAGTTCATTTGCAATGTGTTTGTTTTTGTGTCTTTGTCAGTCAATACTCCTCTTGTTGGACAGTTGCTTGTGATATGAACATCCACTTATTAGCTGATAAAATTGTCCTTCGGTTTTAGGCATGTGTCAAGAGAATTGAAGGCGATGAATCCGGCCACAAGCACTGTACCGGGCAATACTTTGATTATTGGCGCTGTGTTGACAAATGTGTAAGCCCACATTTCCTAATTTCACTCCATTCATTTTCCGCTCCACCTTTTTGCGCGTATGCAAATATATCCTACCCTACTGAGAGCATACTGAATTTTACAGGTTGCTTCAAAGCTATTTACTTATCTTAAATAGCAAAGACGAGGGAGACAAAACTTATGTCTAGTACCAGGTTTCGCGCTTCTGTTTTTCTAAAGCCAATCATTTCCTTTCCATTGTGGTGTTGTCGAGACAAGCTTTGATGTGTAAGCACACAGTCCCTTGGCAACATGAGTTCTACACCAGGTCAATAAATGTTTTTGAAGAATGAAATCTTTTTTTTGTCTTTTTCTTTTTTTTTTTTTGTTGTAATATGGATGCTCCATGCTACATTTCTCTTTTGCACACAATTGGATCACAATTGATAGCCTGATTGAGGACTATTTTTGGGGTGTAAAACTAAGTTTCGAATAAATTACCGTTCGTATTTGACTGCTTGAAGCATGTTATTGCTATTGAATTTTGATCATTCTGTTTTATCGTTTGTTACATCTTAGTTTATCACTAGGCCATAGCATGGCTGGGTAGGTAATTACATATGTAAATGTATAAAAATTTCTACTTGTGGTGTAATTTATCTTTATTAGCCGGTTAATTTATTTGGTTGTGGTTTGAAATTGATTTGGGTGATTTTTTAAATAATTTTTGATATTTTGTAGGAGAAAATAGTGTATATTTATTGGGTTGAATAGATAGATTTTTGTTTGAAATCATAAACAAACAAATGACTATTATGCTGCATTTTATTTATTTTATATTTCCTTAAAAGGTTATGGCCCTTACTAGGGCTAGACACGGCTTTTCAATTAGTACGGCATGTATATTTTTGGTGTGTATTTCTATCAAATTTTTATTATTTATTTATTTTTAAAATATAAAATTAAATATATATTTTTATATTATGCTATAAATTAATCTATATTTAAAATATTAAATCAATATTTATTTATACTAAAACAAATTCTCAATTCAAACAAATAGACAGAATATCCAAAGGATGTGTTTGTTTGGGAGATTGGAATGGATTTATACTATTCATCCAATTTTTTTCTCTAAAAGTATTAAACCAAACATCTATTTTTTATTTTTTATATTGTACTAAAAATAAATTTTACATTCAAAACATCACGTCAATGCCTATTTAGATCACATCATAAAACTATTCAAATTCAAAACTTTTACTGTTCAAATTCCAACTCAAATTCCAACACATAATAGATAGTTTATATAGATGTTTTATACGAATATTTGTTATATGCTATCAATTACTATATAATATATATGGTGTGTACTACCTCGTATAATCAACATATACACATAAGAATTGTCAGACAATATATGGGTTTTTTTTTTTAGGTGGGAACTCTCAGCCGCTATCTGAAAGTGCGTATTGGGTGAACTCTTGGCCGAATATAATATTCTGCAAACTAAATTCGACAGACAAGTTACACTAGACAAACCATGTGTGACAGATCATTACGTGTGAGGGGTGAATGATTTCAATTAACATAAATATGTGTTGTACGAAGTATTGATATATGGTGAGTTTTGTTATTGCACACATTGACAGACTCCACGACTAACAAACCTCCAACCTTTATGATGTCAAAGGGAGGTTTGAGTCGCTTGAACTACACATCCTTATATTACGTACACAAAGTGAGTGTAAATCCATGTGGAAGGAATCTAAATGTGTTCACACTTAATATTGTTATTATTATTATTATTATTATTATTATTATTATTATTATTATTATGTTTTGGGAATGAATGATAATGCAGAGATTAAAATATTGGAGTGTGGCATCTACACTCTCTTTATTTCATTTAATAGCAGTACTGCACTAATGGCTTTGCTTAATGAAATAGCATTGCAAGTGCATTGTTATAATAAGGTTGAATTGAATATTTTAATTTGATGAAATCCCATAATACTATAAAAGATTTAAAAAATACCCATAATTGGCCACTCTTGTAAAAGATCCAATCTTTAAAGCAAAATCTAATTTCCCCACTCACTCACAACTTTTTAGTTTATATGTATGTTTATGTGGAATCCAACATTCCATTCCATTCCACCCTTGTATAATACTAATAAATTAACATTGAATTTCCACACTTTCTTGTGCTTGCCACACTCCTTTCATTTTAATTTATTTTATTATTTTTTTTTTAAAAAAAAATTATTAACATTTAGTGAATTTGTTCAGTAACAAAAGTCCCACAAGCATGTCGAGTATGACAAGTGGTGAATACAAGATCACTGGCTCTATTTCTTGGTTGAACTTGTCATATTGATTTGATTCATTTATATATAAGTTACTGTGTTTAGTTTTGATGGTTATTTTGTGTGCACTTTGAAAAGTAGTAAATTTAAAATCTCATGTTATATATGATATATGATCATGATTAGAGTGTTTATTAGGATGACCAACATAGTATTGATTATTCATAATTTCATATGCTGAAATTAATAACACTGTGTATTGTGTGAATTATGATCATATATTGTAAGTTCATTTGTATTGTACTAATATAACCAATATATTATTACTTAATATTGTATGTTAATTATGATCGTATATTCTATCTATTTATATTATATTATATTAATATAAACAATATACTACCACTTAATATTGTATGTGCTACTTTTATACATTCATATTAACACCAACCGCGCACACACATATAAATCCATATAAGAAAAAACCCCACTACACAAAATATGCCTATAAATACCCCATTCTCTTGTTACCCCTAAAAACACCAAATCTTGATCATCACTTTAATCCAATCATTCTCCAATCCAAATCTTCAAGAAACTAACTAATGGCTACCTCAATGATTGATGTTAACCAATGCCCCATTGAAATGGAGAAACAAGAATTTGACTACTCCCAAAGGTCCCAATGGCTAAGAGCAGCTGTTCTTGGAGCCAATGACGGATTAGTAACAATTTCTTCCCTAATCTTGGGAGTTGGTGCTGTCAAAGATGATCCCAAGTCCATGATCCTCACCGGATTTGCGGGCCTCGTCGCCGGAGCTTGCAGCATGGCAATCGGAGAGTTCGTCTCCGTTTACTCGCAGCTCGACGTCAAACTCGCGCAGATGAAGAGGGAGAAAAAGGAGGAGGAAGAAGAGGATCGGGAGAAGCTCCCGAACCCGTTTCAGGCTGCATTGGCATCGGCCCTCGCGTTTGTTATGGGGGCCGTGGTGCCGCTGCTGGGGGCGGCTTTTGTGAGAGAGTATAGGGTGAGGTTGGGGGTGGTGGGGGCGGCGACGACGGCGGCGCTGGTGGGGTTTGGGTGGGGTGGGGCGGTGTTGGGGGGGAGTAGGGTGGGGAGGTCCTGTGGGAGGGTGGTAGTTGGAGGGTGGATGGCCATGGGGATCACTTTTGGGCTTAGTAAGTTGATTGGCTTAGGGGGCTTGGAGATGTAATGATATATAGTATAATATATATATATATATATATGTGTGTGTGTTTGTTCATGCATGGGGTTTGTGTTAGTACGTGTTGTTTGTATGTGGAATAAAGGTGTGCAATGGGGCTCTTTATTTTTGGTCTGTTTCGAACATTATATAATATTTTTATTAAATACTCCTGTATTTAATCACTGCTCACTGCTATGTGCTTTTATCCTATTAAATCATTTAAGTAAATATACAATTTGTTTCTTTTCTTTATAATATTACTTAATTTTTAAATTATCCTATTTAATATTATCAATTTAAATTCCCTTGCGGAAAATCAATATTGCACCATGTTTAGAAAAAAATAAAAAAAAAGGATATAATATAAATAAGAAACATAAGTAATAACACATGGCATAATTAACAAAACACAGTTTTACCAATAAGTATATCCCGCGGTGAGACGGGCACAGTGAGTTATCAATTTATTGTAACCGAAAATCAACTCATATTGTTTTGACTTGATCAAGAATGGCTGGTTCACGAGTTGCAATATCAATTTGTTTAATTCTTTTCATATAAAAATTATGTATACATATATATATATATATTGATGACCTGTAAGGCTGTAAGAGCATATACAATAAATAGGTCAATTTTAAAAATATATTTATTGTTTTATGTGTATACCAACACATTTTAATTTAAACATTATAAAAAAAATATATAATGACTTTTCATTTGCTTTTTTTCACGTAATTTTAGAAATATTAGTATTATATTGAGATATAGTAGGAATAAAGTAAAAATGATTAAAATAACCTTATTAGTACGTATGATATATAGGTAATGACATTTGTGTAATATATTGTAAGTTGTAAGGGTATTTGTAATGTTAGGTAGACAGTACAATTACTAAAAAAAAGAAATGAATACTTTGTTACAGGACGAACTAAAATGAAAAAATGAATACTTTGTTATGGGACGGTGGGAGTATTATAGTTAGATTTCAGTACATTATTCATTGTATATGTTTAAGTATTTTGATCAATATTGAAAGGAGGGGTCAATTTCAATAAACTATTGTGTTGTCAAGTTCAATAGCCAATATGAACATATTTCATTGAAATTCTATAAATTGGTGACTTTTTAAACTATACATTATTCATTTTGAAGCACAAAATGCAAATAAAAATATGTAAAACCAGATGGATTGTGTTCTCACCTAGATTTCTCACAATATTCTTATTTTTTAATTTATTTTTAATATCAAATAATAATAATAATTTTTTAATATTATTCTTCATATCAAAATTTATTTACATCATACTATTTAATAATTATTTAAATCCAAATTTTTACAATAAAAAATTTAAAACTGAAAACCCAATAACAAACAAACACACCCTTAATTTAAATAGAAATACCGTATATAATATAATTGCGCAATGACTGGGAAGGGTTTTGGGTTTTTGTAAACTGGGAGGGCAGAAACCTCCAACCCTACGTCTAATCGCCGCCGTCGATTCCAGCCACCGCCCACGGCGGAACCTTCGACATCAACGCCGACACTGGCATCGTCTAGAGGTAGTTTCTCGGTTGAAGTCGGAATCGGAAGTCATGTGGTACCTCTGCGTGTTTTACCATAGATTGTTGGAGTACAGGAAATCGGAGTTCGAATCCCTCGCCGGTCTCTTCGACGGTAGAAACGGCGAAATTTCTCTCCAATGGAGACTTCCGAAGGATCACCATCCGGATTCCCCTTTCCACTTCGTCGATCTACCGTCGGAGGAACTGGCACGCAACATTGCCGATCGAAGTAAGTACTTAAGCAAAACACGTGAAAATCTTAGCTTCTTCCGGTAGAAGTGAATCAGTAATAACAAATCCATTGTGTTCTGAAGATCCGAATTCAGTATTTCGAATTAACGGTCAGCCTTTTTCGGTATGTGATTGGTTAATTTCCTTGGATTGAAATGAATATGTTGCAGGTATTCTAGTGAAGGGGATATATGAACTTTGGGGTGAAGGAGATGGTTTAGAGGAACTACAGGACGCTATCCAGAGGTATCCCGATGACCGGAAATTACCTTATATATCGCCAGGAACCACTTTCAGAATAACTGTAGATAGCTTTGGGAAAGCAATGAGCTCTCATGAGCAAAATGCTTGGTTCCAGAAGTTGACTTTCATTCCATTTAAGGTTTGATTCGATTGTTTTTTCCTGTGATATTTAGGTAAGATGTTAAAATGTGGCCACTTGTGCACTGTTAGTTAGCTAAATTTTCAGAATGCAGCTAGTTCTTTAGCAATTGGATCAATTTTTTGGTTGTGTTTGGATTGGTGGCGCATTTAGTGTTATGGTTGTTCTTCGCCTGCATAAATGGGTTGTTTTTTAGTCTTCGATATGGTACTAGTGATTAAATGGTGCAGTTTTTCTATGCTCGATGGAGAATGCTGGGTTTTTTTTTTTTGTCTAGGCATTTAATTTTTTTGTGGAAGTATTTTTTTATCAAGAAGGGTTGTAGTTATACATTCGGGAGTAGCTAGAATGTGTTGTTGCGAAATTCAGGCATGTTTTGTACGGTAAACATTCGAACTATATGGCAAACACTATAGGGTTTTTAAAATTATTGTAGAAGTATTTGGCTTTGGTGCTGCACTTGCTAATCCCTAAGTGAAATCATTTCAGGGGCGAGTGAATCTCAAAAATCCTGACCATAAATTTTGTCTAATGGATAACGATGATTATGGAGATAATAATGGACTCCCTCCTATTGTTAAAAGGAGAATCTTTTTTGGTCGGGAAGTAGGTGCTTCTGATAGGAAGATATTGCAGAAGTATCAGCTGAAAAGCCGAAGATACCTTGGCCCGACTGCAATGGATGCCGAAATGGCTTTCCTGATGGCAAATCAAGCACAAGTCAAGCCAGGGAAACTTGTGTTCGATCCTTTTGTGGGTACTGGAAGCATTCTTATAGCGGCAGCTCATTATGGAGCGATGACAATGGTTAGGATTTTGGTTTGTTATACAACACTATGTTTGGTAAACGGTTTTTAGTTAAAAATCTAGAGTTTTGTTTTTCTACTAATACTGATGCAAGTAATTCAGGGTGCAGATATTGATATTCGAGTAGTGCGCGATGGCCGTAGCCCGGATTGTAACGTCTGGAGCAATTTTAAGCAGGTTATATATATATATATATATATATTTATTCTTTTGTTTATTGTTAATGTTTGTTTGATCCCAAATTATTGATTGCATATTTCGTCCATTTCTTGTAAGCCTAACTGTATGTTCTTATTTACAGTATGGATTGCCGATGCCCATATCACTATTAAGGGCCGACAACAACCTTCCGCCTTGGCGTACTGGTTTAAAAGAGGTACGTTATTTACATCAGTTTCTCATTTTCATTCCGAACTTCAACATACTATTTAGTTTCACCATGTTTCGATTGTTCTGTAAATGAACATATAAAGAATGATAGTATTCATTCTCCTTCAGATGTTTGATGCCATAATATGCGACCCTCCTTATGGGGTTCGTGCCGGAGGGCGCAAATCCGGGGGGCGCAAGCTCTTAAAAGGTGCAGTTGATCCTTACACTGTACCAGACGAGAAAAGAACCGACCACATTCCATCCACAGCTCCTTACAGCTTAATGGAATGCATTCACGACTTGCTCGACCTTGCAGCTAGGATGCTTGTACTAGGTGGGCGCCTCGTGTACTTCTACCCTGTTCTAAGAGACGAGGATTCCCCCGAGCCCTCCTTCCCGGAGCACCCATGTTTCAAACTGGCCGCAACCTGCGAACAAATTCTCAGCTACCGTTACAGCAGAGTTCTACTGACCATGGTCAAGGTTGCTCCTTACACCGAAGATGTCGAACTGGCTGCTAAGCTCAAACATCTAGACTTCAGAGAAAACCACCTCAAGTGGTTAGAGGAAGGTAATCTACACTCGGCGGTCTTTTCCCCGAGCGACGTTCAGAGCAACGGATCCGGCGAAAAGTTCAGCTCGAAGCCGAAATACCGGGGGAAGTATGTTTAGGCAGCAGACGAACAACATTTAAAATATGTCACAGAAAGTGTTCTTGTAGTAATAGCTTATGAGTATAATGCTTAACCTAATTCTCTTAACAGGCTTCATAACCTATGGTTAGGTTATGAAACCATGAATTATGTACTATTATTTTTGTGTTTGGTAATGTTAACTGGGTACATGAATTCCCAATTTCACATATACTTTGTATGCTTATTGTTGCATTCATTCATTCATTTTTCTTCTCAGTTCTTGTACATTTAAGGACTATGATTAAATCAAGAAATCATCAGCTTATACTACTGAAGATCTTGAGCACTTGTCTCTTCAATCTTTCTTTACAGGACAGCAACCTACGAGTCGGGTTTTACGCTGACAGCTGCCCTGCTGCCGAGGCTGTCGTCGGCGACGTTGTCCGGGAAGCAGCTGCTGCAGATGGAAACAATGTCCCCATCTTGGTCAGGCTTCATTTCCATGACTGCTTTGTGGAGGTAATACAACAAATGTGTATGTACACATCCATTTACAGTGGTCTTGGTTGGCTGTGTGTGAGCAAACTCTAACAATGGTGGTGAGCAGGGCTGCGACGGATCGATTCTGATCGACAATGGGCTGGATTCGGATGAGAAGAAGGCGATGGGGCATCAAGGAGTAAGAGGGTTCGACATTGTCGAGAGGGCGAAAGCCCGCCTCGAAATGCTCTGCCCCGGGACTGTTTCTTGCGCTGACATCGTTGCCTTGGCTGCGAGAGATGCTATCTCCTTGGTAATGAATAGCTATACAAGTTCTTGAAGGGAGTTGCAACTTTTTGAGTAGTGATTGTGTTGTTTTTGGTGGTGTAGGCGAAAGGAGGGCCGAGGTATGCGGTGGAGACGGGGCGGAGGGATGGTGTTGTCTCGAACCGGAGCGTGGCGGAGGAGAACATGCCCGACGTCGGCGACTCGGTTCAGAAGCTTAAGGCTAAGTTCATGGAGAAAGGCCTCACAGCACACGACCTCGTCCTCCTAAGTGGTCTGTATCATCTTCATCTTCGTTATTATCTCTCTCTCTCTCTATGTTTTTCTTTCTCTCTCTAGAATGGAATGCAAACATGCGGGTTATGTGGGGTGTCTAGTGGGTAGACATCTTGAGGCATATGATCCTCAAGACATTGTCTTCATGCACGCATGATAGATCTAATTATCTGATCGATACTTTCTATTTCGACCGTTTTTTTTTTTTTTTTGGCTATGGTGGTGGTCCTAATTAATAACATCTGATTTATGTACGGCGGGTCGGGTCGGGCAGCGGCGCATACCATCGGCACCACCGCCTGCTTCTTCATGAACCAGAGGCTATACCACTTCCCACCGGACGGGTCGGGACCCGACCCGTCGATAAACCCGGATTTCCTGCCGGAGCTCATGTCCGTCTGCCCGCCGGACGGCGACGTCAACGCTCGGCTGGCGATCGACCGCGGCGGCGCAGAGACGTTCGACTCGCAGATCCTGCAGAACATCAGGAACGGCTTCGCCGTGCTCCGATCCGACGCGGCGCTGTATCAAGATACAGACACCAGAGGCGTCGTCGACTCCTACTTCGGGTTTCTGAGCCCGTTTTTTGGCCCGAATTTCGAAGCTGACTTCGCAGCTTCCATGGTGAAGATGGGGAGGATCGGTGTGCTCACCGGATCGCAGGGGACGATCAGAAGAGTCTGCTCGTCTGTTGTTCTACCCAACTAATAAAATTATATATAAATGATTACCGAATTATTTATAATACCATAAAATAGATCTTTTCTTTTTTTAATTAAGAATGTAGTTTTCTTTTACTAATATTAATTATTATTTCTATAGTTTCTTCTGGGTTGGCAGATGTAAATAGCTAAAGAGTACAGTACATCTGGATTGTTAATTACCTTTGATTCTGGCACTGATGAACCGCATTTGGTGCGAAGTTCATGGCGATTCTTGCATATTCAACCTCAGCCATCACCTATAATTCTTAAAGAGTCAAAAATTCCAATCGAGAAATCAGTGGAACGGAGGAAGAAGTGTGATCCTAAATTTCACATTCTTCCTCACCTCGCCAAAAATTCAATTTCAATAATAATAATAATTAAAAAAAATTGCAGTTGCAGAGTTTCATACCTTAATAAGGAGAGCACAATTTGACAACAATGGCGCCAAGCAAGCTTCAGAAAGCCATCGGCGCGGTGAAGGACCAGACGAGCATCGGCCTGGCCAAGGTCGGCAACAGCGCCTCCATCTCCGATCTCGAAGTCGCCATCGTGAAGGCCACGCGCCACGAGGAGTACCCGCCGGACGAGCGCTACGTCCGCGAGATTATCAACCTCACCACCTACTCACGCGCCTTCGTCAGTTCCTGCGTCCGCACCATCGCTCGTCGACTCAACAGGACCAAAAACTGGGTGGTTGCGCTCAAGGCGCTCATGCTCATCCAGCGTCTCCTCGCCGAGGGCGACGTCGCCTACGAGCAGGAAATCTTCTTCGCCACGCGCCGCGGCACGCGCCTCCTCAACCTCTCCGACTTCCGCAACACCTCCGGCAACTCTCACGCCTGGGACTACTCCGCCTTCGTCCGCTCCTACGCACTCTACCTGGACGAGCAGCTCGAGATGCGAATGCAAGGACGCCGAGGCAAGCACAGCGCCTACGGATACCACCTCGAGGAAGACGAACATGGCGGCTCACCCAAGTCCTCGCCGGCCGCCGGAAAATCCACTCCGGTACACGAATTGAAGACCGAGAGCCTCTTCACCAAGGTCCACCGCCTCCTCCAGCTTCTCGACAGGTTTTTAGCCTGCCGCCCTACAGGTTCGTCCCTCCATTTTCATATTCCAAACTTTTCAAATCAAATTGCACAAAATGGCTAAAACTCACCTTATATACAACTTTGTACCGCTGTAGGTGCCGCAAGGGATCACAGGGTCGTGATCGTAGCTCTGTATCCCATTGTGAAGGAAAGCTTTCGGCTATACTACGACATTACGGAGATCCTCGGCGTGCTGATCGAGCGATTCCTCGACCTCGAGCCGTCGCATATGGTCCGAGTTCACGACATCTTCTCCCGCGCCGTGAAGCAGTACGACGAGCTCGATGCCTTCTATGCATGGAGCAAGACCGTCGGGATTGCCCGTTCGTCAGAGTATCCGGATGTCGAGAAAATCTCGCAGAAGAAGCTCGACATGATGGACGAGTATGTCCGGGAGAAGACTGTCGCCAGCAGGCTTCCACCGGAGCCAGAACCCGAACCGGAACCCGAGCCAGAACCCGAGCCTGAGGAGGACATGAACAACATTAAGGCGTTGCCACCGCCGGAGGAGGTGCCGGAAGAACCGGAGGAGGAGATGACTGCGATCGTGGAGGTGCCTAAAGAAGAGCCGAAGAAAGTCCAAGATGAAGGTGATCTGCTACACTTGGGCGACGATGCGCCGACCACCGAAGAACACGGCGACAGATTGGCGCTGGCTTTATTCAACGGGCCACCGGCAACAACCACCTCGACTGACGGTCCCACGCCGTGGGAGGCATTTAAAGGCGACTGGGAGACGGCGTTGGTTCAGTCTACCAGCTATTTGTCGAACCAGAAGGCATCCCTCCCCGGAGGCTTCGACACATTGACTCTTGACGGGATGTACCAGCAAGGGGCAATGAATCAGGCTGTGGCTGCTGCTGGCGTGTTGGCCACTGGGAGCGCCAGCAGCGTTGCGCTCGGTTCGGCTGGAAGGCCGGCCATGTTGGCGTTGCCAGCCCCGCCTTCAGCTGATGGTGCTGCTTCGAATTCGTCGGTTCTGACCGACCCTTTCACCGCCTCCCTCGCCATCGCTCCACCAGCGTACGTGCAAATGTCCGACATGGAGAAGAAGCAGAGACTGTTAGTCGAAGAGCAACTAATGTGGCAGCATTATCATCGCGACGGGATGAAAGGGCAAGTCAGTTTAGCTAAAGCACAACCGTATCCATATCACTACGCCTAAATGCAGGTAAAAATCTTTGAGATAGTATTTTTTTTGGAGTCGGGATGTGGTGGTTCAATTCAAGCGACAGGTTTACGATGCTATCCTATCGATTATGTATGTAGTAAAAAACACAGAGTTACATCTGTTTCTTGCAGTGTATGTAATCTATATAGCTATTCTTGGCTCAAATGTAATGAATATGTGTAATATATATACGAAAAAATGAACAATCGTGTACCTGAAAATTGTCGCGCTTGTGGATTTGGTTGTCTCCTCGTTTCGCTGCTTCCTACCTTGGCTGCGAAAAAGAAAAGTCGCGAAAAAAAACACTATGTAATAGCAAATATGCATATCTTTTGAACGGTGAATTTATTATCGGTTCATAGACGGGAATGCTGAGGTACAGAGTCGAAAAAGTCATGATTCTTGAGGTGTTCAGCTGTAGGATTTACAGTTGGTGTTTCTTAATGGCGACGCCTAATGTCATCCCAACACATACTAATGTTTCTATCGGTCTTGCGCTGTTATTCAAGAGGTCGTCGTCTATCTTGATTGCGCCCTGCGAAATGCACACGGCGAGAGGTAAGTAAAATATGCACATCTGTGTGTGGTGTGGCTGTCGAAAGAAAGTTATCAATATGAACCTTTTCAAAGACACAAATGACCGTGCTGCCTCCAAACGAGAAATATCCAAACTGCACGTAAAACCAACGGGGTAAACAACAAAGTTAAATCAAGACAATGCGTGCAAGAACCTTATTACAAACCTCGTCTCCTTTCTTGACATAATCACCCTCTTTCTTCAAGAACGAGATGCTCCCGACCATGGTCGCCCCAATGGCAACAAATGCGACCTGCAATCATTGTATGCATATCAAACGTCATGCAAAGAAGAAAGTATTAAGCTTCCATTACACAAACATAAACCAATGCCAAACCTTTCCGAATTCTTTAGTTGATATCACTGAGACAACGCGCTTATTTTCGGTGAACACATTGCAGTACTTGCTATTTACAGCGATCGGGTTGACCTGAATGAGCAAGAAAGAGTACCATGAGACGAATAGAAGATTAGCTGCATTTTGCTAGAAGGAACTCATGGAAATTTTAGAACCGTGTATAAGCATCCGGGTATCTCCAAAAATTTCTCGACAACGCCAGAAACAGGAACATGGAATCGGTGATAGTCCTGAATTAATTCAAGGAACAGATTCAGTACATTGGGAAAGCAACAAGTCAGTGAAACTGGAAAGAAAGTGTACCTGTGGAGCCAACCGAAAGATAACTATACTTCCATTAACGAAGGCATCGGAGCATATCTCATTGCCCAAAAGTCCTTGCACTGAAAATTTTCGACCCTTTTTGACAAAAAAGAAAGAAAGAGATTTTGTATAAGAAGCTACACACAACAAAAAACATTGAAAATATACACGTACCTTAATCCAAAATCTCATAGAATCTTCAGCAGTTTCGAATGCAGTCAATCGACTATCAGCACCACATACTGCAACATCGTCATGTTCAATGCTCGCAATTGGTCTGGCCCCTGGTTTTAACTCTCTTATGAAAAATTCATTGAATGTCTGAACATCAGGAAAATACTGATTCAACAAAAGAACTAAATATGCATATATATATATACATAGATGTAAGAAACAAATTGGAGAATCAAAGTTTAGAACTCGAGACATTCCGAAGCACCTTGAATTCTTCTAAAGGGTATTTGATCTCAGACAAGTTTATTTGATCCTGCAGCAAAATTGCAGTCAGAAAATAACAATTGGTGCTGCAATGACATTCAGTTGCTCGTATATATATTCATGATAGCAGATGTCATTGTTAGCAATAACTCATGATCAACAATTAAGTCATACTCAAAATATATTGAAAACTAGACCGGTGTCATGAAAAATGCCATGCCTTGAACATATCAATGAATTTTGGAATATTCTCGGCAGATTCAGGAGAATTCATTTTCTTGCCCTGTTTTTCTGAAATGCTTTGCAACAGTTCTTTCGCACCTGCATTCAAACATGAATTACAGGAATCAAGAACATTTGCATATATGACGAGATACAGTTAAAAAGCCAACCTTTGTCCATAAGGCCGAGTCCGAATTTAGATTGATAAATGGCCCTCATGGACAAAATAATCTTGGAATCTATTATTTCCTCCACAATTCTCATTGTTCTTCGGTCAAAAACCTGTCAAGAGAGGAAGAACATCTAGTTGGATATGTAGAACTTTTGTCTTTTGTATTCAGTATATAAACTCACTGATGTATCCTAACAAATGTTGTCCCATTTCATATTCACTTTAAAATTTGACAAAATTCATCACTGTATCTCCTTTTTAGGGAAAGCATTACATGAAGACCATTTTGAATCGTAGAGTGAGATATCATACCAGAATATGTGAAGCACTTGATCCTGACCTCAATCCAACTTCATAGGAAGAAAAGTGAGCCCATTCACTTACTTTGAACATCCACCTGCAGAAAGCATTTGCGATTTTTAAAATTATGTAAAAATTAAAAATTCATCTTCAGCAATGGTATTTAACTGTTACAAGCATTTAACAAAGAAAATAGCCTGTTTATGCATATGATAATAAGAATACTTGTATCATTTGTGCCTGAAATCATTTATCTATGCCAGGAGGTTCATAAACAGCCCTATGTAGAAGGAAGAGAATTTCAAGATTGACAAGTGCTGACCCATTTGAAGCCTGCTTATCAGTCAAGAATCCACCAGTCATAACCTCATTTCCGGTCCCTTCATCGAAACACAGGGTCAAATGAATCACCGTGTTCAACTTATCTGAAATTTGAAGAATCTCTCCACAGACAGGACAGCAGTTAATGAGAGGTTCCCTACAGTGATTATATGTTGAGCAAAAAGAGTAAAAGAGTGAGAAATTCTGATGAAGAATAATAATATAGGAAACTTGGATATAGTGTATTCATTAAATGGGCATCATTGTACATTGAAAGAGATAAATCAAGCTAATGTTTTCAAAGTGTAGGTTTAAGACATCCTACTTTTCTTGTTGAACAGCGAGAAGCATAGCCAGCTCATCCATGCTGACAACACCATCCCCATTCTCATCGGCAGCTTTGAAAAGTTCCTCTTTCTAAAAAAGGTATAATGATTGGTTCAAGGAAACTACTAGAAATTTTGAAGTAATGGAAGTTGAAATCACTAGAAATTACGACGAATGATTTATCCAAATTTAGCAGTACCTCATATTCGATGGTCCTAGAAACTTGAAAAGGACAATAATATCTGAAAAATAAACTGAACTACGGATACAAACCTTGTTGGCAGCCAGTACATTGCCAAATGCATCGATTAAGTCAGAGAATTCAGCATAAGAAAGAGTTCCATTTTCATCGTAGTCCTGTATAAACACCCAAAATATGACAGATGAATTAACCATGTTAAAGCACAAAAAAAAGACATCATTCATGCATCAGAGGTAAATTTCTTGTTGATGCCCTTGCAGCTTCAGATGCACATACAGTATCTTTGTTCAACCTCAAGATATTTTTCTTAATCAGAAATATATAAACAAACAAATCTTAAACTCTCAACCTTTCAATAACCAGATAAAAGCCAAAAACTAGACTGTCACAGGCCATGACAGCCAACTCCCAGAAAATGATGTATCGTAATTGTGTAATATAACATGATTGGCATGACTTTCTGACACAAGATGCATATGATGTATGGAAACTTCTTATATACCATTAAAGTCAAAATGCGCCTTGCAAAACGCTTTTCTGTTTCCATCGGATCCTACAAAATGTCATAATAGAGAGTTCAATAAATGCAAATAATTATGTATAAAGCAGAAAAAAATGGCACAGATAATCGTTGCACCTCAATAGAACAAGACACATATATACGCCCAACGACTCCTCTGGTAGAGGTTGGATCTAATAGGTCAAATGGCTCCTCATCAGAATCGGAATCCTACAAAAGAAATTGGTCTGAGGATTAAAAAAAAGGTTCAACCATGCATGTAGCTTCTCAAGGAAAAAAGAGCGAATAAGGTATCAATAACCCAACAATAATGACAGTGACACAGTGTTAGACTTGAAAAGATTTATTGCGAGATGATATTTGTTCCGAGTATTATCATACTGGACATACTAGATCTGAAGCTTACTGTTACATACATTCTACATTTCAACTGATTGTTCCTCCATCAGATAAAAAAAGGGTTACTTAGTTTTGCCAGAGAAAACTTAACAATCTAAATTCAAATCAGAGTCAAATTTGTGCATCCTCTGCCACACTTAACACAATACTCTTGGAAATTTTGTAATATTCAAATTTTTCAAAAATATCACATCAAATATATTTTTTCTATCACAAAATATCACATCGAATACTAAACCCATGATTAATCTTCTTCGTAGTTGAGGTCACCATTTTATTTCACGGTATAACACGAAATAATAGCTTTTAAGCTAAAATTCTTATAAAGCAACAGAAAAAACCATATTGCAAATACACTTTGAAAACTAGCACAAAATTAAATTCTTAGACCTCATCTTACCCTTGTAAGAAAATCATATAGGTCGATCTCACAATAGCCAATAAGATTGTTTTTTGACAATCTGTTAGTCTGCATCCAAAATTAGAGAGTTGTCAGTGGAACAGTGGAACATTTAAGGTCGAGCATGTAAAAAGTGAATGATATAAATTAGAAAATGAACAGTAGTGTGCCTCATGAGAGAGTTCATTTTGGTTGCGAAACCTTCCCGTAGATTGCAACAAAATTCATAGAGTGGATTTAAATGAGCAAATAGAGCACACACCTCAAATACACTTATTCTTACAACATGAGCACCATTTCTTTCCAAAAGAAGCTTTTTCTCCTGTCAACCATGAAGCCATTTTACACTTTAAATAGATTGGTTGACGAAAAACATAAAACAACATACATATTGAAGTCTCCTTTTATTGTATGAACATGTATGTTCTATGACAATAGACAACAAATGGACAATGAACTACTATAGCATACCTAATATAATATCATATATCGTCTAAGAAGAGAATCCTTGAAAACAAATATATATATATATATGTATATGAAGTTCAAAGCTTTTCATGATTGTATGGGACAGAACAAACGAAATGATACCGAAAATGCTTATTATCTGCAGCATTTAAGTATAGCTACCTTAAAAAGGACCTACCAAGTGCTAGATAATTTTTCTACATGAGAAAACAGAGGTCCAAATATAAACTTTTAGTGACAAAAAGTAAAATAAACTCCGTCAAAAGATCAGCCATTTCCATCATGGCAAAACATTTCCCAAAAGTATAGCATGAATGTATCCCCTTATATTAGATGTATGCATTACCAGAAGATTTATAAATCAATTATAATAATGTGGAAAAATACTTACAGAATTCCAACCGGGTTGGTCGGTGCTGTACAAAAAAACAAAAACACAATCAATGCCCATATATAGAAGATAATATCCAGGTAGGGGTCCCTTCTAAAAAGAATAATTGTGCTTTTGAAATATATGAAATCAATGGAGAATATAAAATTTTCCTTGTGAGAAATAAATTTACAGGGTAGAAATATCGAATTAACAGGACAAAAACTCAATCAAGTAAGGGTGATGATAGCAAAGCTAAAAAACTCAGTAGTCCAATTGCTGTAATACATAATCAAGTTTTACTTGTGTGTCTAATTGCACTATGATAACGACAGAGTCATAAACTATCAAATTAGGAAACAAAGAATTTTGTGTGTCCCAAAGAGGCTTGTCAATAACCTATATGTGCATCAAACATAATTTTTTGAAGACATTAAATGAGCAACGAGTGAGGCAGGTACAATTTCCAATTATTAGTGTCCCACAGATTTAGGGAAGAAAAAAAGGTAACAATATGATCATGACAAGACAGAAAGCAAGATTAACCCATAGATAAACGTTTGTGCGGCAAATGAGTTAATAGAAGTGCATCACAACAGTGTATAGTGATAAACTGAAAATCAATGGGAGCATCAATGAGCAGCATTGTAATTAAGCCTGAACATTATGGACAAAAAGAGTGCTATCCATTTGTTTGAAATACCAACAAAATGTTTCATTCAACCTATGTTAGAAAGAATTGCCAAACAGCATTGTCAGGACACCACCTTTAACTCACAGACAGAGTGATGGATAAAATTCAATTACTTGGTTTAGAACCAATTCTTTCCATCACATTACCAATACTCATCAATGGCTTCTTCTTCTTCTTTTTTTTTTTTTACCCCCCCACCCCACTTCTCTCTCTCTCTCCAACTTAAATCCCATAAACAATACTACTACACAGTCTATTGAGCCAAACCTATAACTAATACACAGATGTAAATTCGTAAGGACGATCAATAACCGCAAGCAATGGATACTGTAAACAATCAATGGACAGGATTATAAACAAAGCAATTAAGGGCCAAAAAACCAAAGAACACACTTAACTGATCAGAAATGGCGGTGCGGAAAGTCTGTTCACCTAGAGAAACGCAAGCGAGCCATTTGTCCCTGAATTTCATCTCCGCCTTCATATATGATACATTCAACACCAATTAACGGCAAGTGATTCGAGCAACAAATTAAAGCCATGAAGATCAAATAAATTTAATAAGTATGTGAAGTACGCGGACTAGACGAAGAAGCGCGATTCCGGCGAAGTCTTCTTCCTTCAGCAGCTTAGCGACGCGGGGGTCGAGCTTGGAGCCGCGGCGGTAGCGCCGAAAATGAGGACGGTGCAGGTGGAGGCGATCACGTAGCCTTCGAATTCTGGACGCAGGCGCAGAACCAGAAGCGTCTGCTGATTCCTCCGGGCTTCCGTGCGTCGAACTTCCATGGCCCATTCGTTCGGGGACTCAGTCTGAATCAGGCGCACCACGTCTGCCTACTGCAACAACTTCTGCGGTGATTGGAGAATATGCTCTCCTTTTCTTCTGCAACCAACCAAAAGGATAGAAATAGAATCTCAGAAAGGAACAGTCACCAATGTATTGACCTTCAAAGCAGCGGCCAAGGAAGAACACTTCGAGTAATTGTTTTGCGGTCCTGGGAGTCAGACTCCAAATTGATCGACATCATTTGGGGTGCAAAGCGAATGGCGGGGATTATCTGGTGTTGTGGTCCCAGGAGCGCGAAAATAATCCAGGTGAAAATGGAGTAGGGGCAGCCTGGCGGATTGTTGGTCAATTCGATATATGTGTGCGTATATATATATATTTTTTTATTAGGTCTGCAAAAAAAATAAATTTAAATATAAAATAGCCGAGCTCAAAATCCACTGTTCCAATGGTGCAACTGTACCGTCTTCGTCGTGGTTGCATTGCCGATGCCGCAGAATTCCGAAGTAGTTTGTAAGTTTTACGCGACACACAGATGTCGTACTGCGTGATAGATTGCTGCAGTTTATTTAATATGTTTCGCGGCCTCTTCGATGAAAATCCTCAGCCGAATGTGAAATTTACGATCAGCCAAGGGATAGATAAACGGATTTGCATTGGTTTTCGTTAAGACAATTGCCGCAAAATCACTTCGGTTCTAATTCAACGGGTGATTGAGGGAACAACATACATGTTTTGATGGAAGCGCTGATGTTGGATGAATTGATGAGAGCAGGACCTTCGTGGTTGAAACTTTCTGGAATTGATTTATGTGCTTCTTAGCTGCGTTCATTCTGTTGATTTTGTTAGTTTGTAACTTTGGTTTCCCCTTTGCTGGATGACTCAACCTGATGGATCATAGACATGCTGTAGTTTTCTTGTGTATAAGAACATCTGAACTGTACTAACAAAATTGTGTTGTTAGCATTGTGTTTTTTCTTGAAATACATCATCCAGTGTCTTTCTCGTTGCTCTGTTCATCCACTTTGTTTGTTATGGTTATTCTTATCTAAACTTCAAATTAAGTGTTAGCATGGGAATGAATTTTCATTGAAGATTCCTGCATATTCGCAATGGTGTTGGTGAACATTTTGGGCTTGGCGGAAAATAATTTGGAGAAGACTTATCTGCTAGGGCTAGCTATTAGTAATTCACTTATGTTATCTTGATGCAGCAGAAGTTTTTTTTCAAGTTGTTGTTCTGGGACAATTTATAAAGAGTTGGGAACTCCATGTCAAAATGATTAGCAGAATTGGATTCTTGGAAACAAGTCCGATTACTTTGGGCCAGGGAGCAACTAGGCAGTTGGATTGTCTTATTTCATCTACGAATCCAGATTCAGATTCTTAGCCATGTTAAGAATCTGGGATTGTTTTGCATAATTGAAAATTGAAGAAGATACTTGAGAGTAATTATTGAGCCTGAATTATTGTATAAATAATGGTTTACCCTGTCTTGGTTCTATGTGAAGCATTCTGCAGGCTTACTATAAGGTGAAGTAGGCAATGCATTTCGGCCTAAAGCACGAGCTACAATGGAAAAGGTGAGTTCAATGTTATTTATCATAGTGACAATGATTACATTTCCCATTATAAAACAATTATCTGGTGTTAATGATATGTCTGCAAATTTATGTGACAAGCATTCATTCAAAAATATTAGATGCAGTAACTGACTGACTGACTAGTGAACAAGTTGAGTAATGGAAAGGGACCCAACAATTAATCACTTAGAACCTTTGTCAAATTGTGTTCTACTAGTGGTATCTCCACTTGCACAAGTTTCATTCTCATGAATACCATGCCTTATTCACACTCTATTGCCCTGCACTTTCTGCCCAACAAGTGGTGTTTGACTCAAATGTGATTCTTTTGCTTTGACTTTTTATGAAACATTGGATTAGAACTAATAGCTTTACTCAAAAGCCACATACACACACACAACACACATAGGACCAACAATAATTAATTCTCTAGTGTTACAGGTTCTCTATATAGCACCATATTTTACCAAGAAAATCATCATCCCAAGAAAGGAGGTTTGGCTTGTGTTCAAGTCCCTTTTGGTGTGTCTCTGTCAATGAAACTGAAATACTTTATGAGCAAGTTGAGATTGGCCCATGAGAGGCATGTCTTGTGCAATCATAATGACTTTCAATTTGATTTGGTCTTTTTCCAAGCAAAGTTCCAAAAACTTATACATGGGACTTGCCTTTTGCTCACAATTAAGTGTGTGCACTCGTTCTATGATTATACATACATTCACATCTCGTGCATGTGCTTTGTTTGTTTGTATATGCAGTCTCTCTATATGGGGGAGATGATTACACCATCCTCAGTGGTTACTACCTAATTAAGCAATGAATTTTTATTTTTATTTTTTTGTTTATTGTACTTGGGAATGTGCCATGTTTTTCCTGTTTTCTTTTTCTCGACTTTTGATGTTTGAATTGGTGTAAGCATGACATCTGATAGTTATATCATTGTGAACCATAACTTACTCATATGTAATGTGGCTGTTGAATCAAGTTAATTGAATCAAAGGCACAGAAGTTCGATAATGCATGTGCTTCACTTGATTGTGACTATAACCAAGACAACAGGCATGCTGAAAGTTCCAAATCTACCTGACTTGATTGTATAAACATTTGTAATTATCGGTATTATTATTATTATTTATTACAATGAACAAATCAATTCCCTTTGAATTAATGGCAGAATTGAGTGTGAGCTTGAGGATGATGATATCCAAGAGTAGGAGCAAAACCTGGATCAATCTCACCAGGTAATTTTTTCAAGTTAGTTTCAACCAAGTTTGAACACACATCAATTATATTAACCCTCTGGTTTGACTTGGCATGGCACATTCTTTAAAATGTTCAATTTCCTATGCAAACTTGTTAAATCTGAATCCACCCCATAATAAATTTTATTAGTTACTGCTTTCAGAGCAAGTTCCTTGGCATAATTGTTGCTTGTATGCAAGACAAAAAGTGAGGGGAAATTAGGCATGCTGGTACTGATTGTTTTGTTTTTATATTAATAGCTTAAGATTTGGGTTATTGTGCAACCCACTGAACAAAGTTGTTTTCAACCTAGGAACTACACAAAGCATGTCTGTCATGGCATTAGTTAAATCCTGGAATTAGGAGAAAACATCAGCAGATGGTATACTTACTTAGCCAGAAAGTTATGTCAAGTAGGTCTACTTCTTGGCTGGTAGGTTCAAGGATTAGGGCAGGTAGGAAAGTACAAAAAAAACAGCACAGTATTCTGTTCAATGAATTCCCTTTTTTTTTTCCCCTTCTTCTCTACCTATATACTTATATTGTTTAATGAAATGAAAAAGGACCACAAGTAAAGCAAAGGTTAAAAAGTAAGTGATGTATAAATGGAAGGAAGCTCCCAAAATAGTTGTGCTATTTATTTGGCTGTTTAATTTGACCACTGTAGAAATAGGACCATGTCTATTAACTACGCAATTTTTTCTTTACTGATGATCTAGACAGCTACCTACATGTTATTCACATTAAGCTTGATCTTTCAATAATTCTAGTATAGTAAACTGAAAAGGATAAAACAAAAATGTTCTATATGTATATATATATGTATATAATAAATCACCACTCCCTTATGTTTTGGATATGAATTTGAACATGTGAAATGAATAAGAAAGATAAGCCATCATATGTGCATGTGCTTCATAAAATGTGTTTTTACCTTATCCATATCTGTGATCCATTATTGGCACTAATCCTCTTAACACATTCTGCTTAGCTTGCTACAAGTTAAAGTTATTAGGGGGTTGAAATTTTCAATAGAGTGGCCAGATTTCCAACTAATCACATGATGGGGCTTTTTCTTATTTGTCATAAAGATTCACTTGCTGTTATCTATTTATGTATCTAGGTGGTTGTTAGTATATTGAATGATACAGAAGTTCTTGTTAATATAACACAAATAAAATATATGAATTGACATAACATTGTAATGGTTTATATAATACATATTACTATTAATCTTTAACATTTGAGTTATTTATATACAGGACAACTATAAACTATAAATTGTCAATATATAGATTCAAATAACTCAGCAGATATTAATTAAAACAATAAGTTTTCCAGTCTATTTGTATATATATGTTGGTTAATCAAGCTTATGATGATTTCTTTTTTGGTCAATTTAGATGGCTAATTACCCTGTTATGTTTGTGTTATATATGTTCTTGCATTCTTGATTTAAGTGGTAATTATTTGAATTTGCTGTGAATAATTGACCAAGAGGAAAAGTCATATATGATCACTTGTGAATTGTGATTGATTGATTTTTAAGAATATTTGGGGAAAGGTAAAAACTTATTAACATGTTTTTGAATGATGATAATATGATGACATTTGTGTGTTTGGTAAAATTTAATCATATTTTTATGTGTTCCCTCTAAATACTATTATGTATAGATAACATAGATTAAAGAGTGTGTTCAATATTTAACATTTCTAGATATAAGTGCAAATTTGAAGTAGGAAATTCAAACTCAAATTTACCTCTACTAGTGGGAATCTCAGTGGTTAATAGTATATATATATATATATATTATTGTTTCTTTTTGCCTTTTTTACTTTTATATATATATATATATTATGTTTGCCATTAAATTATATCCTACAATTGTGCAAGTGTGGTTGCATCACAAATGACTCAATGCTGCCCTAAGCAGCCACCGAATAATAATAATTATAATGAGAAAAATAAATAAAATAAAATGGTTGTTTTTTTGTGGCACAAGACAAGCACCAAAAACTACAATCATACCCCAGAAAAGCTATAATAAAGAAAAGCCTAATCAGCAAAGAGTAAGTTGAAGTTGAACAAACAAACAAACTACAACAATTTTGGTCCCACACAATAAAACCCAAATTTAATAATAATAATAATAATAATTTGTTTATTTATAAAATAAAAGGCCAATTTTCTTCCCAACAATCGCTGCACGTGAGAGGGAATCCAATTTTATATATATCCCCAAAACAAAGACAAAGACAAAGACAAAGGCATTTGTTCAAATTTTATTAATTTTTAACATTATTTATTATAATAATTTTTTTTTTTTTTTTTAAAAAAAGAACTATTAGATAAAATAGTACTCCATATTTCTTTTCGTAGAATACTGTATTAAATACTCAATCTCCTACTTTGAAAAGTCCAAAATTTGAAAATAAATAAACATAGTATCATGATCTCTATCTAATGATCTTATGCCACTGCTGCCTCTACCTATTTGCCATTTTGGATTGTGATTTTCAGACAGCCCTAGCTAGCTAGCCTATGAGTCTAGTCCACGTGTCACCCAAACAAACAAACAAACAAACAAAGAATAATATTGTAAAATATATGCATAGGAGTATAATGTTGCATTTAATTAAATCATGTCTGAATATTACAGTTGGAACAAATTTAATTCATACACCTGCAGATATCCAAATGTCTTCTTCTTCTTCTACTACTGAAGTGGTAGCTAACTATTCAAGAACTGAACTGAACCCAACTGATCACATAACCAACATATATATATGTCTACTTTGATTACTTTCTTTCTTCTTGTTTCAATTATAAAAACCCAAAAAAAAAAAAAAAAAAAAGAAAAAAAAAAGAAAAGAAAAAGGCTATATACATAAAAGATATTGCTAATTAGGCAAATTGCTAATTCCATCATCAAGATCATCAAGGGACAGGAAGACTTCATCCAGGCATGAAAGCTCAGCCCCATCGTCGTCGTCGTCATTGCCGCATTCGTAAACTCGACACACTACCCATCTGCTGTAATCCTATACATACATACATACATACATACACAAATGAATTAATAATGCCATACATGATTAGATTAGAATAGAATTGAGATTAGGGTTACACATTACATACATTGGAGGTGCAGGTGGACGATGATCTTAATTTCTTCTTATTGGTGGAGGAATTAGAGAGCATGAATTCTTGCATAACCCAATGGGTTTTGATGCCATGAGGAGGGTCACCAATGTAGAAGACAGAGCATTTCTTGATCCCAACTCTCTTGCCATTTTTGGAAGAATAGATTGGCTCCTCCACACCTATGCTCTCCCAATACCCACTCTCACTCATCCTCCATCTCTCTCTCTCTCCACTACTACTAGTCCTTCTGCTGTAATAGTACCACTTGTTGCCTTCTCCCATTGCCCTCCCTAATCATACATACACAAACCCTAATTATTAATAATTATGCATGAAGAAGTTAAGATTAATAATTGTAGTACCGTTGAGGTCCCAAGGGTTGTAGGGATAGAGATCGAGGTCGGGGATGATGTCCGGGTGGCACGGCAAGAGGGCCGCCTTGCGGTGGAGGAAATGGACCACCAGCTCCTCGTCGGTCGGGTAGAATCGGAAGCCCGGTGGCAAGTTGAAATTAGTGCTATTAGTGTTGCTGTTATGATCCCCCATATATGTAGGATATATGTAGATGATGATCAAGAACAAGATGATGAGGATGATGATCAAGAACAAGAAGATGAGGATGATGATCAAGAATTATGTATGTATATATATATATATATATTGTGGCTAGAGATAAGAAGGGAGTTAATTGGGGTGTTGATGAACTTAAGAGTGAGTGAAAGAGATATTATTGATGATAGGAAACAATGAATGAATCACATATATATATGGGCGATGGGGGTGAATTTATAATGAGGATATATATATATATATATAGAGAGAGAGAGAGAGAGAGGGAGAGAGAGAGGGTGTATATATATATGTATTGACGTGAAATGGAAGGTGTGATTGAATGTGCAATTTGATGAGAAGAAGCAATGAAGCATGAAGGATGAAAGATATATATATATAAACACACATATGTGTGTATTATGGAACAGTACAACATTACTGTCAGATTAGTATTTTTTTAATTTACTTTCTTCAAAGTGTGTATTGTATATATTATTTAAATGTGTAGTACGTTTACACCAGTTTCAATATTATTATATATATATATATTGTTGGGTGTGTGTGTGTGTGCTGCATTTCCACTCCAAAGCAGAGACGGCGGGTGCCTCAAACGTTGGATACTTTTCAAGCAACGCTGTACAAATCTCTCTCTCTCTCTGTTTTCTACGCTGTAAGATCTTCACTATATAAATATATATATATATATATTTAATATTTGAGTTGGGATTTAATCTCTATATATTGTGTTGATAGATTATGTTTATCTTAATTTTTTATTGAGGTCAGGTAATAAACATAGAACGTGGGTCATCATCACACTTCATGCTTATATCATCACACCAATCTATCTGTGGCCGTACACGTGGCAAGATGGTTGAGGATGATCGTGGGCCCCACCCTATTTGGGAGTGCCCATGAAACCCATTATTACCATAATTAAGTTGCTCAAAATTATGGAGTTGTTCTTACTTGAGGGGGTTATTTTCTTTCTCACTTTTTATTCTTATTAATATTATGGTTTTGTTGTTTCCCTCTTAATGAGGTTGAGAATGATTGTGATTGTATAGCCACTCAAATCAAGAGCGAGGGAAGGGTATGAAATAAATGAGTTCACAACTAATATATATTTATATAATTAATTAATTAATTAATTTTCACCAAAGTTGGATCTTTTAGGATCAAGAAATTGCAATGGATTTAGATATGTCATCCACTCATTGTAGATAATGATGGGTTCGAGGGGTTAATTATTTGGATCAATTCGGCATTTATTAGGAGATTACTACTACTAGGTAGATAGATAGATAGATCTTGCAAGATATGAACACCACCCAATTTTCAAAAGGAATCACATTTCACATGAGTAGCTTCTTTGAAAAACAACACCACATTCTCTTTTGTGCATTTTTTAAGGTAACCATTTCATTCATCATCCTACAACCCCAAGTGGTGATTATTCTCACAAGGTCACAACCTTACCATTCTCACCCCGACTTCATTCTTTGCTCCCTCGCTCGCTCGGTTACCTCTTGTAAGTGCATGTATGGAAACAAAACACATCACATAGCTTGTCTAAGGATAGAGCACTTGCAAGGAGAATATGGAACCCCCACAACGATGAATGACATATCGAATAAAAGACCAAAAATCAAAACATCTACTAATCTATGTTCAAATACTAATGACCAAGATTTAAGAAAAAATATATCATGATAAGTTCGTAAAAATCGACTGTACCAATTAAATACCTCGATAAATCACTTTCATATGGGGAGGGGGGGGGGGGGGGGGGAGATAGCATAAACTACCTGTAATAGCACTGTAGAGTCCCCACAAAGGTGAAACACATCGCCACACAGCCCATCCATCATAAAATTCAGTGGTGTTTGTATTGCAATATAATATCCTCTCTCCCCATACCCCATCCAAATTGTTGCAACTTTCATCGGGACATAGCGCACAAAAAGCTTGTCCCATTCAAGGAAGAAGCTATGGAATTCGCAAAAACACGTTGTGGGGAATGCACACCTACTTGATGAGGGAAACAAAATTAAAAAAAAAAAAAAGGAACAAAGAGATGAAAACAGTGGAAAATGACTTAATGGCATTAAGCAAACGACGCAATCATGTTATTTTGCTGTTCGATAATATTCCAAATCGAAAAGGAGTTTTTTTAGGATGATGCTTAAAAACTATATCATGATTAGCCATACCATCTCATAAACATGTTCACCTTTGGCTGCTGCTTCATCATCAGAAACTAATCCAATCATTTCCATAATTCAACTTCATGTTCTCTACTATGATTGTCTACAATTTCAAAGAAGAAATTATTGATGCAATAGATTAAAAGGCAATAATAGAAATCTATAAAAACTTAAAATGTCAACATGTTTTGCAATGAAAGGCTTGCCCATGTGTACTACTATAAACAAGAGTTGCTCCAAAATAGATAAGACTTCCAGCTAGTATCAAGCAAAGAAATATAGCAAAGTAACATTCGATATATGATGATGTCATTCTATGTGTGCTGATGTAATACAAAAACTACTTTTGTTGGGACCAAGTGTATTTCAATCTCCACCTCAAAAAAATAAAATGGATATATATAGTTCAGTAGTATTCTTGCCATCCTTACAAAACTTCAAAGCACCAATTCAAAATTTCATGGAAGATATTTTGTTCTCAAAATTGTGAGGTCAAGAAATCATCTAGTGATGCCTGTAAGGAGTGAGTTGGGCTGGAGTTATCCGAACCATATAGTGTCCAAAGAGGCACATACAAGTGATATTGGATTAATATATATAAATATTATCTATGTGTGTGTGTGTGTCTGTGAAGAGGGCCACTTTCCATTCTTAGTGGCAGAAGAGGTACTCATCTTTATCCCTTTACTGATGGATCACTATTTGATCTCATCCATCTTTGCCTAACTGGTTTGCCAATTTGTTAAAACCCCACTAATTAAATATATAGTTCGTGGGTTGGGTTTAACTAATAAAGGGGGGTAAAAAAATAAGAAGCTAATCAAAGGAGGACACTTTGTTGTTGTGTGATGTCAAGTGTCCCAACTTAAAGCCTAATAAATGGTTTGTTCTTAATTTGATGGGACACCACTCTAAGAAATAGTGACTAAGATCTTTTGATAGTAATCCAAAGTAATTGCTGATTAATGATACACTTTTTGCAATGAAGAAAGAAAGCACAGAGAATTGGGTTCCAGCAGAGTTTTTGATAAGTTACGTTTTCAATAATGGCAAGTGTAAATGAATCTTTAGTTATTATTTCATCCATGTAGATTAATGAAGATTGCTTGAGGTCTCTTTCTCTACTAACATACAGGGAAGTACTAAATAATAGGATGTGGGCACAACAGGGGGGGTTTTGTGGACCACCTTTAGCTAATTTTCTCAATCAGCATGTTCAGAATTCAAATAATTTTTTACTTGCTTTGCACATAATAGTTTATAGAAAACAATATGGTTAAATATATGTATACTTGCATATATATTTGGTGGATAGCAAGAAATTTAGGGATTAGGTGAATGAAATATCTAAAATCAAGCAAAAGGGAGCTGAATAGTCCTTATCTAATAGGCTCATGTTTAACACCTCAATTAACAATGCACATAAACATGTGTGTGTATATATATACACACACAAAACCTTATAATTATCACTCAGAATGCAACCTTTGGTATTGAACTACCAACACAACATCACCATCATTAATTTGTTTAACAAACAGATTTGCATGGGCAGGGGCAGATAATGAATGCCGTAACAAGATGAATATACGGAATTAGATTTGTAAAATTAAACTTGAACTTACCTCTCAAACCTTCTATCATGTGAATATAAAAGATGATCTCTACTCCATGTATGATATTGTCCAACACACCTCTTCTTAGTTGGTGGACCTTTTACTTAGCCTGACAAACATAGAAAAGACTGGAACCAGATAAGGAGCGCGAAAGAAATTAAAGCAAACAAATTCGGAAGATTGATCTTGACATTTGCATTTTTCCTTCTACACAAAGTTCTAACCTGAAAACATAGAAAAGACTGGAACCAGATAAGGAGTGAAAGAAATGACAACAAACAAATTTGGAAGACTGTGTTATCTTTGACATTTGCATTTTTCCTTCTACATAAAGTTCTAACAAACCCAATTCTTGGATACAAAGTTATGACTTATTTTACATAGAGACAACTATGTTCATGCAAATAGAGACGGGAAGATTCTCAAAGTGACGGCAGTTCAGGAAGAGCAAGAATCACTAACACATGTTACGAAGCAAAATCTTATTCAAAGTAAATTAAACTAAGTAAATAAATATAGGGATTACTCAGGGATGGAATTTTCATCAAGCCCCAAGCCAAAAGGCCAATTTTCAAAAATTCTTAATCCATAATTTAGGCACTTACATAATAGCATTGGCTGTGACCAGTGAAACCTTGAACAGTTCAATTGGTAATGTTTAAAGCAAGAGAAAGAAAATGGAAGCAAGATTCAAGTATAAAGTTAAGTGGTGGATGCTTAAATAGCGTCTATGCTACTCTTTGTGAATGCCCTAATAGCAGTAACTAATATTGTGATATGATGCACAAATATGAACTTCTGTTGTGACGTTCAAACTTAATCTGCAACTGCAGTCTGCAGGTATTGTTTTTTGGGGCAGACAATGGCCTCACACAATGACAAACAATATTTTATTTCATTTTCTTGTAAAGTGAACCATATCACAAACACACATAACACAATCCAAATGTATATATATGTATATATAATTATATATACTTGTCGAAACTCTAATTAGAAACTGCGTCATCGCTCGGGAGATCCTCAGTTACGTTATAACTTCTACAATGATTTGTCACACCTGGTGTTACAGATAAAGATCTAATTGTGTATATATTGAGCGTTACAATAGACAATTGTTTCTTCTTGCTCTTTAGACATAAGGTGTATGACAGACAATCACCATCCTCACAATCTCAAGCTATGGACCTTAGTTTTAAGGTTTCCAAATTAAGATGATACTGATACAAAATAGCGATCAAGGAAAAAAAGAGTTATTTCTCAGCCCATCAAAACAATGAGCTACCACCTACCATATATGCCTCTGTTATCCATGAACTACGAAGCGATGAACAAAAGGCTCATCACAAGAATATATCATTGCTAATATATTGAATTCTGATATGGTAAAGGATACTTCATTCATATTTCACAGTGTTACTAAAATAAGTTGCCACCAAGGCAAAGCTTCTTACAAAGCTCGAAGGATCAAGAGAAAGATGAACTTCTACATTTCAAAAACATTTGAATTGTTCTCAGTATGATTGCTAGCTATCCAAGCTATTTCTAGCTAGCACTAAATCCATCGCAAAGAAGAGAACGCTTATATTTGAATAGAAATGTGCGATATGATGATCAATAGATAATTGACAGGTGGCCCTGAACTAACAATTAATAAACGGAAACTAAGTAGTGCTTTAGAAAGCCTCTGATCCATTTTTGGCAACAAAGATGATTTCACTCGGCTTTAATATCTTCTAGAGTTTGCCTAATTTGGAATTTGCTCACTTAAACCAACTTCAATCAATTGTGCTAGCCTTTTTATTCTGTTCTATCGAAAAACCTCATCAAGATTTCATCAGATTCATTGAATAATAAGCATAAAATGCAGGACAAAAATAATATTGAAGACAAAAATTGTGGCTACTGTAGTATTGCATAAATACTATAGGAGAAGTAGTTGCATTATAGATTTATGGTTTTTTTATTTTTATAGTTACATATATAGGAATAATTTTATATAGCCTATTATAGAAAGAAAGCAAAACAAGTAACGAACAAGCACCTTTGGAAACGGTATTTTGACATTCAAGAAATAACATTTATAACACATTTGTGCATATCTCAACTTCCACGAAACAGGCTATATCCCTTCCTCCTCTGAAAGCTACTACCACTTAATATCGAGCCACCAATATTACCATAATCGTGAATTGAAATAATAGAATATATTAAGAGAAGACTCTGATCGTGCACTGTTATATGATGAAACATGGAAAATCATATGTAGTTGCAGCTTCAAGGCAATGCAGCAAACAGTACAACAAACATGGTAGTTTCCTCATATTCAAGCTTCTCATTTCTCAAATGCCAACTCTCAAGTCATGCAGCGAACATAATTGCAGAAATTCTCACAATTTCACAATTTCTCGACAACTATGTACAATCCCACCTTCATATTGACCAAACATAATATAAACCTTCTACACATGCATTAAAGAACAGATACAATTTCTGTAAGATCACACTAATAAATCATGTAAAAATTCGATATAAACAAACAAACACAGAACCTGGATTGCAGCAAAACTATAAAGATCATACTTTAGCAAGAGCCCTGTCTTTCATCAACGACTCAACAGCCCTCCTCCCCGAAGCCAAAGCCCCATCAAATGTCGCACTAGTTACGTAATCCCCGCATATATACAATCCAGGCTTCAATTTAGGGTCCTTCAACAAATCGGTAGGCGGGCACTGGTTTGGCTGCGCAAATCCTATCCTGTACATTCTCAAGTACCTCCACAACCCGACAGCAGCCGGCCCAAACCACCCCGACAACTCCTTCTTGACCTCTTCTACCAACTCTTCATCAGGCACACTGTCGTACAACCCGACAAGTGATACAGACACCAATGCCATACCAGGAGGGGCATAAGAAGCAACCACATTGGTTGCAAAAAACATATTGTTCACAATCCCCTGCCCCGATCCATTCAGAAACAACACCGGTTCTTTGATCGGAACCCTGTCGCTGTCCACTGTGAAATACAAACACACAGTGCTTCTGACAGGCTTCTTCGCTGGAGGCGGCTCGATTATTCCAGACAAAAGCTTGCCGGCTTCGGACTGTTCCATTGCTAGTATCACTCCAAGTTCACCCCTCAACACCTCTCCATTTTCTAAATTCACAGCTACTGCCCCTTCATCTGATCCATAATCTATCGATGCAACCCTGGAATTCAATAACAAAGAATTAGGGTCTAATTTACCTGCCAATTGCTCAGGAATGGCGGAAATGCCATTCCTGGGGAGAGTGTTGTCCCCAAGAGCGAGACATTTGAAGACGAAATTGAACAGTCGAGAAGTCGTTTCAAGCTCTCTGTCGAAGAAGATCCCGCCAAAAAATGGCCGGAAAAATCGATCCAGAATCGAATCGGAAAATCCGATCCTCCTCAGAAGATCAACCGTCCGTACCTCGTCGGCAGTCAGGATCTCGTCATCCGACTTGCTCAAAACCCTGATTCTAGTCAGTGCGATCAGCGCCTTATCAACGGCGGTGCCGATAGGATTCGCCAGAGACTGAAGCGCGTCGGAGAAATGGCGCAGAGGATCCGCCACGCTGTGGAACCGACCGCCGTAGAACACCTGAGCGCCGGAGTAAAACCGCCGGAGATCGAGCGAATCGTAGTCGAGAAGCTTCCGAGCTTCGGGATAAGCGGTGATGAAAATCTGGAAGCCGCGGTCGAGGGTGAAACCGTCGACGAAATCCGTACGGACGCGGCCGCCGACGGCGTCGGAGGCTTCGACGAGGAGGTAAGGCACGCCGTCGGCGTGGAGGCGTGTGGCGGCGGCCAAGCCGGCTAGTCCGGCGCCGACTATGACGACGCCGGTGCTCTTAAACGGTTTGGCAGCCGGAGCTCCGTTGCTGATGGAGAACTGGTGCGACGAGGCATTGATTGGTTTGAAAGGTTTGAATTTGTTGAAAATGGAGGGGGAAGAGAAATGGATGCAGAGTGCAGTGTGTGGCATTGTTTGTGTGAAGATGGAACCGCCATTGGTGTAGTAGTATTATCCAGTTTGTGGGGACTGTTTAGTGTCACTGTAGATATTCCGGGGAGAGTGACATGGACAGACCCTGCAGAGCATATATATATATATATATATAATATACCCAATATACATGCTATACAATACAGTATATTTATATGCATGTGAATTGGATTGCAGATTGGGGAAATTGAAGTCTAAGAGCACGAAAGAAAAGAAAGAGAAGGGGCATTATTGAATCATCAACGATCAATCAATCACCAGTTCTTGAGTTGAACCAAGTCAATTATTCACCAAAAAAGATTAGAGTATCATATCATATCATCATATCTACCTTCTCAAACTAGTCACGGCAAATTTCTCTAAAAACAGGCAATCGCTTTCTTGAATTGTTACCTCCATAAAGAACTTTCTCTATGTAAGAATCTAGGTCTTCCTTCGAAGGGCTTTTCTCCTCGGATGATCCTGCTCGAAGAAGCTTGAAACTAATCCCATCGTCGAGGGGAGACCAATCGGATTTGGGCTTGGGAGGAGTTGAATCTTTGTTGGTCCCAACAGCAGGCTGTGGTTGTTGTTGTGGTTTGGGGAAAGCCATTCCTGTTCGCAATGACATGGTTGATTCTTCTTCTGGTCTGGCTTGGCTGATTGGGGTATATTTTGTGCCATACGAGGATGAACTTAAACCCTCTGAATTGCCGGTCAATTTGAAGATCTGTTATTGCAAAATATATGGGGGAGAAGATACGAGATATAACTTGCTATATAAGTGGTATATTTGCCATAACAATTAGCTGAATCTTTGTTAATCGAAATCAATCGTGAAGATTCGGAATGGAATAAGGAAAAGGAAATGATTGAGTGTGAGAGAGAGAGAGAGCGTACCTCAAATTTGGGCTTGCCTGATGAACGCGGTGGGCGGAGCTCCTCCTTGCCGTGCGCGAACTGTAATCAATTGGGGGAAACAATGAACAGAAATTAAAAATCGTGTTTCTGAGATAACATCACGCTTTTTAAGTTTGTTAGGGTTAGTCGTCTTCCACGCAGAGTGGTAGAGTGAAGGATTATAGTAAAGGAGGAGTCTAAGAGTTCATCTCAGCCGTGGATGTGATGTGTGGAGAATCTGTGACCGTCGGATTAGGAGTATTGACCTGGCATTCGGTACCGAATTGGCATATGCCAGTGGACTCCCAGAAGCGACACAGTCTGTGCTTGTTATGGCTTTTGATATTGTCGGTGGCGACACCTCTGTTGCTGCAACCTGTCGCCAGCGATGAAGAAGATGAGTTCGATCTTCCACCGGTTATGGAATTTGACGATGTTGCTGGAAATCGCATTCGCGGTTCGCCGCCGCCGCCGCCGCCTCCTCGGTTGGACTTAGGAACAGGTATTCCATCCATTACGATCACGTCCTCCTCGACCTTGATCGGCGTGATGAACACCGGCGGAGAATCGATGGAGGTCACAGGATCGGCGGAGCGCAGATACGTCATCAGCGGAGACGGAGAGTTGGAGCTGTCGGATCCGTATGGATCGAATATTGAACTGTAGCGGCGGCTGTTGGCTAAGTTTATCATCGGTGAGATGATTCCGTCTAAGGTCTTCAGCTTCGGAGGTTTACAGTCGCGCTGGCTCTCCATGGAATTCTCTGCAATTAATTTGAGAATCTGAATTCAGTCGGATTCATCGGAAACTAATTCAGTAAATATCACGGTGTTCATGCTGAAAACCTCCGTCTCTGCACAGAAATTTGAAACCTTTATCGACGATATATAGGGATCGTGAAAACAACCATAAGAATCACAGAACAAACTGATTATCGACGGCGATTCACGCAACAAACGTAGCCAGACGATTAAATCTATTCACAAAAGTAATGCGAATGCGCGCCATTTCTAGGTTTTGAAATCTCACCAAAACAATGAAGTGAACAAGTTCCATGCAAAAAGTGAGCGAAAATCACGAAAGGAGAAGAATCTCAGCACGTAGATCGAGCAACCGACCGGACTCGAATCACAGAAAAATCAAATCCAAAAGCAACACCACCAACAAATCAAATCACGAGACAATTAAACCAAAAATCACCGAATCGATGAACAAAATACAGTCAGTCGTTCAACTTTACCAGAGATTGAGAACCGTCGGAATACTGCGATCGAATCAGTTCAAACGCCTGAATCACCTGCGGAACCAGAGAAATCCGAACGTGAAGCGAGAAATTTCAGTTAGCTTCTCTGCCGCATACCTTCTGCGCCATATTTCCCAACCGGCACCTACAGACAGTACCGTCCATCCCAAGCGTATTTATACTGTTCTGTCACAGAGGAACAACACAAGAGAACAACAAAAACATCACAGCACAGAGCCCCCAAACTTCAACAAAACCAAAATGACAACAAAACATCACCACAACAACAACAAATACATCTTCTTATTGAGCAATTCACACAGACAATTACAACAACACCATTGATCCCACCCAATGTTACAAAGAGTATATATACAAGTTTCAAAAATATCAAGAAAATGAGATAAAAACTCACATTCCACAACTAGTAGTTGTGACCACATCTTACTTATCCAAAATCCCATCCATCGCATTGTTCAAGCTCCCCCCAAAGAACGACAAGAGCCCACCGCCATGGACTCTCCCCTCCGGCGCAAGGTCAAACTCCAGATTCGCCCCGCTGCTCTTCTCCGGCGCCGATTGAGAGAATGACGCCGCCTTCATCGACAGAGGAACCAACACCTGAGGAGGGATGAGCTGTTGCCGCTTCGCAGGCTTGTGGATCGGATTGATCAAATCAGACATCGACGACGAGTTGTCGAAGCTGTTCCTCGCCGTATGCACCAATCCACAGAACAGCCCCGGCCCGATCATACCAGTCTTCCTCACCTCCTGTTTCTGAATCAAGTTCCCGTGCGCAGCACACATCCCGCTCTTTCCTCGAGCAAACTTTTCGCACTTCCCGTCTCCCCAGCTGCACCGTTTCCCGCCGCCGTGCGCCTTGCAGAAATCCGTGCTGCCTTGAGCACTCTTCCCGCAGTTATCGATTCTGCACCGTTTACCCCCTCCGTGCTTCACGCAACAATCCGTCCTGCCCCGAGCACTCTTGGTACACCCAGGGATCGAACACCGCTTCCCCCCGCCATGCGCGACGCAGAAATTCGTCCCGCCGTGCACACTCTTCGGACATATCCCGCCCCCGTCGAACATGCAGCGTTTTCCTCCGCCGTGCCCCTTGCAGAGCGGCGTACTCCCTTCCGCGCCTTTCGTGCACCCCGCAAATATGCATCGTTTCCCCCCGCCGTGCCCCTTGCAGAACATCGTGCTTCCCTGCGCTCCTTTCGTGCAGCCTTGGAAGCGACAGCGCCGGCCGCCGCCGTGCGAGATGCAAAGACCGATTTGCCCCTCTGCGCTCCGCGTGCATCCGTCGATCTTGCACCTCTTCCCCCCGCCGTGCTTGATGCAGAGGCCAGACTTGCCCCGCGCCGCTTTCGGACACCCTTCGGGATGCCCGCAACGCCTTCCCCCGCCGTGCGCTATGCAAAGATCCGTCTTTCCCTCCGCACTTTTCGTACACCCGAGATGCTGACACCGTTTCCCTCCTCCATGTGCTTTGCAGTAGGCGGTTCGACTCTCCGAACCCTTGTTGCAGCCGGGTTTCTGACACCTCTGCCCTCCGCCGTGGCCAATGCACAGAGACGTTGCCCCACGAGCTCCCTTCGTACATCCGGAAAACTTGCATCGTTTAGTCGGGCCGCCTTTATGATCAGCAGAGCTTCCGGGATGGGACACAACGGAGAAATTAGACACGGCGGAAGGTTCGGAGCTCGATTCGGGACCGGGTTGTACAAAACTACTCTCGCCCAGCAGCATCTCGGCATTCTCTATTCTCGGCGCCATGATAAGACTCCTCATGTAGCCACCGAACGTTTTAGCCGACGTGGAACCCTCGTCGACGACGGGAATGGTTCCGGAAATGCGATCGCCACCCGAGGATGCTTGATCGAGATGATCAGACGGTCCGAAAAGACTCTGCACAGAAACGGCATCGGTGATCCCCGACAGCCCGAGTTTCAAAATCGAGTCATGCTGGCTGAACAGTGAAGACGTGTGCCCTTTTGATTTGCTGCTGGTGGAACGGGAACGCTCGTCTGTATATGTGCTCGGCGTCGGACCCAATCCGAGCACTAATTTACACCCGTCGTCTGCGGCTCGTTGACACGCACCTCGACTGCCGTCGATGCCGAAAGTCGCTGGCTCGCGAGATCCGTATCCGATGCCATCCAATTGAAGATTAGTATCTCCACCATTGCCGTTGTTAATGAAGTCGACGCAGAAAGAGGAATACATTCAGTCTCAAACCTTACTGTCAAATGCTCGTGTTCGTTGTTTCGAAGAGATGATGGAGACACCGGCGAAAGATTGATACCGGTTACTACTGGAAACATCCGTAGCTTAGAATTTGGAAAGCAAGATAATCGTAGACTCGTCCTCCGCCGCTAACGAAACCAGATGTATCTGACCTATCCATCGAAACAGCACATACGATTTGCAAAGTGACGAATCTGAAAGCAAACATTTGTTCGAAACGACAATTAATTCAAATCTAAGAAACACAAACTTCCATCCAGGAAGAACTAAGTCTTCCAGATTCACCAAACAAGCAGAATAATCGAAACGCGCCAAAGTAAACTCGATGATACATGTATATATTTATAAACAAATAAGCCTAAATCGAGGGCTTCAAATGCCTGATCAAGCATACAAGAATACAATTTTATCTCATCTACAGCATCCAAAAGATCAAGGCCAAGTTGACTTATATCATTAATCATCATACAAGATTTAGCTGCTTATTTCTTCTTTATTTTTTTTTATTTTTGGATCTTTTTAATGGTTGAAAGGATTACAAAACCAAGTTATGCAAGAATCTCATAAAGGAAACAGGAGATCTAAGGATTTAGCAAACAAAAAACATGGCAAGGAATCAATAATTAAATTAACTCATATTATATCAAAAGCAAGACAGCAGTAATCAAGAGGGGCATAAACAATAGATAGCAATGATTTCCATCCTTCCCAAAAAGAATAAAACTAGTAGTAGACTACCAAATTCAGTCACAGATAAAAAGCAAAAGATTGAAAATTAGGCATAAATGATGAAATTCCTGAAGCATATACATATATATATATATACAATACAGAAAGAGAGAGAGAGGGAGAAGAACTGTAATTGGAAGATCAGACACGAGAAAGAAAAGAGCAATGGGGAGAAAAAGGAGAAGAAGAAGATGGAAACTTATAACTAACCATTCCCCAAAAGCAAATCAACCACAAAATTAAACCTGACTAACCTGGTCTGGTCTGTTCTGGCCTAGAGAGAGAGATTGGGGAAGAAGAAGAAGCAGCAACAGAAGAATATACAAGAATCCAACCACGAAAGGTGGATGCCAAATGCCAAATCGCCAGCAAAGCGATGATAAAAGGGCAACGAATTTTATTTTTATTTTTTTAAAAGGGAAAATTGAAAAGAAAGGGGAATATAGTAAATGGGGGCACTTCCCCAAAAGAACTCAAAGAAACATGACCTAACCCTAATTTCGTGCCAGAATCGAGCTCGATTAATGGATGCAGAAGAAGAGAAGGGAAAGGGGTTTGATTAATGGTTGGTTCATGCGGGCGAGGGCTTCGATTCGATTCGATGAGACGCACCAAAACGAAGAACCATTAATTATAAAGTGGGAATTATTCAGACTTCGGACAGTGTTGTGTTGTGGAGGTATTGCTAAGCTTTTGGATGAAAGGGACTTCGTGCGTCTGAATTGACCATTATACCCCCCGTGTCCTGTCCGGTCCTGGACCTCGACCCCTCCATTAATTTCCCTCTTTTTGGAACCTTGTGCTTTCGTCATCGCCTATTTTTTTATTTCTGCCAATGATTGTCGCCACAAATTTATTTTTTTTCGAAAATAATTTATGTGTTTTAGGCTTGATTAACATTTTTCTTTTAAGGGTGTGTTTGTTTTGAAGATTGGATTGATTTACACTATTCATTCAATTTTATTTTTTTTAAATATCAAATCAAATATCTATTTTTTATTTTTTATATTATACTAAAAATTAATTTAAATTCAAAACATCACATCAATACCTATTTATATCACATTATACAACTATTCAAATTCAAAATTTTTAGTATTCAAATCTCAACTCAAAATCCAAACCTCCAAACAAACACACCATAAGTTTTCTTTATTTAAAAATAGAGTATATTTCAACTCAAAGGTTCAAACTTCCGATATTCTGAACTATCTCATTTTTAAGATATCATTAGTAATTGGTAGATATCGTTACTAATTGGTATTGGCAATGCTTTTTTATTATTTTCGTTCGTTTTGTTCTAAAATATTTTTTATTTTAATAAAAATTATTATACACTAATATTAAATTATTTTTAATTTTTATTTAAATTATCAACACACTATTATACGTATAATTACTTTATATATAAAATTAAAAAAAAAATATTAAAATATTTTACATATTTTCATTAATCAATAAAATACCATTATTTTTTAATTTAATACAAAATTTCCAAGAATTTCACTCCCAAGGAGTTTACATAACTGAATAGTTATTGGTTTTATAATACATATATATTAAATATTTAAGTTTTTATTATTTTAAAATTTTCAAAATTATAAAAATTCTTGGCTAAAAATGTTTGAAAAGTAGTAATAATTGAAATGATAAAATTATATATGAATTTAAGCTTTTTTTCTATTATTTCAAATTAAAATTAATATTATTTACTCCACAAAGTTCTTAATAAAAATATATTTTTTTATCTCATAAAATATCATATTATTTAAACAAAAAACTTAAATCAATGATCTATTTCAAATGACAACCAAAACAAACAATCTTTGTATATTATTAATAATTATGTGTGTTAATTATTTTTTATTTTTTCAGCTCAAAAGATTGAAATTTTTTGAATGATTCCTTTAAATAATACGTAGTGTGATACTTTATGGGTGTGTTTGTTTGGGGTTTGGATTTTGAGTTGGGATTTGAATAGTAAAAATTTTGAATTTGAATAGTTGTATGATGTGATATAAATAGGTGATGATACGATATTTTGAATGTAAAATTGATTTTTAGTATAATATAAAAAATAAAAAATAAATGTTTGATTTGATATTTTTGGAGAAAAAAATTGGATGAATAGTGTAAATCCAATCCCCCAAACAAACACACCCTATATAAATATATATATATATATAATCTCTTCTGTCTATATAATTATGTTATTTTATTTTTATTTTTTTTTGTAAATGTACAAATGAAAAAAAAAATAATAATAACGTAATTATAGTGGACATAAGAAGTATATTTTTTTGAAAAATATAAATGTCAAATACTAATGTATTTTGTCCGGTGTTGTTTGAGTTCGAAATTTTTAATTAAAATAATATTTAATAAAATATTTTATAAAAAATAATATATATTTTAAAATAAAAATAAAACAACAAAGTTCAAATAAGTGAAAAAATAAACTCAAAAGAAACAAAACAATCAGAAAAGAAATACACCCCATAACTTTTAAAAATAAATTAATAAATAAAATGTTAAAATACAATCAGTTTGATCACTAGGCGTTTTAAATTAATTAACTTTTTTTAATATGATACAAAATAATATTTTATATTGAATAATTGACTTTTAAGAAAAAGATAATAAAAAAATATATTTAATGTATATTGAAGAAAAAAATACGAGATAAATAATAAAATGAATTTTTTATTTAAAAATATTAAGTAAATAAAAGTATTTGAGCCATGTTTATTGATATTTTAAAATTTATTTTTACATTATTAATTTGTCAAAATATTTTTTAAGAATCACGTTCCATATCTTTTTTTAAAAATCTAATAAAAATATTATTTTATCATATTATTATTTTCATTTATAGCATATATCAAATATATATTTTTAAAACAACCCAAAAACATATAACACCTTTAATTTTGAATTATCAATTTCTTGCTGTCATTTCATCAATTGTATTATTTCCAAAGATATTTATGAATAACATAAAGAGTATTATTATTATAATTATTATTCATTTATTATTTTTTTTTTTGGGCATGAAATTTGGGGGAAAAAATAATACTTAATGTGTAAGAATAATTATATAAATGAAAAGATAAAAATATATGTTTATACTTGTGATTAATTTTAAAATTTTTATGGAACAGCATTATTGTAAACCTATTAAATGATATATGTATTATTTATGAGAAATTGATACAAAATAAATAAATTTGCAATAAATAATTAAATAAAACAAAATTTAGAGTGTGTTTGTTTTGGGATTAGATTTTAAATTCATTATTCATTTCTAAGTTTTTTTTTTTAAAAAAAATATCAAATAAAATATTTATTTTTTATTTTTTATATTATAAAAAAAATTAATTTTAAATTTAAAATATCACATCAACACCTATTTATATCATGTCATACAACTATTCAAATTTAAAATTTTTACTGTTCAAATCTCAACTTAAAATCCAAACACCTGAACACACACCCTTAAAGTATATTTATTTTCAGACATAGAAAATACTTCCTCCGTTCCTATTTTCTATCTCCGTATGTCCCACATAACTTGTCTTTTCTATTTTTAAAAATATAATTATGCACTTTAATCGCATTTTAAATTTTAAATTTTATAATTTTTTTAATTTTAATTAAACTATTTACTTATTTTAATTTTAATTTATAATTATTTTTACTAATATATTTCTTAATTACTTATTAATTATACTTTACCTAAATTCTCGTGTCTACAGTAATATACTCATATTACGTAGGATTGAGGGAATATTTTTTAGCGGGAGTATGCAAAAATTAGTGGCTGGAGTGGAATTGTCGTGGCGCGCCATGGGGCAGGGGCAGCTTTAAGCAGCCGGCATTAGCTCGGCGCGGCTCGGCTTGGCTTGGTTTCAAACAAAGTCCGACTTCTCGGAAGCCGGAGCCGGTTGCCGTGTATTGGCGTTCCACTTCTAACCACACGTGTCGCGATTTTATTGGCAGAAAGGTTCCCGTGAAGAAACGAGCATGCCTCTGTGCCGCCTTATCGTTAGTGGAATCTCCACTCACCTAAATAAATTTAAATTTTATTCCAAATTTTATACCATAATAGGAGTATTTATTTATTTATTTTATTCAGCATACCTTTATTTAAATTTAATATTCACACAAAAAGAGGGACGAATATTAGACTCCGAATGTGTCTAGAATACACACCATCCTTTGCAATATTTTAAAGTTTTTCGAATATTATAAAATATTTTTAAAAAATGTAGAAAAATCTCATATGAAATTTATAGGATATTTAAATAAGATTATTAAATATAAATACGCACAGTTGCAACTTGCAAAACGACAACGGAAGAGTGTAGAAGAAACCGTGTCAGCCACGTGTCGAGTTTTTATTGGCTGGGACGTATTTCAGAAATTAACGATGTCTGAAGCCTAGACAATGGAGCGGGGCCCACGATAGCTTAGGGCGTAGGCTACCAACGCGCCGCCCTTTCCTCGTGCCCTGCAGCTCGTGTCGTGCCTTATTTTCGCAATTAAATAAATTAATAATGATGCAACATGGGTGCGTTTTTGTTTAATACTTTCTCACTTCGTCTCAGTTATCATCTTTCCATTTTAGTTCGTTGCATTTATTTTGTTAATTTTTTTAAACAATAATTATATATTTTAATTTTATTTTTAAAAATTTATATTAAACTAATAAATTATTTTAATTTTAATTTATAATTATTTTTATTATATTATAATTATTTTTATTAATATATTTTTAATTATTTATTAATTATATTCTTCATAAATTTCTGTATTTACAATAACGCTGATAAAATATCTTAGATACTAATTATACTCCTCATAAATTTTTGTGTCTACAATAACGCTGATGAAATATCCGAGATGAAAGGAGTATTTGAAATTAAAGTTTATTGTTTGAAAATCGTGTACGACAAATATTATGAGAATTCGATTTTTAAATCAAAAGTAAACAAACACCACCGTATTTGCTTGGTTTTATTATTTTTATGTAAGAAAATTACGTGTTATGTAATTTTATTGTTATTAATAAAAATACATTGCTTTTATATAAAAGTTTATGTTTAAGATTGTATTTTTATCCAAACAAAAAATAATATTTCTCGCTCCATCAAATTTATGTATATTTCTTTTATTTTTTTAATAAAAAATACTTTATCATTTGTTCCAAAAAAAAAAAAAAAACTACCTCCTATCCTCATTATAAATATATATATATACTTTTTTTTTTCTTTATAATAAAAAATAAATATTTTTCTATTTAACAAAAAAATCAATGGGTTTTTCTATTTTCTACCAAAAAAGTCATAGAGTTTTTTTAACTACAATTTTCTCTCTAATACGATTTCTAATATGTATATTCTACTTTTTTTATAAATTAAACATTAATATAAAATATTATTTTTTATACTCCGTCTGTCCTATAACAAAGTATTCATTTTTCCATTTTAGTTTGTCCGATAACAAAGTATCAATTTCTTCTTTTAGTAACGGTACTATCTAGCTAACATTATAAATACCCTTACAATTTACAATATATTAACACAAATGTCGTTACGTGCAAAAAGCAAACAGATATCTAGTAATTCTCATTATTATTATTATTATTAT